ACAATTACAGCAAGCTAATCTGTTTTACATTGTATGCATCATTACAGTAATCTATAATATAATCATCCATTTTAGACCCCTGGTGTTTTGGGGGACGCTTCAAAGCATACATTCCTGATATGATATGAGTTGTGACCGGTGCTTGGTGAGTTCAACGCATAAATCACGCATAGTGTACATGTATGTGTTAAATTTGTGTGCCTGTCCGCTTTCAGGAATTAACCCTTGACGTTAGACACGGTCGATTACACGTGTGATATTGGAGCTGATGCCCCCAACGAGGGGGTAAAAGTTATTGCATTACAGACCGACTTTGATGTATTTATGGCTGATCATGATTTAGTCAAAGTGATAACCTTGTGATCTCATAAAGTACGAGGCATCTTGTCCTTGGGCCGTGACTGCCCCAAGGGGCTCGGCCGGGCACTCGATCCAATTCCCCCACGGACATCTCCCCGAAGACGCGGTCTGTGAACGATTCAATGAATGAATGGACCCAAGTTTTCTCAGAAAACTCCAAATTCTTCACATTCTTGTCTTTGAGGTGTTATCCCTCCCGGAGATTCGTTTTATTCCAAAGAAGAAAACCTTCTGAAGTTTTTGGGGGTGGTCTTCTTCGCCCACATCAAAACACCTTCATCCCGTCAATTAAACCTAAGGTCTATTCACGATGTGCGTGATGACATAAGAAGAATGTGTGTTCCTCAAGAAGTGAACTCAATTAACCTTTTGCTTGGACGCTTGAGGTGTGAATAATCGCTCCTTCTTCTACTTAATACGTGTACTAATGAGGCGAAATCCTTTATCATGTTTTCTTTACACGATTGCTATAAAGTCTTGATGGACGTGCCGGTAAGACATCCTCGGAAATCCACCGGAAATAATGTTCTTTTTAGATTTGGCCGGGGTATGACTTTCATTTATTTTTTAGGTACAAACAGGGTTCAGTTTTTTTTAAAGTTTGACACGTCTAAATACACCACTAAACGCTGTCTGTTTAAGTCTGTTCGACTCTGTTACGAGGACATTCAATTTTGAAATCGAACAAGGTTGAAATATACGGTGGTGCGTTCCATGTAGATTTGAATTGAAATACTTCATATTTTGGCATTATCACAAATTGAGTTGAACGATATGTTCACGTGGCGGATTTATAGTAGAGCAAAACGTTTTTTCCGAGTACAGTGGATCCGTAAATCCCAAAATAAACATGTATAATGCAAATCCTAAAATATATATATATCAATTTAAAGAGGGTAGATCATAAAGGACAAATTTCATTGAAAGAATTTCCGAACTGTGTTTTGAATCCAGACGATATTTACGTCATTATTACAAGGATGTAGGCGTATAATGAATGAACGAATGAGGAAGTGTCTCCATAGCAACCAACCCAGCCCAAAGTCTGAGTCCCGTAACAACTACAAACGTTTTGATCTTTTTCTTTGCATTTACACGGATACACGGTTACTGCGCAGGGTGTGATTGTGACGTTCTTTGGGCTCGGGTATGGGCTGATTTCCGGGTCATTCTATACCTATACTTGGCTCCAACACACCTCGATTTACAGTCAATGGGTACGATTGAGGATATTTCTGGTTTTCCAGGAAAAAGGTGTCCCCACCCACTCTCAGATCACCATGGTAATGGCCTGGCAGCCAACAAGGGTGGAAAGTGAGGAGAAACTGGAACGCACTGACTTTGGCGCCAAATAATCATGAACTGAAGTATTCTCGACAGTTCTATATAGCCGGATGACTCTTCGTATTACTGTCGCAAAATGACAGCTGAATTTAAACCAAAAACAAAACTAAAATGTCTGCATCTTAGGCCCAGCTCTATTTTGATTTTTTTTTTATCAAACAGGAGGACAAATGAAAGAGACACTTAAGAACAGGAGATACGGTGAAGATGCAACGGGTCAAGAAATTCATTCATTTCATAAAATTGTTGGTAACATGCTCAATGTATATTTGACACAATAGTCAGAGCCTTAGAAATTGATTGAAACGCAGATGTCTACGATAATGGCTCAGTCTTTGTAAAAGAAATCAATCGGTTTGTGTGTATGTTTATTTATGTTAATATTTGTGAACAATATCGTGGCATACATGACTTGTATAACTCCTGTTTGTTTGCCCCTTCAAATCCGATTGGTGTGAGCAGCGGTAACCGTGCTGGGATGGGATCGGCAGAGTTGATCAAGGTTGATTAAACACACTGCAGAGATAATGGCATGTTCTGTGAAACATAATAGTGAGAAAATACAAATCATTGTGGACAATTAAACCTTATTATGGAGACTATAATAACAATAAGATTGCTAGAGAATCTGCACCGGGCTGATGACCTTGTCGGGGATTTCGGATAGTCGCTTGATTAAAAATGGGGGAGGGGGGGGGGGGGTTAAAATATATAGTCGGTGTTCAATTTGTGTCACCCTTCCGTATAGCAAAACTAACGGTTATTAAAGAGAGTTGTGGACCGAAATGCGATACGTATTATTAAAAATAGAGGTTTTCAAACAATGCAAAAATGCAATTGCTGTGTAAATAAACTACATAACAACACCAATTAGCATATCCAAATACCTACCTTGAAACAAGGATATTCTTTGAAATCACGATGACACCATCATGATGCCATAAACACTAAAATATTATTTTAGGTGGCATTCTGTACCAGGCTATGTTTGAAGAAAAACAATGGACATTTTGATAGGTATACTCCTTTCGTAGGATTACACAACTGAAAATCAGAGAAAAACATATTTTTAGCAGCCACGAAAAGGAGGAATTAAACGGACGTATTTACATGGGAAACAAAAATAGTGACTTCGCATAAAATTTCGCCCTGAAACTAAACTGAGTATTGTTCGTCGCGTTCAAGGGAAATGTTAGTCACTGGCGAGAGAGTAGAATCATGCAATAACACCACCCATGCTTACCTTGGCAAAGAAGTATAGACATACACGGTGGATGTGTTTCAATGAATGTATTGTTGGTTCTCATTGTCCGTACAGTGATCGTTGTGCCAATCGTACATGAGCCCGCGCTAAAGGGAAACATGGCAACGGGCCCTATCTCCAAGGATTAAATAAAAGATCAAACCACGATCGTTGTTCTATTTGTACGCTCTGTCAATCGTCACGCAAGGCGACTCTTCTCAGAAAATTATGACTGTTATGACAATTGCTAACAATTGCTTTTAAAAATAAAATTTTAATAAAAAGCACGTGGATTGTGAAGAAAACATGAAGTTAAACAAGAAGTTCACCTTTTAAATGAAAATACGGACTTGAATTGAAGGTGAGGCCCGGGTTCGGTGTTATATTCTTTTGTGCCAACTTCACGAAACTTGGGTGGTGCTCGACAGCTTTACAAGCAGTCATTTATATAGTTTTTGAGTAATTTCTTCAAAATTAATTGCGGTTTCGCTTTCGATGTCTTTCAAAACGCTACAGAGTCCCTGGAAACTATGGGTCCATGCTTTGTTGTGGTTACAGAAGCATGGTGAACAGAATTCAACGAATCAAATTGACTGAAGTCTTGGATCTTTGACATTTTGCCAACTCATAGCATGATACGTTCACATAATCTCTTGGCAATTTCTGTATCGAAATATATCACAATTGGGCAATCAAATGTGCCCTACTTGATTAATGAAAATGCACGTATTTCCGACTCCCTCTCTCAATAAGCCCCGCCCATATCAAGGGAGTTGGACGGCGCCTTTGGTCAAGCCGCATACGAATTACAGTAGCCGCCTCTTTTCAAAAGTTGTTTATTCGGCGTCGTTAATCTAAGGAGTTATCACTGGCAAATACCTGGTAAGTTTTATCCACCCAAACCTCTCTGGAATAATAACGTCAAGTAAAGTTTAAAAAAAAAAAAAAAAAAAAACTCCCGCGAAAAGTCTGTTTGCACACTTTACTGACAAGCGCGTAATGCCCCTCTAACGGATTTACGTTGACTTTTATTTACACGGATTTCAGATCTATTGTCCTCGGAAACCCCACTATTTATTAGTCGTAGGTATAGTTCTACATGTACATAGATTGGAGATAAGTAATTGCTGCAAAATATCAAGCCTAGGGACACGAATCTGTTAAAGGCGGTCTTCGAAACCACATCCACGCATTAGACGAACCAGCACATTCGACCACACCATTCCCCTTCACAAAGCCACAGATTTCTCTCAAAGTCAAAGTTCGACAAACTCGGGGCCTACGCCGTTCTGCAATCTGCCGCGCTATTTGACGGCCCGCCCAAGTTGTACACCGCGCACTTTGATAAAATCTCAACCATCTCTTCGCAAATATTCAACAATAGATACTAAATAAGTTGGGTCAGTATTTTGAAACCGCATTTCTGGATTACTTGGAAACCTCTCCGTGAAACATGGGGTCTGTTATCGCTGATTTCTCATCTTACATCGGGGAATTCATTTTGATAACAAATGATAATTGAAGCTTTTTGAAATCCGAGCAATTGAATTATTTGAATTCCAGGGACCTAAGAGTGATTGGTCTAACGAGTAACACTGAGCAAGTTCTTGCCAGTGGCGTTGCTGTTTTTGCATCTTTTCAGAGTAACTGGGTGAAGGAGTTGAACCCTTGGCGGCCCAGCCCTTGATCAGGTGGCAGTGCAATTTTCGCAGAAATTTGATGATAATTTCTGTTTTACCCGGGTTGGGGACGACTCGGCATGCCCCTCCCCCTTTTCGAAATCGTGACTTGTAATTTTGCAAATCACGTACCCACAAAAAAGAGGATCGTACTGCGAGTCATTAACGGAATTAAACCACGTGGATGTGCATCAGACCCTAACCTGAACTACGCATTGCATGCTGCGTGGTTGCTGTTGTTTTGTGTGTGATGCCAAACCATGGCCAAACGTAGGCCAACCTGCGTGCATTTCCGTGACGTGTAGCGGGCCCCGGCTGAACTTGATTGACACGTGACGTCACCAGGTGTGCCATTGTACCAGCTGTGTGTGGATAAGATAAAAGGTCGCTCCCCACTCGGTTTGGTCGTCAGAGCTGTTACTCGGCTCTACCGCACGGATAGAGTAGTGCACCAACGGATAGCTGGCTGGGAGAATACTTCGGATGAGTAGATAACATCAGCCTCTGGGTCAGTCCTGTTAAAAGTACACCGCTTCTGAAGTTTAAAGTCAGCCACACGCGCATCTGACATTACAGGTAGGTTAACTATACAATTATAAATACAAATTCTTCTTTAAGCTTATCTAAATTTTCATCCTAAATAGAATTTATCCAGGGAATCAATATATTTGAAGCAAACTAGATTTTAATTTGTGTGAAGACATAACCATCACTGGTTATCGTCGATTACATTCACGATTGTATGAAGAAACATGGCCGTAATTTCAGAAACTGAATTTCTCTAACACCGTGCTGTGGGTGGAACGATACAAGTATTCCTGCAGTCATTTTTTTATCTGGAAGTGTGGAGTTTCTGTTCTTACATTATGCAATATTTATTCATTTATGACTAATTTGTTCATCTTCGTTTCGTGGGAAATTCTCTGACCTATTTCTCCCCTCGACCCTGATATTGTTAAGGGGTGGGATAGCACTTGATGACTAAACACACACTATGCATCGCTGTAACAAATGATGTGTGTGCCACGGTACATTTTATCGAACAGCTTAAACGCCTCCCCTCGTTATCAGTGAGTCAATAATCTTTTTTTTGCGGGCGATGAGATCAAAGAGTAGACGATGATATCTTTTTTTTTTTTTATAAGTATCCAGTTTTGAAGTGAAAAATGACGCCAAAACAAAAGGATGTATCTCCGGATTACGAACATTATTGTGCAAGGGATTATTGTCAAGGATGCCATGACATGCATAGTTTTGGGATCACGTGTTTGTTCCGTGGCCTGTTTTTTTTTAATGTGCCTTTAAAGTATTTTTTTATGATATCCATGTGCACCTCCCCCTCCGCATTGCAACTATTATTTCATCCGGTCTGAGTGATTAACCAAGACCTGAATTCTGAGAATTGTCTCTTCAGTGATTCTATAAACAAAATTAATCGTCATGGTGATTGGATGCATCCCAGTTAAGTTCTAAATGAACAGGATATTTTGTCATCCGGCTTGGCATGGTTACAAAAGTATGGCCATGTCATCTTCAGACACAATGACAAACGTCTGTTCTTTGAGGCTCAGACTTCATTAATATAAATGTTGGTTCATGGCCAATTTCGTTCCTTCAGAAAAAAGTGTTGAAAGAAACCGTTAACAACGGCTTCCGCAAATACATTACGATACTTCGGGGAAGACAAATATGCACTTTTTGTAGTTAAAAAAATAACCTTTGACTAAAAAAATTGCCCCCTTCCAGAAAATGAGTCCCTGCAAATTCACCCCGTGATGCTACTGCTGAAACTTGACATAATTGGTAGAATAGAAATAAAAAGACCAATGGGATATGCAAAATATTCATATAAAAAAAGTTATTCCTGTCTGGAAATTACAGGTGAATTCTTCCAAACCCGTCCGTTAGAGGCTACCATCGACTGCACTACATCTAGTTTGTCATCAACCCTATTCGAAAATGTCGCTCCTTTTGCCCACACTGGCCGTTGCTCAGTTGGTTGCGTTAGTGATAATTCTCTGCAGAACAAACGAAGTTGCGGCCATTCCTGGTAAGATCAACCATCAATTCAATATACCGCAGCTAAAGTACTTTTTTTCAATGATAAGAATATCGTTTAACTGCAGTTTTGGCCTTGTTCAATTAATTTTGTTGGTGCCCCTTTGTGTCCTATTAAATATTCCTTGAAACTTTTCTGCTTTCGGTTTATGATATGACACGCTTTTTAATTTGAACCTTTCACTTTATTTGTTATCGTGCAGCATCTATCAAGCCAATGGACCCCACAGTAGTCGTAGGTTCAAACGTCACATTTCGCTGCGTTCTCAACACATCGGCTACAACGCAAACTGCCACTGATATAGTCTGGTACTACAAATCATACAGGTAGGACTAACTGGTACTGACATTGCCTTGGGAACTATTTCTTGAACTTGCTGATCTCACCCCATACATTGGAGACTCTTTTTTTTTAAGTTAAAAAAATCACATCACATAACTGAAACTCGATCCAGTGGCCAATTAAATTTATCGCAGAAAAAAAATCACCTTGATTTCTGTCAACTTGCTATTTTGGTCCACGCACTTTTTGTTGTTGTGAATAACTGTAATATTATTGAAGGTCTTGGGTTCGAATCCCGGTAACTTAGTTTGTTAACTAAAATCCCCTGTTTTGATTACAGGAGTTTAATTCCACGCGAGCGATATGAAGTAGAAGACAACATCTCCCGCCTAACAGTGCGTAACGTGACTTTTACTGACTCTGGCTCCTATTTCTGCGCGTTGGAAAGCGACGGTCGAAGAATATGGAATTATCAAGGCTCAATGCTGCGAGTTGGAGGTAAGTATATGGACCGTTTTACTGATGAGCAGCGGTTATTAATGCCTTCTACTGGTGAACAGTCATTTACAGTGAAAGTGATCTACATTATCTAGACTAATATGGTGACCTCAATTAGAAGCAGGTGTAACCACGCGCGCGCACAGGTGGTACGCGCGCGCCCAATGCTTATTCGACCAATGGGATTACCAAAATGCACGCGCGCCTCGATAACGCGCGCAAGTGTGGTTCAACCCCAGTTTATTGGCTAAATCTTTTATATTTGCAGTGCCACCGTCTCCACCAACGGGACTTCGTTGCCATAGCCCCAACATGCAAGACTTTTGGTGTGAGTGGAGTGAAGGTGCCAAAACTAACCTTAGAACACACTACAAGTTCAGCTATAGGGAGCGGTAGGTACCAGACTTATGTTTTAATTTGTCATTGATTTAGAATGAAATTGACAGATTATGTATGTATATTATAGAACAAACTTATCGTCAATATATCTATTTATATTATCTTAACTAAGTATTATCTTAACCTTGAAAGCAAATCAATCTTAAATACAATTGTTACTCAATTTCAAAATCAATTTGGAAAAAAAGAATTCGGATCATCCTAATTTTATGACAAAGTCAATGCCGAATGTGCTCACGGTTTCTGTAAATTTCGTTTCTAGATCGTCCTTCCGCGTGGATTTTTTTTACTTATGACATTACATAAAGGACATTGGTATTTTTGCTCTTATTTTGTAGCTATGGGTCAGGTGACTGGCAGGACTGTCCCAAACTTGAAGGACGGGGGAAGAACACGTGCGTGGTTTCCCGCGTGCATAACGACGGTTACAATCAAATGATACGCGTGACGGCCACCAACAACCTCGGCTCAGCCACGTCAGAAATGCACTTCAATCCGGGAACAGCAGGTAGGTTGAAGTCATTGGTGACCACAGTGACAACAATGATATGACACGAGTATGGACATGTACTGTAACAGGTGTCCTGGCACGGATGGCAATAAATGTGCGGCTGCTGATGGATGTGCCATTACAGACGACACAGTGATGACAGTCATTTATTATTGATGACGCTAGTGAGAAATGATATGACCTACATGAAATGAAAGTGACAATGTTGTCTCTGATAGTAGGTTTACGATACTGATGCAGACGATAATTGATGATGATGGTGGTGCGTTCAATCGCTCTTATTTCTTCTAAAGGATCACACTTGTGAGTGAATTTCAATGTTGTCTTTCTTGACTGCAGCTATCCCCAACCCACCCACTGCTGTCGAAGTAGAGACACTAGGTCCCGAAGAGCTCCGTGTTTCCTGGGGATTTCCAAGTGAATGGGACGATCAGGTCTTTGCTTACTTTCTTGAGTACAGACTCGAAGTCACTACGGATCGAGGATCTCACACACGAATGGTTGGTCATCTTTCTTTCTATACTTCCTAATTTCTCAGCAAGCGTAAATGTTCATTCTTTCATTGGAAACGAAGAAATTGGGCCCTTTAGCAAACGTCTAACGCCTTGTTTTGTGAAGTGGTCGTTCATAATTATATTGTTCGTAATCATAAGTATTATATTTTATTTAATCATAAATTATTGTGATGCTGCTTTACATCTGCCTTTTTTGTTAAACTTTACGTTTTCTTCTGCCGAATTTTGAACCTCAGATCCCCGACTTAAGCCACAGCGAACCGTACGTCAAACCTCGTCTGTATACCATCAACAACCTGCTGCCGCATACGTCCTACAGTGTCCGTGTCTCTTGCCGTGCATTGGGGAGTTACTCAGACGACAAATGGAGCGCGTGGTCAGAGCCAGTCAGCCGCAAGACATCTGAAGCAGGTAGGCAAACAAACAAACAAACAAACATCCCAACACCCCAACAAACAGACAAACTAAGTTGTTCGGCTTATTTTGTGAAACGCAACAATCGTTACGTTTTTGTTTCACGGATGTACACAATTACGCTGTACAGTGTTCCTAAAAACTATCAAAGCTCATAAAAACAACTTAGATTAAATTTGCTGACATTATAAACTTGAAGCTTGTATTTAAATGTTACTTTTCTCATTGAACGCAGCACCAAACGCAGCCATATCGGGAATACAAGGCCAAGAATATGACAACATTAACGATCCTGCCTACCAGAGAGACGTTTTCCTACAATGGAAGGTACGCAATCTTGCCAAAAATCATCACACAATATAATGTGATTAACTTGTTCTTAATAGCTGCAACTGATCTGGTGTTGTCTAAATCTGTTTTGCGAGTTATTTGTGGTTCCGAGAAGAACCAGTTAACAGACTCAAAGTTTTGAATTATAAGATGCTCTGTCAATCGACAATCTTGTGACGACATAAACCACTCTTTTATTTCTATTTCAGGAACTCTCACATGCAAATAGACGGGGGAAAATCCTAGGCTATGAGGTCGAGTTGCGTCAGATGTTACCTAATGGTTCCTCCAGTGTTGTCAGAACTGTCAGGGCCAATGGAACCATGGTTCTAATAGAAAGTAAGTTCATTCTTCAAATGTTGGTTCATATTTCGTCCAATCTGCTTTTTCATCGTAAAATGTTTTTGCCGATGTGAAATGCACTATGAAGCAAAGTTTCATTTCAATTTTTGGATAAGCAACTATTTAACTGAACAAATTTAATGCTTAAGCCTGTAGACGAGGACTGTCTGAGAACAATGCCGTGGAGAACATGAAATTGGTTTTTTTTTCAATAATTTGCAACTTTATGATACCTTTTTATTTCAGATTTGGAAAAATTCAAGGAGTACTATGTCGATTTAGCAGCGTTAAACTCGGCTGGGCGGGGGCCAACAGCGAGCTATTTTCTGGCCGATAAAACATCAGGTAAATTTATGACGAATCTAGAATAAAAAGCTGTTTAGAATGATGATTTTCTCAAAGCTGTGGTCTCTTGGATCTTTTTGAAAATGATTATGAGAAAAACTAATTTCATTCAGAAATGTATACTATATTATAATCTCAATTACAAGGTATTCTGTTTTAGTCATTAGAATTCTTACCTTTCGTTCTAACAAACAGGAATTGACCAGTTTCCTCTTCAACAATCAATGTTCGACATCTGTAGGTCGAAGACCTGACCCTTTTCTACAGAAAAACAACACAGTCACGTACCAAACAAAGTGACAGACTAGCTGAGAAATGGTTTACAAATTCAAACGGGTTTTCTATTGCCCCCCCCCCCCACCAAATTGATGATTTCGACTGGTCTGCAAAGCAAGCGAGCTAATAATCACATGAGTTTGGTAAAGTGCTTTGACATTTTTTTTGTGCATTTTTCTAACAGAACCTGGACCACCAGAAAATGTACGCGTCCAAAACATCTCGGAAACGTCTGCCTTGGTTACTTGGCAAAGGCCGAATAGGCCCAATGGGTACATTGAAGGTTATCATTTGGAATGGAACAAGGGAGCAGTGGCAGAAACAACAAGGTATGTAGACCTTTAATTGGACTAATCGGGCCCCACGCTAACGCGCAGGTTGCGCACGTTCTTAATTTGGGGCGCGAGTGCCATTTCAAGTTGGTCGGTGCGCGCGTACCACCTGCGCACGAGCGTGACACCTCTACGTGCGCGTGAAATTGATGGCACCCAATTTAATGGTTTTCTAATTTGGGTTGTGGATATTTTGTTTAAATTTGTAAATGGAGGGTTTAGCATTTTGCTGTGCGATTTCTTCTTCAATTCTTAAAATTTTCTTCCCCTCTGTACAGCAATTTCATCGAATTAAATGGTACCCAGACGTCGTACACGATCAAGGGACTGGAGGCTAATAGACTCTATCAGTTCCGGGTCAAAGCCAAAAACTCACGAGGCTACAGTGGTTGGTCAAACGCCCCCATACAACACATGGGAAGCGGGTCCCGCATGGAGTTACTTCGTACACTCATTACAGTGCTGCACAATCTACTTATGGATATGGGCGATGAGGGGGAGGCAGGGAACCAGATCAAGCTGGATACACTTTCATCATTCTTGTGATTGTCAAGACAACAGGTTTCTCCCCTTCCTTATAAATGGCGTGGAGAACATAAATTCGTATATTTATTGACTTGAGGAGTCGCTGATCACAGTGACCTGTGAGGAAAGCGCTAAGCTTAGCCCCGCATTTCCTGGTCGTAAGCTCGAGATAAAAATAAAACCAACACAAGATGTGGTGGAAAATTTAAAGTACAAATTATCTAAAACAATCTCTTTCAAGTTTCATCAAATTAAAATATGGTTCCGAAGTTATTTTTAAGTTAAAACAACATTCGAAATCTCGGACCGAATGTCACTTTGTTGTCAACACAAGGGACTCAACATTACTGGCTGCAAGGTTTACCTGGACTGAATTGGAGACAGTAACTCCGGGAAAACTAAATACGTGTTATTGCTGAACAAAATGATATATTCTTTTAAACACGGAAGTATTATTAGGTTTATTTTTGATTGGCCTCCATTTACTGTTACTTAATTTCTGTTTTGAGCAGACAACAACGCAACATATTGGTTCGTTTTTAGTGTAAAAAAACTATTAAATATTATTCGTCGCAAAATACAGAGTAAGCTGCAGGAAAGAACGGGCACTCCCGGTTTGAAAGATTCAGGAATATTGTCGTTTTGTTAAGAATTAATTTTGAGATGTTGCTCTAGTTCAAGAATGTCAGTAACCCATAATTAACAAGCAGGGTGCAGTGCCAGGGCGTATTTCTTTACATTTGTTGTTGCTACTCTGATGAAATATTACTCTGGGAGTATTGCTCTGTAATTATGTGATTATAATCATGTATATAATTATTGAAGAAAACAAAAGTAATTCTGATCATTTACATATAACATATAATATAGCCATTATTAAAGTGTAAAGCTATCATGCATGGACAAAACGGTATCTGGTCCTGATAAAGGTTTTGCAGGGAATTTTATTTTTTTCGGTTATGGCTGCAAAGTTAATTTAAGATTTTCGTCAAATTGTTTCGGCGTTACCTCTTATATTATCAGATTTCTAATTTATATGTGTATATAAAATCGTATTTCGTATTTGTACAGCCATCTTGGAAACACGACTGAAAGAAAATATTATTTTCCCCAACTCATATATACCTCATTCAAATTGTACGCGCTTTTTGTCTTTTAATTGTAAATAAAATGCTAAAATATCAGAACTGGAGCTTGATTTAAGCGGAATTATAATACACTGTCTGTGACTGTATAATAATGGTGGAGTTGGAAAAATGAAAATAAAAGTAGCCTACTTTATCTTTCATATAAACTGACGAACTTCTGTAGTCCATCTCCCAAACTGTGGTCACCCTTTGCAAAATTGAGGGCGCTCTTTGAATGCGTGATCATGGTTTTCACTTAGTAACTTGCAGCCGGCAAAATCAAAATTGGATTGGGCCTCTATTCGTATTTTTATTTTAATAAAAAACAAGCAATTCCGTATTTAAAAAAAAGGAAAACAAAAATAGGGGAAAAACAATTATCTAACCACTGCATGATGAGCGCATGCGCATGAATACAAATTCGTTTGTGATATGCATATTCAAATCACCCTAGTCAATAGCAGTTTGCAGCGCTTATAAATTAATGAATTGGTTGCAATGTTTGAAGGCGTTTTAAGAAATATTAATAATATGAAAAAACATAGAAGAGAAAATAAACTGCTTTTTTGGAAAAAAAACAATATGCATACGGTTTGGTAAAAGTCAGCAAGTTATTCGCCTACCTTTTTTGCCGTTTGGTGCGGAGGAATTGTCTTCAATATGAATACAGCAAAATGCTTAAAAAGTTTTAGGTGTTTAATTAAAAAGCTCCCCAAACAAATGATTTTTCTGACGGAATTTTGAGATTCATAATAAAAAGTTAATAAATTGTTAAATTCCCAGGTTAGATTTTACAGTGGCCCCATACTCCCTTCCTATTCATTATTGTTTCCTCCGAGTACCAGCGAACCATTGACGTGGAGCAGATTTGATCACATGACATCTCAGCACCGCCATATTGTTCATGTACAAGAAATTTTCGTGTGCAAACCAATGGCGATGAGACTGTAACGTTGCAGGTATGGACACTTGTTTCAGTTGAAATTTATTCGCTGATTCGCCCACTTCCTCGGCCAAAATACAGAATTTCTTGACTTCTTAGAGATAGCTGGCCTCCAGATTGCCAAGTCGTCATGGCTCTGAAGAAGGTGAAGGGGAGTTTGGAGCGCGTTTTCGACAAGAATTTGCAGGATTTGGTGAGAGGCATCCGCAACAACAAAGATAGCGAGGTGGGTGGATCAGAATTGCTAGGCCCAATTTAATGCTCGAAACATGTAAAGGGTTTGTCCAAGGTACGAGTTGCCCAAGGTACGAGATGACCTGTTACCTTGGCTCTTGCCATGTAAAGTTCAGTTCATCTGTAAGCATTATATCATTTATATGCTTCTTTCTTTTTAGTTTGACTCTAAGTCTAACTGTTCAAAATATCGAGCTAGTAATTCCCCCCCCCCCCCAAAAAAAGTCAAGCCTAGCTACTCACATGAACAAACATAAAGGCCTATAATAAACGTTAAACCTATCTGAGAAACAAGGTAAGATGACAATATATGTTTGTGGAGTGATGCAGGAATACTTCATTCTTATTCTTTTCCCCTTTTTGGTTTCAAATGATTAAATTTTTGTTTGAATTGAGATGCTTTGTTTTTCGTACGTAGTGCACAGCAGCCATAAGTAACGCGATTTGCAATTGCTTCTCCAGGACCAGGGCAGGGATCCTGGTTCGAAACCATTGCTGCAAAGTTCCATTTTAAAAGAATGTTTTTGAAATAGTTTTCTTTAATTTCATGTTTAACTTTTAATCAATTCGTTCTTGTTATTTTAAATAGATTTTATTTTCTTCTTCGTAATCGGTGTCTTTGGTGGAAATATTTTTGTAAGGGTAAAAAAGAAAAGAATGTTGCAACCTGACGTTACTTCAGCAGTTGTGTACAAAGTCTATGGAGCGTCAAGAACATTTTCTAAGTATTTCCTAACAAAATTAGAAATGTTTCTCAGTCCCAGATTCATGTCTTATCATTTTTGCAACTACTGACCTTCATTGAGATGATATTTATGAAGAAAAAAGCAACGTCAGCAGCGTCATTCAAACATTCGGTTGAATGATAGTCTGGCTGCAACAGCCAAAAATCTTGATGTTGAATACTAGTAGGTCAGGGAGCCAGATGGTTCCGTTATGAAAGCAGTTGCAAATCACGTTACAGCTGCCATAACAATAGCCAGTGCCTTTATTTTTTATCTGAATTTGATTCATGTTTATCAGGTCGATGAATATAAATTCTGTCATTGTCTGTGGCTACTTATGTTTAATCATGCTTACCAAAACCAAAAACAACATTAAACTGGAAATAGAGTTATGTTTTTATTACAAGGATATTCTTTGAAATCACGATGATACCATAAACACTAAAATAATATTTTAGGTGGCACTCTGTACCAGGCTATGTTAAAAATAAATCTATCTTCTTTTTTTTACTTTACAGGCCAAGTACATAGCATCATGCATAGATGACATCAAACAAGAGTTGAGACAAGAGAATATTGCAGTCAAAGCCAATGCAGTCGCTAAGCTCTACTACGTAAGTAGTCGGAACATTTGGGACTCTCAATACTGTGTATGAGAGTCCCAAAACTTATGGTATTGAAAATATGCAACACAAGAAAATAGACTGCTCCTTCAACTTTGTCGGAAGAAACATCTGGTACACGTCTTATCTCTCCATGGTCTGCTTCAAAAATTGAATTCAGACTTCAAGCTTGGCTGATAAATACTGAGGAGCTTGTCTTGGCCTCATGAAAATCCAGGAGAATTTTGTGGTGTAAAGAGTGAGTAATTCTGGCCTGAATTTGTTTTGCATGTTTTTTTTCTGCACTCAAGGTCACAGTCTGCTATGTAAGTTTTTATAGGAAATTCTCTCTACTAAGTACAATTTTTTTCAGTTCGTATCCATTATGAATCAGTCAAGCAAACAACTTAAAAGAACACAGCACCAATTTGCTGCAAGTTGCATTATTCAGTCTGTTGTGTGTTCACTAAAATAACTTCACTCCTTGTGTGCTATTTTTCCTCATCTGGATAAGAAACAGGAGTTAGTATGATGTTGGTTGGAATTTTAAATCACTGTAAACAATGCCAGTGTTTGTGCAACAGACACAAGCAGATACAAACAATAATGATAAATATGTACGTTGTTTGTACCTGTAAAAAAATAGGTTTCCTTTTACAAATATACCTGCGGAGACGTTTTTTTCAGTGGTTGAGTTAAATTAGTGGTATTTAATTTATAAAGAGTTTCTAGAGAAACATACATATTATTGGCACCAGTACATATCTGAAAATATCTTTTAGTTAAACAAGTTAATTTGCATGTTTAATTTGCATACTGTTTGCCAGTTGACTGATCTGGCATATGTTGAAGGCTTTACTCAGTCCTCTGCATACATGTAATTTATAAGCAAATAGGCCTATACCATGATTCAAATATTGTCAAGCCATGAGCCTGTACTATATCATGCTGCATAATGTATGAATGCCTTGCCGTAAGGTCCTTATTTAAATATATTGAATTTGTAGTTTTATCCCATTAAATAATTTGCATTAAGGAGTGCATACGTGTACATATCTACATGTATATGTACCTTTAATTGAGTGTGCTACTGCTAATGGTTGACGGTGATGTATAAAATGGTTCATAAATTGTGATGCGATCAAGCTAAATGGGTCGTTTGTCGACCCTTATCAAATTTTTTTCCTTCCAATTTTAAATAGAACTATCTTTCAGTTTATATTTGGTGAAAACCCCATGTGAATACGACCTTCCGTTCAGAAGTTATGGGACTTAGAACACAGGCAGATCAGAAAGAAGAAAACACAGAAATCAAACAGAGAAATCAACGATTCAAAATTGAAGTATTTATTTAGCAACAATAAACATGCTTTATTTCAGGTTATTGAATATTAACTCCTTAGCAAATATGTCACATTTAATTTCATCATGAGTTTTTCTCGGAAAAAAGATAGTTGACATGAAAGAGGGCATATGTAGCCTTCCGATTTTACAAAAAAGGTCAATTTTGAAATGTCCACCCCTACTGACCTATTTTTGGCTGTATCTTAACCCTAACCGCCCTGAATGCATGGCAAAAGTGCGTTACTGATATCGTAGGATGCACTTTGTCAAGGTCTTGGGCCGGACCTTGTGTTGTTGTTCAGCCATGCATAAATATAGGCCTGGATTATGCTTGAAATCCTCCATACTGCTCCAGGATGTCACTGGCAAAGCCTTAACATATCGACAGTCACTGCCGTAGGATTCAGGCAGTGGTCACCCCTTCACGGACGATATTCGAGAAATAATGGAGGAATTTGCAGGATTGAGGCTATATATGCTTTTTTCCATGAAGCCAATTGGAGGATTTTGCAGGATTGAGGCTACATCCTGGCAAAAAGGCCTAGGGTACATGTATTCGGAGGGCCAGAATATACATGTATCTCTACACAAACATAGTAGGCTTGATACACATAGTACAAGTAAGGGTGTCAGTTCATGTGTTGTCATTGAAATACGTGTAGGTAGTTACAATGTACATGTACATTGTGAATGTGCAGTACACCCACACAAACAGGCATGACGGGCAGGTGCATGTGACATGTAACACTCACAGCTACATGTCAATGTATGTGCTGCTGTATAAGGTCTGTCTCCATGAATTGGGAGCAAAGGTGGAGTAGTTTGAGAAAGCAGAATTCTGCATTAGGGAAACTGCAGACATTATGGTCATAAAGAGGAGGGCAAAAAGTCCATTTCAAACATCAAGCCATAATGAATTACATGTAAAGGCTTTTTCAAAATAAAAGTCGTCCAAATAAAAAATAATGCAGAAAGTAACTGACTATGCAAAGATATTTTCTGAATGACCAAGTCTAATTGATTGTCGTTGCAATTGTGAAATACCAGATTGATTGCATAACTGATGCTTTCACACTCGTGTTTTCTATCGTCCTGCTTCTTCCACAGTTGGAAATGCTTGGCTATGACATCAGCTGGGCGGCTTTCAACATTATTGAGGTGATGAGCTCGTCTAAGTTTACTTTCAAACGTATCGGCTACTTGGCTGCATCTCAGAGCTTCCATGAAGGAACGGATGTACTCATGCTCACTACAAACATGATCAGAAAGGTTAGTAGACGAATAAGTACAAGTGAAATTGGACATGTGTTAACAACCAGATTACAATTCATGGAGTTGGTCTTTCTTCTGAAACCAATTGGATTGAATCTGCAATTTGAGAAGTGTACTTTCATCTACATGTGCAATTTACAAGTTTAAAAACAGCCAAAAAGCATCATCATTCAGGGATAATCCAGAGGATAATTACTTTGAACGAATTGTGAAATGAAAATCTTTAAATGGGTGTTTGGTACATTTATAATTACAAATTGAATGTTGGAGTTCACTGTATGGGCTTGACCTTATTCAGAATTTTGCACCTCGAAGAAAATTGCAAAAGAATTATCTGGCTTATTGACAAGCTGGTGATATTTATGCAAATTGATGCTACATGTATGAGTTTCCTAATGAGTGATTTTCACAGGATCTGGGCAGCAAACAAATGTACGATACCGGCTGTGCACTCAGCAGTCTGTCATGTTTCTTGACCTCCGAAATGACCAGTGACCTGGCCAATGACATTATGGGGCTGGTAAGTTCAGAGGTCAAAAGGTCACAGTTCAGGACCTGTTGGTTTGTACACGTACATGTAGATTATTTGAGACTTTTTCCCTGTTTCCTCCCATCCCTTGGCAAATTGTTGTACACCATGTGAAAACGCTAACCTGTAGGCCACTGTGTCTTCGGTAGAGTTGTTTGAGGTGTGAGGAATGGAACTACTAAATCGGAACCAAAATCGCAATTTTATATATTCGTTACTTAGCTGGATACCAGTCATATTTCTTATTTGAACCGATTCATTCCTGTTTTTACTGGTTTGCAACATTAGGTCAAAACAAAGCACTGTCATTGCTCCAGTCTTGGCTTTGTAATTTCTGCAATACATTAAGACCACAAGACAAGTTGCAATGTTTTGTAAAAAGTCTTTATTTTCATATATGATTAGATTTAATTGGTTCCATCCTTACACGTCAAACCATCATTCCTTTCAGCACTTTCATTGGTAGTCACTCTGTCATACCGTGTTTAATTCTGGCTATGTAGCTCTCGTACACGTATCTTTCAGTAGCCTTTTTTCCCGTTTTTCTTTTGTTTTGGTTTTGATCTCTCCAACTTCATGGTCACGTTACCCCCTGCTCCCCTCTGCCTTCAACACTGGTCCCACCAACCAATCGACTGCCTGACTGCCCCACGCAACTTCACCGTCCACCTGCCGTTGACACCTGCTTCATCCTGATGGTTCTAACGTGACCATCTGGGTGTATTCTGGGGGGTTATGATCCTGAGTAGGATATTAACAGTACGAACCAGTATGATGCTAGCGTGGCCATGAACGGTCTTGCATGTTTCACATCCCCTGACCTGGCCAGAGATTTGGCTAACGATCTCATGAGTTTGGTAAGTCCAGTGTTTGTTCCATTTGTTGATTTTTATTTGGTTCTTGTTTTGGTGTTCTTCACAATCAAATGTGATTTCATGGCTTTGCTTGCCATAGATGACGTATCTATGCTTACAGTCTGTTCAGTGTATTGGCTGTGATTGATACTGCATGGCCTAACAGTTAGCACAAATGGTAGAATCAATCAATTTGCTAGCTTGTTAAAACCATAACAAAGTTAAGTCTTGCTTGCAAACACTATTCAATTGAAATTGTCCTTGTGGCAGTGTGTGCCATTGGTTGAACCAATGTTTGTGTGGGTAGACGAGTCCATAAGGAAACAAAAGTGTGTCGCAAAAGTAAACTTGGGATGAAACAGGGAAACCAGATTTTCAGAGAGTTTGTGAAGGACCACATTTTGTGACAGCAAAGCTATGAAATCAGGTCCGGATAGTGTCGGTTTTCAGGTTCTTTGATAAATGTATTCGTTGATTTGTTTCATTTAATTTGGTCACTTCTTTTGTTTATCATTCTGGGCTGTTCTTGACGCTTCGAATCAGGTATTGGATTCAGATAATGAAGAAAAAAAAGAGCTAGGAAAAAAAAACACACAAAAATAAAATACAAAATTTCACTTAAGTGACAAATTGATGACCAGGAGACTTAATCCCAACCAAGTAACGTGGTTGACTAGCTCTGGGCTGACTAACTCTTAGCTAGTCAGTGTGCTAAAATGAAACATTCTAAATTGCAAAGAGCTGAATGCTTTTCATACGATTGTAAAGATCATATAGCTGGATGGCCTGTTTCTTAGTTTCAAGACAACTCTTGGTTTTAACAGTCTTTGCTTTGATTTGTATTTTATGTATAGTTGTCTTAACCCACACCAGTCAAACCATTTTAGTTTATTTTTGTTTGTGTGCTTTGTTTGATACTGTGCTACATCTGTTAAAGTTATCAAGCATTTAAAGATGAAGAACAAAGAACCATAGAACAAAGAAAAAAGAAAGGTTTCAGAATTGTTTGATATTTATGTTTAAAAAAATGCTTTTCTTCAAATCCTCCAAAGTCTGTGAAAATGTATCTGGTCAATATTCCTGGTGTAAGTTAATGAATATGAATATCAATAGGAATCAATTTGAAATGTACCTACATGTAGACTTTTCTTTATGAACTGGTATTGAATGCTACTTCCCACTTTATTTCCTTTTAGATGGCTTCCACAAAACCCTACATCAGGAAAAAGGCAGTGCTTCTAATGTACAAAATCTTCCTCAAGGTAAGGAAGGATTTCTTTCTGTCAAAAGATAGTAATGGCCCACACCTAGCACAACTTCCTAAAACATGGGTATTAGTAAAATGGCCTACAGCCCCCTCCAGACACTTTCTATCACTGTTTCTATCATTGTGTTAGAGTATGTTTCTGTGACTTGTGTTGTTGTTGTTGTTGTCATTCACAGTTCCCAGAAGCACTGAGGCCAGCCTTCCCACGATTAAAGGACAAACTGGAAGATCCAGATCCAGGTGAGATCGCTGATCATCAAAATGGCATTGGCACTGAACATTGTTCATGTTGTCTCAACTTGAATATTTTAGTTCTTGTGCTGAACCCGAAGGGCCACCCTATTGGCCTTTGGCTGACTGAGTAACCAACTGAAGACTGACTGACTGACTGACTGACTGAAAAGCGGCTGGAAAAATAAGTTATATAAATGTTGGTATTCATCTTGAGTCCTGAAATAATTACAAATATTGTAGCAATTATTAAAATGAGGGTTTTGGATTACTCGGCAGGTGTTCAGTCAGCGGCTGTCAATGTCATATGTGAATTGGCTCGTAAGAATCCCAAGAACTATCTGTCATTGGCACCGCTATTCTTCAAGCTGATGACCAGCTCAACCAACAACTGGATGTTGATCAAGATCATTAAACTGGTGAGTGTAGATGAGAAGAATGGTACAGTATTGTGGTCGAGGCTGGTCACAAGACCAGTCACATGTCTGGTGACGAGTCGATCAGAAGTCAATTCCTAAGAAAGGAATGTCTTTGTCACAATTAATTTGATTGACTTGTGACTTGCCACGGGACTGGATGACTTGTGATGGACGTGTGTACAACACCACAATGACATTGCCATTTTAAGAGTGAATTTTGGAGTATTTTGCTTCAGGAATTGTAGTATGCTAATGCTGTTGAACTTGTGTTTGTGTCTAGTTTGGAGCTTTGACACCGCTGGAGCCAAGACTAGGCAAGAAATTATTGGAACCTCTGACAAATCTCATTCACAGGTAAATCATCCACAGAGTCTTTATCTGCTTAGCTTCTTTATATGCTAAACATATTTTAATGATAACTCAGATATAAAAGGATTAATGTGCATTCTCTCACATTCACTTGTAATCCTGCATATTAGTTAACTGCTAAGTGGGAAGTTGCTTTGCTGAATAAAATTGCAGCATTAGTCTAGAAAATTGTTTGGTCGGATCAGAATAATAGCTTGAAATAGGAAATTATAATGAAAATATCATTTTTGTCATGTTTTCTTGACAGTACATCGGCTATGTCGCTGCTCTATGAATGTATCAACACTGTCATCTCCGGTAAGTCATACAAATTCCTTCTTTCTGAAATGTCTCTGATTAGTTTACACATTGACCATGAAAGATGGAGAGAGGTATTAGATGAACAAAAGGTCTTGAACCATCCAGAAATATACGAAGCATTGATAGTTGTTTTCTCTTTTGAATCAGTTTTCATGTGATGTTGTGCCAACCAACTTAGATTTTATCTCCCACGTCAAGGATGTCAGCTAATATTTTGACTCCCCCCCCCCCCAGAAAAAAAACCCAAAGAAGAAGAAATGGTATGCAAAGGATGCATTAAGAAGAGGGCCATTAAGGAAAGACAACGTCTCTCCCACAGCGTGGGAAAAATGGACGTTAATGGAAATGATGATGATGATGACAGCGTCCAGTCTATTTTTCTTTAATGAAAAATATTGGAGTGTGTTGTTAATTTTTTTGTAACTTACAGATGGCTTTGATAATTTTCCTTCTATAATCCAAAATGTATAAATTTCAGAAATGTTATTTAACACCATCAAGCTTGATGTTACAGTTGCTGATTTGGGAACATTACAAACCTAACATGTATTTGCTTTTAGATGTATCTCAGAGAATAGTTAAGAGTTGCATGGTTAGAGTCGAGGCATTTTTGTTTACTGTACTTGTGTCGTTCTACGTAGAATTGTAGTAGATTATCAGTGTTCTCATCAGGCTGGTATATAACACCTGCCTTAGTTCCTGCCACCTGTTATCGGCATGCACCTGTTTTCAACACTTGTAATTAGAGTTATTATTTCAGTGTCATGTCTAGATCTTTGAATATGCTCCTCAAACTTGGCAATAGATGTGCACATGTTGAGCATCAGGGTATATGGCTCAGTGTAATACCTGGGTAGTGCATGTATATAAACCCTTGTTTTAAGCAGTAATGCTACAGCTGTTGTGATTGTGCATGTGCATGACATGCTGCTGCTAACACGTTGTGCCTGGTCTCTACACTGTAAGAAGGCTTGTAGAGAGCACCAGGCTATCAAGCTTGTGCATGCTTTTGTGGTTTGAAATAATACTGACATTGTTTCTAGATGTAGTAGTTTACATACAGAAGCTGCAAGATATAGACTGGTAGCATTGCCACCACTAGAGGCCAGATCAGATAGAGGTCTTGTGTCCCACCTCCCATACCCTTCTCCCCATTGCTTCCTTGCCCTTTATCATCAGGCTAATGGGAACACTGATTTACGTTGGGAAGGTGTCAGTCCAAACTCAGAAATCGTGGGTCTCCATTTAACCATGCAACTGAACGCTGCTCTTTTTTTTCTTCTCTCTTTTCCCCTGTTTCTCTCCCGTTTGTCTATTATTTGTTTTTGTTTTTCCCTCTTTTTTTGTAACTTACAGTTTTGATTTCGTTATCTTCAGGAATGCCCGACCACTCCGCGTCAATACAGGTATATACACACATTCTGACATTGACTTGCTGAACTTTGACCCCTGACCTCCCCTGCTGCTTGAAGCGACCTTGGGAGCCTGTGGGATTGTTTTGTGGGTTGAATTGGTTTTGTTTCTGGTTTGTGGTGAGGTTTCTCCATTTGCATTTGCATTTGCACGCATTTTAATATGTTCATTTGAAAGTTGATATTAACACAATCTAAAGAGCAGAAAACTAGAATTTCCTGCAGTACAATGACAGCTTTGTTTTGTACGACCTGAACTGCGTGCCACTTTTTGATAGGTTCAAAGGTTTTCAGTCTGGTGCGCATGAGTCGATACCTCATGAAACAGACTTTGTTTCTAATATAGCGGAATCCGGCAACGCTCACATGAATGCTGCACGCGTTCTTAAAGACAAGGCGCTTATTGGTCTAAGGAGCCATGAGTGCGTGTATACTACCTGAATGCGACTCACGCGAGTCTGGTGCCGCCTCAGAACATGGCTGTCACCGGATTAGTATTTGTTCATGTAGATGTGCATGTCAATATTAAGATGGCTGCCTCGTGCTTGCTGGGAATTGGGCAAAGAATGCATGTCAGGCTTTACAGAAATCTGTGCAGAAAAACATTGTTGAGAAATTGCCAAGCAGAAGTTTGTCAAGCAGGTATAGATGATGCAAATAATAATTAACTTTTGATGAAGAAACACAACGGAGAATTCGCAAACTGAAGACGAGTCAAGCAAGAGCAACATACTTTTAATTAGTGTGGATATATTTTCTCCTTTACAAGTTTCTGCAAAGCAATTTTTTTAACAGAACAACCATAGTTAGCAAATTTCTGCTTTATCAGCAGGTTTCTGAAAAAGCCTTGAAAGGTTACATGTCATAAATGGCATGAATTTTTTTTAACCAATAAAGACGGAGTTACATTATTTCAGCCCATGCTGCTAAATTTGAAATTGCAAAACCCTTTTAGTAAGCCCTTTATTGACAAGTAACCTAAAACTCATTATTCCAATTCATCACCATGTCTAACAACATCACCCACCATAAACCATTTTGTAGCTGTTGTTGTTTTGATGTCATCGTTGGCTCATCAGTCATGGTTGTAAGTATTACTGACTCCAACAAGCAGCAAATAAGAGAGAAAGTAGGTCTTAGGAGTCAAGAAAATAGTTTTGTTGGTGATGCTTTGTTTTGAGTTATGGAGCAGGACATTCAGAAATGTCTGCATATCCTTGAAGTGACTGCTTTGAACATTTGAAATAGATGAGTACTCATTTCAGTTTGTTAGTTTTGTAAGCATCTTTGATCTACTAATAAAAAACCCTACTACTTCACAATTCTGTAGTTTATCATAATAACCCACTCACGAATAACTCATATTTGCCATTTCTTTAGAGCTTACATTCTAACACTCTTGTAAAGTAACAATGCATTTAATTATTTAAAATTAAAACAAAACTATGAGCTCTAAGAATGAACAAATGTCTTTCACAGTAAACAAAGATTACCATCTGCTGGTTTATATTGAATATATATAATAGTCAATGATATTTTTGTATTACATTTTATCGTAACCATGTCCATCCATTATTTATTTCCTTTGCCACAGCTCTGTGTTCAAAAGCTGTGCATTCTCATTGAAGATACGGACCAGAATTGTAAGTCCTTGAACTTTGAATTCTTGTCAATAATTAATCCTGTCTGCTGTTCAGTGTAGCTGAAATGAAACTACATCTGAATAAATCCAATTATATTAGCAGGTGAATTGAAACAGAAAGTCTAGCTTGGGTTAGTTAGGTAGACATGTAGTTTACATTGTGCAAATACTACAGTGAGTTGTAAAGATAAGCTGGTTACACAAACCAGATGGCAGCAATATTTATTTCTTTTCCAGTTTTAGCTTGTGTCTGGTTTCTGTTCATATTTGATTTTGAATAATGAAATAGTAAATGATTTCAAGGTCTGTGCAGAGTTTAAGGGTATTTTGGGAATTTAATTTTTTTTTGCTGTTTCCCAATCTTGATTGATTAAACCAAAGAGTCATGATAGTTTTTCCTTTTATGAATAATTGAATAATGGGTAAAGATAACAAAGTACTTGAAGATAAAAATAATACAGCCAAGATCCTTCCAAGGGATAACAAGTTAGGAAAGATTGGATTTTACTTGAAAGACCCCTAAAAATTGAACAAAACACCACAAGGTTAAGATATATATTTTGAAAACCGTAAGATTTGATATATTTTTTGTTCAGCAATGGCTTATGAATTAAACAGTTTTGAATCAGTTTTTGAATCCCTGTAATTTATTTTTGTTCCTCTCCAGTGAAGTACTTAGGCTTGCTGGCGATGGGTAAGATTCTTAAGACTCACCCCAAGTCAGTTCAGAGTCACAAGGATTTGATCTTAGACTGCCTAGATGACAAGGATGAGTCTATACGTCTCAGAGCCCTGGACCTACTCTATGGAATGGTAAGGGTTTTATTGGAGTAGTGTTGTAATTCTTGCTCTCCTATGCTCTTTTTTTTCTCACAACAGATTTTCATGTTTAATTTTGATCTTAAATATTTTGAACATTTTATTCAACAAATTTGTTTTGAAACATATTTTCAGTTGTTATGTTTTATTGTAATCCGAAACAATATTTAAATTTTATTGAACCAATCTTTTGAGGGAGTCAAATGTTGTTGAAAACTTCAATCTTTTCAGGTCTCTAAGAAGAATCTGATGGAGATTGTCAAGAAGCTGATGATTCATGTTGATAGAGCGGAGGGTTCGCAGTATCGGGACGAACTGCTGGCTAAGATCATCCAGATATGTAGTCAGAATAACTATCAGTACATCATCAACTTTGAATGGTAAGTTCTGTCAGTAACACAATAAGAAAGGTTACCAATTCAGCTATTTGAAAATACTTGTAATTGGTAGGATTTTTCCTTTAAGATACACAGTGTAAAACTTATGACCCTCATGTGTTGGAGTATTTTCTGCTTTGAGATTGTTTCTTGTAATGATTCTGTCTGATTTGTAATTGATTGGTAACAGGTACGTGAGTATTCTAGTTGAGCTGACTAAGATTGAAGGGACGAAGCATGGCCACCTGATTGCATCACAGATGCTGGATGTAGCCATCCGTGTCAAGGCTATACGAGCCTTTGCAGTCCAACAAATGGTAAGACTCGTTATCAGACTGTGACAGGTGTTTATTCCACTGGCAGTGAAGAATGTTTGGATGGCCTCCATTGATTCTCTGTAGAATGCAAGATTGAGTAAATTGACCCCAAACCAAGTCATATTTCTGAAAAGATATAACTATGATGAGACCTTATATAGTTTTGAACTTCACTGAGGATATATAAAGAATACAAGAGGACTATTGAACCTTCATATTGATCAGTGAGTTTACACCTGTTTATAAAGGGCAGTTAATTACCTATAAACATAGATCCTTTGTTTGATAGCATTTATACTTTTACTTCTGGCACTGCAACTGGTATAGGTGATATACAAATCTCACTAGTTGTACCATCAATGATACCTCTGTTCTAAGATGCCCCATGCTCTACGGGTTTTGCAAATGATGTGTGTAAGCAGTTAGGTGACTTATTACTTCAACCAAAAAGATTTTGTTTTAAATACTGTGTCTATTTTTAAGTGTCAAATTTGATCTTCACAGGCCAAGCTTCTTGAGAACACCAGTCTGCTAGTGGGTTCTGCAGCTCAACTCAACGGTATCTGTGAGGTGCTGTATGCTGCTGCTTGGATCGTTGGCGAATTCTCCGACTTTCTGCTGGAACCACGCTCAACGTTAGAAGCCATGTTGAGACAGAGGGTGACTAGCCTGCCAGGTCACATACAGGTCAGTTGCAATTTAGCTGTCTAATTTTTAATATTAGGTTTTGTCCTTCATCGACGTATAAACACTGTATACTCAGTGATTTACCTCCTGAGTGACAGTTGGAAAAAATCACTCTGGTGGGACTCGAACCCACGACCTCCTGCTTTCTAGTGCAGACGTCTTACCACTGGACCACCGAGCTTGCAGGATCGGTTGGCTGGTTCGAATCAGATGTAGCAGCGGGTACTGCAATGAAACGATTACACAAAAACTAATTAAGATGTACCATTCCTTTGACCAGGTTTCGCTGATGATGACATGTTGCCTGGGCTTTGCCTTAAAACCAAGTTTCTAAATTAAAATAAGAACTTGAATTTCATGACTCATTGCAAAGATGCATGAATTTAAAAAAAATAACAATAGAATCAGCTCTCCCCTTGGATCTCTAAGCAGTTAAATCTTTGCCTGGATAATAACTAAACCTAGATAAAAACCTCAAGGCAGTGCATTTTTTAATTTTTTGGTTGCAGAGCATTTATGTTCACAACATCATCAAGCTGTACAGTGCAATACTGATGAAACTTGAGCCGGACGGAGAGAAAGAACAGATTACTGAAGTCACTCAACTCATCTCTGAGAAACTGCCGGTGTTTGCTGAGAGTGCCAACCTGGAAGTACAGGAGAGGGTAAGTGCAGTCCACCAAATTCAAATTTGTATTTGAGCCGGTCTTTAGTCACCAAGTCAGTCACAAGTCATCAAGGTACAAGCCACAAGCTTGTAGTTAAATTGAGAACTTTCCAAGTGGTGCTGTAAAGTAAATAACATTAAAAGGCTCAAGAAATGAAAAGTGTCCAAGAACAATTTTCTACACAAAGATTAGCATTCACCTGTTGGAATATGGTAAAAAGCAGCATCATTACTTAGTCAAGGCATCATTGTATTGACTTGATAACAGGCCTGCTGCATTCTGCAAATGCTGAAGTACATTAACAAGCTGCAGGAGAAAGATGTGGGCGTGGCTGAGGAGGTTGCCGCCCTCTTTGCTGGAGAACTGAATCCTGTGGCTCCTAAAGCTCAGAAGAAAGTCCCTGTACCCGAGGGGTAAGTAGCTAGAGTGAAACTATGATTGGGAAAAAAGGAAAAATAACACAAGCTTACTGTTACTTTCTTGAAAGAAATCTAATTCTATAGGTCTACCACCTGTAACAACCTGTCTGTTGAGGCCACTGTGAAATGCTCGATATTCTCAGCCTCTTTCTTCAAAAACCCATGAAATATTTAATGAAAACGAAGCAGTAATATTTGGGAATGGTTCCTTTATTTCAGCTTGGATCTTGACAAGTGGATTAACGAGCCACCTTCAGAAAGTTCTGATGATGAAGTCACTATTGACACCATGTTTGTGCATGACGCTCACAGGTAAGACTGCTTTATACTTCACACACTCCGCTAGATATTCTCCTATGGATTGAGAACTTCATTCATGAAACATCTATTCATAGTTTTTAATTTGGTAGGAGTTTCCATGCAAAAGAAATGCAAAATATGTTGGGTTTATCTTTGAAATTTGTTGACTACGGTTCATAGAAGTAAACTTATCGAGAACTAGGGGTGTGCATCAGAGCCTGGTACCCGAGTACCCGGCCGCTGATGTCAGGAACCGGTTCCAGATTATGGGATCGGGTACCAGTAACCAACTTGACAAATTACTTAGTAACTTCTCAGATGAGGAAGTGTGGGGAATTTCCAAAATGAAAACCAAACCAAAGTTCATGTTTATGTGCATTTTAACGTGCGACAGATGGCATATGCGAAAGTTGCGGTTTACACTGTAAAGCTACCGTATGAAGCCCTTCAATTTCCGGGATTTGAATGTTTAGTTTGGGCTTCTTGTAGGGGTACCCGGTACCTGTGTTTTACTTCAATAGGGTACCCGGTTCTTATAGAGGTACCCGGGTACCTGTGTTTTACTTCTATAGGGTACCCGGTTCTTGTAGAGGTACCCGGTACCTGTGTTTTACTTCAATAGGGTACCCGGTTCCTGTGTTTTACTTCAATACGGTACCCGGTTCTTGTAGGGGTACCTGGGTACCTGTACTACCCGTAAATGCACACCACTATTGAGAACCGTGGTGCTTAAGATATTCAGAGTTTGTTGAGCAGGCTGGAGCGTCTCCTAAAGCATGTTTCAAACTTTCATACTTGCATACATGCTGCTTGATACAGGGGAACATCATTAAGGTATGGAGATATTTGTCGTTCATGCATTGTCCCAACAAACCTGACTCTTTGATTCGGTGATATTTGGGGATTTCAACTCAATCTCCCCGTGGCATTCTGATCCCAACCCTTATGTTGCACCTGAGGCTGTCTCACTCCCCAACCCAATTCAAAATTATTTCATCCTAAACCTTCCTTTCCTCCATGCATCCCAACTGGAAAAAGATAAAGTTGACTTTAGGAATATTAATCTTCCCAGTGACAGCTTTTCCTGAACATGATCACTGTGACTGTCTGAAATGTAGACTGCTTATCGACTGGTTACATCTTATCAACAGAAGTTTTCTTTATTTTTCTTCATTTTCCCAGAGTGAGTCATAAGACAAAGTATGAGGAACCTAATGAGGACGAACTGCGTCGACGTCGCGATGTACGACGTGAGGAACAAGCCAGTAACCCACACTACCTGAAGGATAGCCGCAAGAAGAAACTCAAAGATCTGGCTGCTGAGAATGACGTAACGGTTGATGGAATTCCTGTCGCTAAGATAGATCTCAATGTACCTCTTCATGTACCTGGTAAGAACTTGTCAAATTTATGCAAGGCAGCGGATTGTTTTGGAGATGGCAAAAAATATGTTAATGTATGTAGATTTCTCAATGTGCTTTGGACTGAGTTCGACTGAGCTACCAGGGTCACTTGACCAAAAGTCTTGAATTGATCGGTCAGTGTGCACTGTTTGATGGACTTACAGGTCAATTAAGGGTCTGCGTAGCTAACATTTTTATAGAAGAACAAAAGTATTAATAGTTAAGTGTACTGCATTTTCTGGGTATAGGCTGACATGCATTTGTTTTTCTTGATATAAAACATTTTTCTAGTTGCTTTTTGTGAATCAGTGAGAGAGATTCTTATGTACAATATAATTTTTTAAGATTTAGTTGATTTCTGCAGTTATTGACAGCACTTTTGCTAATGAATTTGTAGTACTTTCAAGGAACGTTATTTTCTGAGTTTTGAATGTTATTTCAGACAAAGAACGTGTGAAATTCCCCTATGCACTTGAATATGCATCATATACTAGTCATGAATATTCCAAATGGTGACAGTTTTCTTGATTGACATCACACATTGATACATTTGGCTTTTTCATCCTGCATCCTTTAAGTTTTTTTTTTACACTTTTTTTTGTCTGTGCATGCGTCTTGGATTCTCCTTAGGCGTGAAAAAAGATGATTCTCGTAAGACAAAGAGTTATCGCGATATTCCAGGTGATGAAAGAATATGAACATAAAAGCATGCCCCCTCGCCCCCCAAAAACCCCAAAGGTCATATTATCTTGCTACCCTTGCATGATCATGGTGGATGGAGTTTTTACTTTCTTCATCTTGACAAAACTGTTGGAAATGTTTCTTCTTTTCCTGATTCATATTTGGAGGGCATAGTGCATTTTCTGACTGTAGTACATGTACATGTTGATTCAAGACCCATTTTCACAATTGATTGGGCACAACGTTTATACAGATGGGGATTTTTTTAATGATCGATCTTTTGCCCCTAACCTTCACAAATCTGTCAAAATCCTCTATGTTTTTTGAAAGACTTTTCAGGCTTCAGAAGGCATAGCTAAGCTGCTCTTACTTCACGGGCTGATTTATCCTTCCCCGGAAGTCATGAATTGTAAACTTTTAGCCGGACAAAAAGTTCCCATAACTTCCAACAGTTTTGTGTTTGCTTGGTATCCATGCTTGTACATGTTGCATCATGTGCATGTATGTGTACATCACAATTTTTTTTCAGAATTCCTTTTAAATAGGTTTTAAAATTTGATTTTCGATATTCTTAAGTACCACAGAAGTAAGGCAGTTCTAAACCAAATTTAGTGAAGGAACACTTTTTTAGATTATTGTGATCATTTATTTCCATGGAAATGAGCATTGCATTGCAATCTATGTGTCATCTTTATATGCATTCCATTTGGTGATCGGTTTCTGATTGGTGCAGATTTCATGCCACATTGTCGTCCTCGTTTGTTGAGTATTTGTCCTCTGTGATTTATTTATTTTTGTAAAGAGTAACATAAGCTTTCTGTCAAATTGTTTGTATGTGGTACATGTGATTGAAATTATTATGAAAGGGTCAAGTGTGTTTAAGTATGTGGAAGGAAATTTGTTCTTTACTTATAGCAGGTTGTGATATTTTTTGTGCTTTTGTGAGAATTCAGTTGTGCTGTTGTGATGTGGACGTTCTTGTGTTTTGTAATGGAAAAGAGTTTAGTGAAATGTAACTCATCAAGGTTTGATTAGGTTTTGAGAATTAGGTGTTGGAGGTGTCCTCATCATGTTGGACTCATCGTGTGAGTCCAACACTCACAGGATGTGGCACAAATGGGTCGTTTTATGTCTTCCCTTGAATTTGTGTCAGCATCCTTCATTCAGTGAATTAAAAGAGCTGTTGGACAAGAAAGAAACACTTTGAACGTCACTTAGCAAGTTTTGAAATGTTTTTGTTTTGCAGGTTTTAATGTGACCGATGAGTACATGAAGAAATCCAAGACATCTAAGAAACACAGGAAGAAACACAAGAAGGGCAAGAGAGGGCGCCATATATCTGAGTCCAGTGATGATATCAAGGTGGCTCATACGGTGGACATCGTGGGAGAAGAAATGCCTGAGGTAATGTTGGGGGATCACACAGGCTGGTCCATACTTAACGCCAATGCGAAGTGAATTTTATTTCATGAAACATTTGCTGCCAAATTTGCAGCCCGAGTTGAAATATATATTCAAATTGTGCACATTCACAGCACACATGCTTGAAGTGGCGTCACAAATTTGGGCTTTTGATCGCCTTCGTGTGGAGTGTGAACCGGCATTTAGAGAGGTTTCACATGCAAGCTGATACACATGTGCAAGAGTTTAGCTGTCTGTAACCCTGTGAGGTATTGTTTTACTGAGAGTATGCGCTCTCAGTCATCCACTTCGCTATCATAAAACCTGTACCGCTGGCAGTATTAACCCTCCTGCTGTCTGAACAGTCACAGACAGTCAAAAAATCTATCCTTTTCCCCTGCCATACCTTTTACACAGGCTAGTCACCAACAGTCAAATTGTATTTTAAGCAAGCACTGTGACTAGTCAAATTCAGTTTACAGACAAAAGCAGGCAAGTGGTGGGCACAGCTGACTTATCAATCACCTACAGTTAAAGCACAGCTGTATCAAGTTATATAAACAGTCCCAGTCAATCCTGCTTTACGTAGGCTGGGAGCTCTTCACTGTTGAAAACAGTTACGTGACTGATTTTGACTGAAAGGACAGCTTTGCACAGAGTTTATGTTTGCATAGGGGGGATAATCCAATATGACGGCAAATGTATATCAACTGAACATACAATCATAAAGTAACACCTATCCAATTTTCAATGTTTATCTGTAGCCATATTTGTTGTGTTATTCAATCTTATTGACCGTCTTGTCTTCAGGGTGCAACATTTTCAGACGATGATGAGGATGACAGAGCTCTAGATGATCCCCACCGAGCGTTGGACATTGATCTGGATAGGTAAGACTTAACCCATTAGCACCTGTACTAGATTGTATTACATTGTATTACATTGTATTACATTGTATTACATTGTATTACATTGTATTACATTGTGTTTCGTTGTATTACATTGTATTACATTGTATTACATTGTATTACATTGTGTTTATTCACTGAAGAATAAATAAAGCCATAGAGTGCTTGGGCGGTTTTTGGGCGCCACAGTGAGTAATAGGCTGGATAGTTTTAGGTGTTACAGTGATTAAAGGGTTAAAGAACATTTATTTTTTTACTTTTGACATGAAATGTTGTGAACAACAGAATTTCAGCCAATCCCAGTTACACTAACACTTGATCTCACTGTAAAATATCCGGCAGGCTAATCTAGCAGTGTTGTAAGAAAATGATGAAGGTGATGGAACATCACAATTCTCAAGTCGTCTTTGTGATTGTGTGCAAAATTACCTGTGCAGTTAACTTGTGTTTTTAATTATGAAAGCGTAACTCTAACCCTGCTAGATACAACACAGTGCATCAGGTGGAAAAGTCTGGTGCACTTTGATGCATTCAGCTACCAACACCAGTGCATGAATGGCCAGCTCTGAAACAATGAGAGCTAGTTCCCTTGAACAATGCCACAGTTGTATCCTGCTGTGTTCGGTGACCACAGACTCTGAGGCAGTTTGGCCTTGAGACTTTTGGCCTGATGGATCTTGCTGCACTGGGCAGGCTTGTCACTTAGACAAGTGTTGCATGTTGCTGCATTTGGCAGGGTTTCTGGCCAAAATACCCTGGAGGGTTAGGGTTGATTGTATTTCTAGCACTTGTTCTTGTGATATAAACCCTTATGCTAATAACACATATGATGACATACCCAACCTCTGATGTCCATACTAGTCCTTTTTCTTAAGACAAGTTGCTTTCGTAATTAGTTATTGAAGGTTTTCGCCAATTTGTTTTTTTGTCCTTAGGCCCTTGGATGACCATGACAAGATTCCCATCAGAGAACACCGTGTTGTTGCCGCGGGACTCAAGATGGAAACGGGCCAGGAAGCGACGGAAATCGCAGAGGGAGAGAAGCCCAAAAAGAAGCATCATCATCGGAAAGAGAAAGAACACAAAGAGAAGAAAAGCAAGAAAGATAAGAAGGTTGGTCAAGACGAAAGCAAGATGAAAGTCAAGGAGATCATTTCTCAGGATCTTAAGAAAAGCTGATACAATAGAATAGACTCCAGTGATGCTGTCGCATTGATTCCCAGTCATACGCATACATTTGTTGAACCCAATAGTTCCTGTACCGCCCCGAACTGCCCCACCCCAGTACTGTGTAGTTTGAAGGGTTCATCAGAAATAAATACAATCTAATAATAATGTAAAACAAGAACTAATTGTCAAAAAATAAAAAATACTCATAAAATTGAGAACCATGTGATAATTCCTATATTTAGCACAAGAAGAAGTCTGCTGAGGCAGTTGAAGAAACCCCAGCAACTAATGAGGAGGCGGTTGATTTGATGCCTGGGATGGAGGAAGCAGAGCCTACAAGGACGAACGGTCAGATAACAGACGCAGTGACGCAGGCAAACACGGCTGGAGCAGAGGCTAAGCCAGGGGAACCTGCAAAGGTCAGTACCGAGGTCACGTCTGCAAATCCTTCAATAAGATCATGTCACATACAATAATGCATTGTAAGGCCAATTCACGCCAACGTTCACTGGGAATAAATGAAAACTATCTTGTTTGTCCATGAAATATGGATGGATTTTAAAAAAAATGTTGAGTTCTTTGTGTACAATGTAGAAAGCAAAAAGAAAGCTGATTGTGTGGCTGTGTTGAGTGTCGGTAACCAACAGGCAAGTGGCAGGTGTCATGTTAAACAGTGTAAAAAAAGCTATCAACACTGGTATTGCCCCTTCATCAACGTAGTTTTGTTGATCTTTTTTTGTTAGGATGATTTGAGTTTCTGGCTTTCCAAGGCTTCAGATGAACCTAGCGTCGCAACGGTCGTTGAAGATGCTCCTGCAGATACGAGTGAACCTCCACCTGAGGAGGTAAGAACACTCCACCTTGCCAATGTTTACTAGATGGGTTGAAGAAGAGAGGAGGAAGGGGTGAGGGGAACATTCCCCCCCTTCCTCAGTTGAACATTTGGAGTCTTCCAAAACACTTCATGTGTAAGATTTTGGCTTGTTGGGCCTAATTAAAATGAAGATGAATACTTTATAAATTGAATTTCTTTCTGTTTTGTAGAAGCACAAGAAGCATCACAAGAAGGAGAAAAAAGCCAAGAAAGAGAAGAAAGAGAAAAAGAAACGATCGCATAAAGGTCACCATGGCGACGAAGAAAGACTTGAAGAAGAGGAGACGGGAAGGACGGAACAGATGGAGAATGGAACAGTGCAGGAGAGCGCACCAGAAGTAGTCATACCAGTTAGTAGTGTACTCTAGATAGGGCTGCGGCTGTGGCTTGCAAATACACATGCGTCTATGGGAAGTGGCTCAATCCACTTCCCATAGACGCATGTGTTTTCATCAGCCATAGTCTCAATTAAAAAATTACCAAATATAATTTGTGCACTTGTGAAAGCCGCATCATTCTTAATGTCAGTGTTTATTTTTGGAAGATTTTTTTTTTTTGGTAGTAGAGGTAAAAAAAATAATCTTCAAAGAGTAAAAACAGTTGAGATAGTTTCAAAACTTGTTAAATAACTTTATTTGATTTCTTTTCATACTTTTGTTTCTTTTCAGCCAATGTCCAGTTACAGACTTTTAGCTGAGAATAATTCTATTAAAATGGTGAGTATCATTTAAAAAGGAATCTCTAAATGCCCTTTCACAATTCTGAGCCACCAACCAAATTAATTGCTGCTTTTTTGCTTGTATTTTGTCAGTAATCGAAATGGTTTAATTGTTTTGTTTCTTTCATTAGATGTATGAAACAAGGGTAGAACTGAAAACCCAGAATCAGGTCGTCGTGTCGGTAATCTTCAGCAATCTCACTTCCTCTCATCTCAAGTCATTGGACTTCAACGTCTTAGACTCTCTCAACACCAGGCTAATACGAGTGGTGAGTCTAGAAGTTGTAATTGGAATGTGTGTGTAAAATATTAAATTCCTGCTTATATAATATCCAGAAATTTACTTAGTTTTGAAGTTTTGTATGGAGTGAGTGGGAAAAGTAAGGCGAAAGTTAGAAGTGACAATAATGAATAATGAAAGTGATGACACCAAAAGATTTTTTTTCTTGAAGCATTTTTTGAATCACTAGTCTTATTTGGGATCTTGCCTTGTAAGTCGGGGAATAATTAAGAAAAACCCAAGAAAATGAATTCTTAAACTTATCTTGGATTAGAAGTCTCCTAATGGGTTTTGGCAAGTCTTGTGACTGTTAGTCTGGTTCTGATTTGACAGGATTTGACAAGTCAGCATGAAGGAGTCAAGGTACCATTCCAGTTGCCCCCTGGCATGACGAATGAGGGACAGTTTGCATTCACAGTCAAAAGCATTACCATGGCACAGAAGCTGCGTGGAACACTGACCTACATGCTCAAGGTAAGAGGCATCAAAATGTACACCGTTACAGACTGGTGTTCCCTGAGTGGCTCAGAATTATTCCAAAGATTTGAATTACGTGCTTGATAAGCAGTTGGAGCGACTACATTGACTACAAAACTACTAAAGTTTGCTTGTCTAAAATGAAAATAGGTTTTGTTGACCTAAGTTGGATCTTATACTAGTTGGTGTGGCCCGACTCTGGAATATCAGTCTGAAGAAGCCAGCTCGGGGGTGTGTCGATGAAGTAGTTCAGGTCAAAGGTCATTCGGGGTAAAAATCGCTGACGCCATGTTACGCGATGTTACGCGATGTTACGCGAATGCCCATTAACACGCAACGGGCGAATGCCCGTTAACACGCAAGCATCGTGCCTCTGTCTCCTTGGCCGTTCATGCGTCTTCAATGAGCGTTTGATTATCCCGAATGACCCGTGACCCATATCATTGTGCGCATGCGCAGTTGAAATACCGTACTGGCTTATTGGATGTTTACTTACACAGCTTCTGGAAAGCACGCCCTCAACTTCATAGTCCCTCGTTCTAATCAGTATAAGCTGTAATACTCTCTTGCTTTGTTATAATGAACCAATCTCTTGACATATTTGGTTTTTGGGTCTTTATTCTTCAGGATGATGCAGGTTCCACAAGTGAGAAGATTGACTTCAAGGTGCACCTTCCCGTGTCGGCTTACTTTGTGCCTAAGCAGTGTTCCAGGTAGGCTGAGACTTAAATAACCAAGATTCGTTTTCAAGCAAGATGACATTTGTTTTAATTGCCAGTTTAGGCTCAACTCGGAAAGTATATTACCCATAGACATTTCTTACAAACTCAATATTTGAGTCTCATTGAAATTTGTTACTACCACAAAAGCTACACATCAATTTTGGAATCTAATGGTATATGTGAGACGCTTTGAGTTTGTTTCTCAATTGTTTAACTTCTTTCTTGAGAACTATTATTCAAAATGCAACTTTGTAATATATATGAACTGATTTTGTGTCTCCATGACAGTGCTGAATATGCGGAGCTGTTGAGTGGAGGGGACTTGAGCAGCAAGCAGTCCATGACCATCCCCAATATTGAAATGGACTTTTCCATCGTCCTTGCCAGAGTACATTTCTTTGGGCACCTTTCACTTGTTGAGAGGGTAGACACGACAGCCTCTCTGTATGGTCAGTCAATACAGGGCCATCAAGTCTGTTTACTTCTTAAAGCATTGGTAAGTCAGCTCGGTTGCTCTGTAAACTTTTTCTTCCTCCATTCACATTTTGCTGACGTGTGTGGTAATTGAATATTGAATAATTGATCACTGAATTATTGAAATATAATGGTCTACTATTGATGATGGTAGTATGATTGATTATTGAATGTTTGATTATTGAGTATTACCGTGATTGAAGTACTATTGACTAAAGAAAACATTTATTTGAACATTAAATAAAATTATTCTTGCTCATTGGGTGTTTTTTTTTTTAAATTAAGAAATTTCTACAAGTTGTAATTAAAAAAAAATCTCATTTCTTTCAGCTTGGTTTTCTCTTTATCAGTTGACATTACCGGTTTGTAGAAGTCAAGTTATTGAATGAAACTTGAAGGGTTTGCTTGGTGCACATGATCAATGAATGGGAGGTTTGTGGTAACACCATGTGAATGATATATCTCTGTGAGTTGTGTGGTTCTGAAACCAACTGGTTCTTCTCAGAAGCACACAACTCACAAGGAGATATCATTCACATGGTGTTACCGCAAACCTCCCATTCATTAAGGTCATTGAAAGGAAAAATTGTATATCTGTAGAAAATTTGGAATCTTTTCATTTAAATGTGTTCTCTTTGTTTATTGTTGTTCAGCCAAACAAGAGCATCTCTGTGGATGGGAAGAGCTCTGATTCCAGTCTCCTATCCTCACTTCTTGATGACGTCAAGACATTCCTGACTGAAGCGTAAAATTCTATCCATAAAATTATTACATAAGGCTGGTTCAGACTTCATGCAAATTCGAATGCTCAGTGAATTTGATGTCATAAAACATTGACTGCAAAATACCTGTGTTGAAAGATGATTAATTTTGTGAATTCATAAAAACCTTTCGTAACGTCACACATTTGCATTCTTGTTTGCTATCAGAGTATGAACAAGCCTTCACATGGTAAAACAAACCATGCTTATTAATGCGACACTGAACCTAATCATGTAACACTTCCCTTAACCTTAGTCCTGCGACTTGTTTTAAACAAAACATATCTTGTGTTATAGGAATGCGAAATGAATGATTTGTTGCAAATGTTGACACTGATCTGTAAGCCATATGCATGGCAGCCATCTTAGTAGGCGGTTGTTTTGTTCCTTGTGATGGGCATAAATACACCTGTGTTGTTCATGCATTGTTACTATATTGAATGTACAAAAATGCCCTCTAAGGTTGCCGTTATGGATAAGGCTTAGATTAGCAGTTGATGTCAGAAAAAAAAGAAGAAAGAAAAAAAAGAATCATTTTATATTTGTCGGATTAGATGAAATCTCTGTGCTGTCAAACCAGTCACCTTTCCGTTTACAAAGAAATAACAAATCTGTTTATGAGGCGAAAACGCCCGTTGCAGACAAGCGTTCCTGAGGGAGCTAAACCAAATAATTCCTGAGAATCCAAAGAAGTTCAAAGTTGGTAACAATTAAAAGCGAATACACACCCATTGTTGAATTGTCGACTGTTGGTGTTGTTTGGAAAATTTACACATACAGTTCAATTGTCTGAAAGCAAACTTTAGTCTGACTGTAGAGGCTTCAAATGCTCTTTGGTTTGGTGCGTCTCTGGAACGCTAGTCTGTAACAGGTGTAATGGAACAAATTGTGTTAATTTTAAAAGAAAAAAATGAATGTAAGGTCTGGTTTGGCTACAGAGCTGCAGTATATCAATGTTAATAGATATATTATATATATGTGTATAAACAACATAGTAATTCCAAAGACATTTTTTTGATATTAAGATGTAGAAATTATGAAAACAGCAGCGGGTTATGTAATGGTTCTTGAGGATGGGGAAAACAACTGGAAACTATTGGAGGAGGGTTTTGGGTTTGGAGACGTGGGTTTTTTGAGGTGGTTAGCGGTTCAGGCTGGAGACGGAGGCTAGACATTGAAACAGCTTGGATTGACAACAGAACGGTATCATCACAAAGACAGCTTCATTGAAATGGAGAAAATTTAATGAGTTCATCAGCAACCATAGCTTCTTGGTATCAAAACCTAACGAATTGCCATCTCGTTAGGTAGATACAACCACACACGGAGCTTATACTGTCATTGGTTGCCTTTGTACACCAAGAGTTAATGAATAACTGCTGCGTATGAGGTCTCACACCATCAAGTACCAAACTTCACACCTTCTCATGGAGTCTATCACAAAGACAGCTTCATTGAAATGGAGCAAATTTAATGAGTTCATCAGCAACCATAGCTTCTTGGTATCATAACCTAATGAATAGCCATCTCGTTAGTAGATTGCGTACCGTTATTTGGCTGGATAAGAAAATGCACAAACTGGATGCGGAAAACATTGGGTAGAAAAAGTGGGTACAATTTGGAAAGTTCTACATCTGCACTAATGGGACAAACAGTCTGGACAGTTTACTAATAATAACCATTCCTATCAGTTTTATTTGGCTAAACATGACAATTTTGTGTGATAAAATGATGGTATTTGCAAACAACAATTGCAAACAAGTTGAGAAGTGTGTTTATGTTGCTAGAAAGATATCAGGGAATTTGTATTTTTGGTCAGATCAAGCCTGGAAAAGTTCCTGAAAACCGCAGAATTTTCCGGGGGGGGGGGGGGGGGGTCGAAGGATAAAAGTGGAACATCTATTAGTCTCACAGCTAGAATAAATATGTCTTTAAATAAATTTGAGTATTTTATGCCGGGTTAGGAACAAGCAATGAAATATGGAAAAGAAATTTCATCTCGAACTGGCTTTTGAAATATTGCTTGATATTAAGTTAGTCTCTGGGAAAATTCTTGCATTTGTTGTCAGGAAAAAATTAAGTTTCTTGTCAATATTCATTTCATTACTAACTTTTTTCCGTGTATTATTCCATATAAAATAAATTGAATGAATATGCTGATCTACTTGATGTTGTAGATATTTCCTGTAGAATACCAGCCGTAACATTATTATGCTTGCAATCCCCTGACCATAATGTGTTTGATTATTGTCATGTGATCAATCCTTGTTACATATACATTTGCTAATAGGATGTTATCGAGAGATAATTGTATTGTGGACAATACTGTGTTTAGTTTTTCATTCAGGCTTTAGTTTCAATCTGTGGACAATTCTTAAGTTGATTCCTATTATGCACGTTATAGCTGTACTTGTTCCATCTACATGTGGTCTGCCCTAATAGCTTTTAGGCTGAAACCTGTCCAGTGCAGAGTACTTAACAATTGAGTTTCGGAACAACAAAAAAGTATTAAAGCAAGCTTGGAAACGAGGATTTAATGCATTATAGCTTCTGTTTTGATGGAAATCCTATTAACTGAAATCCAGGGGTCACGAACACCGATCAACGGGATTGCACGGAAGCGGGGAAAACAAGATAAAATGCAAACGAGGGGAAGGAACGAGGAATCGAAATTGTGGCCAAGATTTGACATGGTTTGATCTTTTCAATACTTTCCAGAGCTTTCAAGATAATAACGTATCAGTATCAGTTTGACTTGGACAAAACCAAACAACTTCCAATCCTATTCTTGACTAAGATTTTTGTCTGTTTGCCATTTTGTTTTCTATCAAACAGTAATTGAATCACAGAACCAACCGTCCCTCGCTAATGATTTTACATGTAGATTTTTGTGACGTTATAAAGTGTAATTAAGAAAAAACAGACGCAGCTTGTTGGTGTTATGTAGCAAAGCATTTATCCAAAAATAATAAATGTATCTTACCTGCGTACTCATTGTGAAATAATTCAAAGTAGCATTAGTTTACGATAATTTAGAATGCTGGAGCTACGTTGTTTTAAGGATAATCCTAGGGTACTACGTGTACGTGAAAATGGAAGAGACAATCTGTTCATTTTTTTGTTGAATAAACAGGAAACAAATGAAGGAAAACACCTAAATTATTAAATTATTAAATCCATTGGTGCAATAACTAGTACCAGTGAATGCAATGATGGCATATTGTTTTAATATCGAGTACTGTATGAACTGTGATCATCGTGAACGTGTATGATATATCCATACTGGCGTATTAACTGTTCTGTTTTTTTTCCGATAAAGGGAAATAAATAAAAAGGCCATCAGTATTACTGATAATGTGTTGTCTTATTTTCCTGGTATCAGACAGGGCCAGCTAGGCTATAGTCATCTTTGATTACGACTGACTGTCTGACTGACTGACCGACTCGCTGACTATCACTTGTAACTTAGCCAGGTTGTTGGCTGGTGAAGAGAGCCGGGCAGTGCTATTGTATAGGATTACCCGGTAATTGCCTAAATTCACCCCATTATTACCCCAGATGCATGAATTTAACGACTTCAGTGAATTAAATTTTGGTGATCTGGGACACGCTTTATTAGGCTAGCCCGACTGCCTCTGGCCGTACAGTAGTATTGCAAGGTCTGTATTTGTAGTACTGTACGGCCAGGCAGTTGGGCTATATTAGGTTGCCCCTTTCAGTTATGTTTTTTCATGTGTGCAAAAATCTTAGAAACTGATGAGAATCCCTCTAGAGAATCACACTTGCTCGCATTGCACTAAAGACATCGTTTGGTTCAAAGAATTAGCCTATAAAATATGTTTTTCTTGTGAAAAAAATGACCGTTTTGGGGGGAAAACTTGAGGATACGCACTGCTTACTTTTAGTTTCAAAGCCAAGAAATGTGTCCTTTAATTCTAAAGGATGTATGAATCCTAATTCGTTTACCTTTTACTACGCCCCTTCACGAGTCCCGCCCTGTCTGACAGGTGCTGGCCCTTCCCGCTTGTTCTGCCCCGCCCCCCTCTCGATCTCGTACTTTAACAGACTGGCCCCCGTCCCTATGCCTAGGCGCGCGAGGGCCAGGGCCAGGGACTAGTCTGCCTGATCGCGTCGTATCCGCGCGCCTGCATAGTTTGTCGACTGCCTGGCCGGAATTGAAATTTCCTGTTTAATACGATGAATGTTTTAAATGAGGTAATTATGGTTTTACTTTAATTACTCATATTTGGTTCTATTCCTGAACTTGAACAGACTTCCAAGTCTTCGCGTTGAACATGTGTTGAATGACACTTTTCTTACATAGTTATTTAAGGTTTGATGCATCTAATTCGTGATAAAATACTTGCCGGGCAAGTCGAGGTCTAGCCCGACTGCGTCTGGCCGTACAGTACTATCGCAAGCTCTGTAGTACGATAGTACTGTACGGCCAGACGCAGTCGGGCTAGTCGAGGTCGAATCTTCTAAATGTGACAACAGTCATGACAGTGACATGCCAAGCATGTAATAACCGTGGGCCTATCTATTTTTTTCTAAGCAGAGATATAGATACACCCGTTCTGCTTTTTTTAATATGACTTTTTCAACTGTAAAATATGCAGATAAGAAGAGTCATGCAAATGCCACCTTCATGACCTTCAAGTTTCATTACTTTCAACCTTGTGCAGTCAGTTTTTTGTGTGTTTTTTTACTTTTTAGTTTTTATGTTTCCAAGTGAAAACATGAAATCAGTTTCTGACATCACATTGCCTTCTCTCTGACCACAAAAATGTTGCAAAAATGTTGCAACCTGACGCCACTTAGCGGTTGTGTACAAAGTCTATGGAGAGTCAAGAAACTTTTTTAAGTATTTCCTAACAAACTTGGAAATGTTTCTCAGTCCCAGATTCATGTCTTATCATTTTTGCAATGACTGACCTTCATTGAGATGATATATGAAGTAAAAAATGGCGTCAGGTTGCAACATTTTTTCCGATACTCTTTACGGTAATTGTGTAGTTTAGGAGTTAGGACCCCATTCCATTTAAGAGAATGAACAGACACTTTCATGTTTTGGGACTTAGGCATTATATCTAAACATTTGGCTATGATATGCTGGGCCTTAGCCCGACTGCGTCTGGCCGTACAGTACTATCGCAAGCTCTGTAGTACGGCCAGACGCCCGATGCTTCCAAAAAGACTGAATTTTTTTGGCCGCCGATGTAGCGATTTTGCTACATCTTTCGATCGCGATTATCTTTTCATCCAGGACACAAATTTCCAAAGTTAAGGTTCGTAGTCGTAGAGCAACTCATACCTTTTCGAAAAAAACGTTCTTTGGTCTCAATATTTTCATCCATCTGGCCACAAGACGAATTTCAGTCATCAGATTCCACAAATATCGTCCCCCATGCGATCCCCCATGCGATTTCAAAATGGCGGCCGCGCTGTAATGTATGCATTATGCGAGCGCGCTTGGGCAAGATAATGAATATGCATTATTTAGTTCATGACCTCGTGTTTGTATGGCCAGCCGCGCTGAGTGTCCGACATACGTCATAAACTATGATGCATATTCATTATCTTACCCAAGCGCGCTCGCCTAATGCATACATTACAGCGCGGCCGCCATTTTGAAATCGCATGGGGGATCGCATGGGGGACGATATTTGTGGAATCTGATGACTGAAATTCGTCTTGTGGCCAGATGGATGAAAATATTGAGACCAAAGAACGTTTTTTTCGAAAAGGTATGAGTTGCTCTACGACTACGAACCTTAACTTTGGAAATTTGTGTCCTGGATGAAAAGATAATCGCGATCGAAAGATGTAGCAAAATCGCTACATCGGCGGCCAAAAAAATTCAGTCTTTTTGGAAGCATCGGGCGTCTGGCCGTACTACAGAGCTTGCGATAGTACTGTACGGCCAGACGCAGTCGGGCTAGCTGGGCCTAAACTCAAGCACAAAGCAGGAAAAGTCACGTTATCATGTTTATCATGTTTATCATGTTTATTGTTTATGTGGTTGGAATCATCTCAATAATTCGCTAAGATACCATGTTGAATATCATCTACCTTAATTTTGCATAAAGAGGGCAGGCTTTTGATTTATGAATGGAAGTTGTCAAACATACGAGGTGTCCTAAACTATACCATTATCAATATTGTAGACTACCCTTTGTACATTTCCAGTGATGAGAAGAGATGGACTTGATTGATGACGATGGTGAAGACGTTGAAGCCACGTTGGAGAGACTCCAGAGGGAATTGCATGAAGATGTGGCTGAGATTTCTTGTGCAGATAAACCCAGTTACTCCTATGGATGTGCAAGGACCAGCGGAGTAGCCGTAGCCATGAAGCCTCTCCCTAAGAAACAAAAACGGCTCAGCAGGTCTGTCCTGAAAATTAAAGGTAAGCTCAGAAGCTTCCTTCAATGCCCCCTAATTTTCTTTTCAAATGTCAACCCCAACAAGAACTTGCCCAGGTGAATCCTCGGAAAGAATGTAGTATCTTGACGCCACTTCTTTGGTTGTGTACAAAGTCTATAGAGATTCGAGTTTGTATAAATAAGATGCCATGTTGTGTTGCTACTTCCTGCAAAATTCTCTTCACCTCCTGATAGTTTTCTTTAGTAATCTGAGAGAGGTTTAATAAACTCGATGTTGTCATATTGGTTGGAAGCCATGTATGGGACTTAGTGAGTGCTTGTGTCCTTAAGCAAGCTATTTTACTGCAACTGATTACAGCTCTCTTGCCTCTTTGTCCACAGTGGTCTCATTATTTTTTCTTTTCTTTTGTTTTTAAGTTGTGCCCCGCATACCAAGCCAAAAGTGTTCAAACTCCCAAACTGCTTCACATTCCAAGAATGGGTTTAAGCAAGAGCAGTCAAGCCGCACCAAAAGAAAAGTCAGTACTGATTTAAATGGAACAAAACCCACAAAGTCAGCCCAGAACTCTAAGGAGGAATGCAGAACAAAATCAGGTCGTAAAAAGAAGGGAGCTTTACGTCGAGGGACTGGGAGTTACCCTTGTAGGGAATGTGGGCAAGTTTTCAGTTTCAAAACCAACCTACGGCGACATGAAGAGTGTCATTTCGCTTCAGCTACCGATTTCATGTGTGACCAGTGTGGGAAGACGTTTTCGCTGAAGCGGAATCTGGCTAGACATGTGAAACTTCACACTATTGATCGCAGTCATCGACCGTTCACTTGTGACAAGTGCAACAAGTCATTCCAGCAAGCTAAAACATTGTACCAACACAAGAAAATCATCCACAGCAACATACGCCCACATGCTTGCCAGTTTTGTGTCAAGACGTTCAAAACGTTTTTCAACCTACAGAGCCACGAGGCTATACACCTCAACTGTAGGCCCTATGTGTGTCAGTTTTGTGGGATGTCCTTTATAAGGAGTTCTTATCGAACAATTCATGAGAGAATTCATACAAATGAGCGGCCTTTTAAGTGTGATGTGTGTGACAAGTCATTTACTCGTGGAGATCATTTGAAAAATCATAAAAAAGTTCATTTGCAAAGTAACAGTAAATCAAAAAAATCCAAGCGTTCGAAATGAGAATGACTACGGTAAATTTTCAGAGTAAGATCAGTATTTTAGAGTAACATGTTCTCATGGTAAAGACATTTTTTTCAGGATTCCAGCTTGTCCAAGATATCTTACATTTATGTAAAATATAGCATTATTCTCTCTTTGTTCATGCCAAATTTATTTCTAACAAGTTTTGTTTAAAAATTATAAGTATTAGGCCTATAGAAACAAAATAGGTCCACAGAAATGTTAATGACAGAAAGACCTTTCAATGTGCCTTTTTTTTCTGCATTATATTGTACTAGTGCAGTGCCCGTCTAAAATGTGCATGTTCAGGAAGGGCAAATTGCTTGGCCGCTGGTATTGGTTGCTTTTTGCAGCATTTTTGAGAACTTCTTGTGCAAACAATGCACGCGATTCAATGGTGTTGTTTTTACAGGTTGAACCCACACGTACACTCACATGTTGAACGCACATTTTTTAATGTGGACGGAATTATAGTAAGAAATGTAGAAAAAACTGTGCTATTATTTATCCCATTATTGGTAATGGAATAGCCCCCCCCCCCCCAGTGAAGTACCCATTGTTGATAGTGGAATAGCCCCCAGTGAAGGTCAGCTAGCGCTTTGCACACGTACACGCGTGCAGTGTTAATTGTGTCATCACACAATATTGTATAAGTGTAGTATTTTTTACTATTACAATGTTATGAGCATTTGTGGTCATGAAAAATTAGTGTGCTACTCGTGAATATTTAAACTAAATGTATTTTTTTTTACTTTGAAACTTTAGAATTTGAAATACTGAACGTTAAGGTCGTTAGCATTGGAAGTGCCTTTATACCATGACATAGTTTTATAGCAAACAATTTTATCGCAATTCTTATAAAAAATTTACTGTATCGGTTGGTGTACATGTAAATAATGAATACACTGAAATAAATATCGATGTAGGACTTTGGTTGTTTTTGGTTTGTTTTCTGACAACAATATGAAAATACAAATAAAAAATAAAGTCTTTTCCGACAATGTACATTTACTTCAGTTGCATACTTTAATAGTCCTTGCTTTATTTGGTGTTTTTGTTTAAGTCAAATCAATAGCGATCTTTGAGCATGAAGAACAAAATTAGCCGAAAGTACCAATAGGCCCTACAAGTCTGAAATTTGTCCCCAAAAGCCAAACATTTACGTTCTCAGTACATTATGATTTGTAGAGTCCATGATGCATGTTTTGCATATGTCGCATGGTTTGATAGGTCACACGTTAGTGACTTATTTCGAGACAACTTATGACAAATCCTGTCTGTTTTAGCTTGTTTTTATTTTTTAGTTAGCAATGGATTTATGCTAGTATCACATTATAATTGCGGAGGCCTTGAGATCTGGCTGATTCGAGCAAGGAACACATCTTTTTTCCCCGCCGGATTTGAGAAACGCAATCACGGGCTAATTATGTGAAAGCTTACGCCAACAGGTGGCATGGAATTAGATGTTTATCACCCCCTGTATTCCCAAGTTCCAATGTTTTGCATCATCAAATCCTCGCGGAATTGCTACGTAAATTGGATACAACTGTAGCCAGCTGGTGTTTACAACAAGCTTCGTATACGTAATACCTGACGTCCATAATGGGAGCTTATTACCGATATATACCGCCGGAGAAAACGTATAACGTGGATTTTACCTTGCTCTATGATTTTACATTCTGAAAATGAAGTATCATTTAATTTAATGTGAATTCATCATTATATGGCGGTCTGAGCGGCGGATTTGATAATAATAATAATCACACTTAAAAACTTACAGCGACTTCCAATGCAATCCACAAAGCGCTGTGCAATAAATAATAATAATAAAAAATAACATCCATAGTTATATCGGTATAAACATATTTTTCAAATTAAAAACAAAGTTAATTCTAATTGAAAGAAAACAGCTTTATGTACACTTATACATAAAAAAATACGACACCCAAAATAAAACCTTCAAATATCAAACCTTAAAACGTTTCCACATTCATGGTAACTGTTTTCTCTCAATTAATCCTTGATTCAGTGGGCCTGTATTTTTCCCCGAACATTGAACATGTCGATCAAAGTAGCAGTTGCAAGCTAAAACAAAGAAATGCGTTTGCCATTTGAATATTCTTGAATTCTGTCGGATTAAAGTGATCCAGTGCAAATCAATGTATATATTTCCTTGATTATGTAAGAACGATTTTTACGAGTAATCATAACTTGAAAACACACTTTAAAAGTATTAGATTGCGAAGTCACCGTGGCATGTTTTTATTGCGAACACAATTGGGCAGTTTTTATACAGTTTCCCCCCCCCCCCCTCCCAAAGCAAGTGTCCGTCTGACTTTTTTTGAAATAACTACAAAACCATGAACTCAGTTTTGATATTTTATTGATTGTGCGCACTGCAAAAACTGCAGAGTTAAATTTAAACCATTGGTATCTATATATGACCATCTGGTGTTAATTTTTACTGGTGTTGCCCTATATAGATACCGAATGGTGTTAAATCAACACTACAGTTTTTGCATTGTGGATACTCCTTATACTTGGCCTAAACCCTGTGAGTTTCATTGAATTTCAATCACGCATCACTGCACAGTGGTCAATTGATCACGACAACATTTTACAAAGACGGACACTCCTAATGATCTGGACACAATAATATTGTTTGGACAATTCAGCGACAGATCAAAGTGACAACGTCTGATTGAATCAACGACATTTCAAACTACTTCACAATACAGCGATGGCTCCTATTTTCGGTTGTCTTAAAATGGATATACATGTAGATCTAATTGAGTCGAGAGCCAACCCCTTTTCTCGAAACTAGGGCCTATAATAGATACAGCACATAACAGTGCAGGCGCGGTTCTAGAACAAATGTTTTTTTTTTTTTGGGGGGGGGGGGCTAGCACGGTGGATCCAGAATTTTTCAGGGAGGCGTGCTGAAATGTGGACCGGTTATTTTTTCCTGACACTTAGGCCTCCGAAAATCAATGGGGGGGGGGGGGGGGGGGGGGGGGGCTCATGCCATATTTTCAATGGGCAGCGCCAATAAAATCCTAAACTAATTCACACTATATTAACTAATGCACCCTTGTCACGGCTATTTCTTCTTTAGGGGGACACTGTTCGCATGTAAATCACAATCCTTCTTTTTGCTAATGCAATTTTTTTTTAAGGCATTTATTTTTTTGGGGGGGGGGGCTAGCCCCCCCGTAGAACCGCGCCTGGCACAGTGCTATATTGCGCAGTAAGTGTGTTATGAATTATTCATAAAATGGTGTTATAGTTTACTTAACATTACACAATAACACGTTTAAAACTCCACTTCTACATAATATCGGTTCACGTCACGTCAAATAGGACTAAACAACTGCTTATTTTATCAGGTACTGTTATACCAGACTGGCCTTTAACAAATGCGATTTATACAATGAAATATTATTAATACATAACATTTCAATATGTCTAAACATCCATAGGTTTGTGCAACACGAAGGTAATCCTATTAAAGCTAATATCATCGTGTTTCTTCGACCATTGACCGAAGCATCGGGACTGTTCACACGCCCTCTCCGTAACGGCAGTTAAAAACAAGAAGTAAATCAGTTTAATAATTCACGGCATTAATTTTTGTCACTAATTCTGGCAAGATATAGTCGAAAATGTATTCGTAATAGCTTCAACATTTTAAAGCTTGTTTTGTGGCCTGTTCGTCCTTATAACTTGGAGTGGATACTCGGAGCGGAGGAGTACGCGCGTACCACTTGCTCTAAACCTGAGGCCTAGCAGGGTACTTTGCATTGTTTTCCCTTTATCCCTCTTCTTTAGAATTTCACTTCTGGGTACCGTTTTTACAAAGGACGCCTTGTGGGGTACCATTGTTCACTGTGTGTGAGTACCACATAAGTTAGCTCCCACAATTAAGAGCGCATGGGCTGCGTGTCATCTCAGTATACTACGCCTAAATGTGGATTAATTTTAATCGTCAGATAAGTCTTCACAGTGCCATGTGCATCGCCAGTATAGGGCAAAGGGGGTGGGGGGGGGTGTTGCCCCCTGAAACATAAAAATAGGTGAGAAGTCACATTTACTATTAATTAAATACACATTTAATAAAATGGGCGACTGCAGGGGTGTCAATGGGGGTGGGGGTGGTAAAGTCCCCCGCCCACCCTCGAAAAAATGGTAAATTGAGAACATGCAAGAGAAAGAACAAGGATGTTTTGGGGAAATGTGCTTCCCCCCTAGAAAAAATCCTGGTGACGCCCATGTACACTGCTTTAACTTAAACTGTTGTTTCTAATCTCGGTTGCCTGGATTAGTGGAGGATGCCAGCAAATCAACATTGCCATTTACCTGATCATGGACATTTAGTGGAACTACGATGTTGGATCGTAGACGCCTACCACTTGACGTAGCTGGTTGATCTCGAGACGTCGCTGATGTTGGCCGACTTGATTCCCCGGGTTTGCGAGAGCGGCAACAGACGCAGTGTTTACTCCAGTAATTCTGTAGTTTTTCCTGCCACAGTCTTCTCACGCTGCCCTTCAGTAGGAACATCAGGCCGATGAGGGCGCCCTGCAGGGAGTTGACCAAGACTGCGACGTACCAGAATTCTGCGCTCTTGGCTACATTGGCGGCAAACAAAAGCGACCAGGTCGCCCCAGTCACCATCACGAGCTTCAGGATAGAAATAAGATATTTTAAATGAGAGTGATTCTGGGGCGGAGCAAGGGAGAGAGTGATATAGGAGGCTCCTCTTTTCACAATTTACCGGGGGTGCCAGAATTGTGTCCCTTTTTGAGGAAAATATTTGCCAAAAACATCTTTGACGTTTCATACCAGTCACGAATGCGGTTCTAAAAATGATCATCTCCCAATAAGTTTGTTAATCGGTGAAATTTAAGCAGATCAGCAGCTGCAGGCTTCTTTTTGGCTCAACTAAAAATGCAAGTTACCACGATAGTAAATGGTAGGTCAACAACTTACCTTGGAACACAACAGCAGATCGTTTCTTGCACTTCTTGCCATCTGTAGAGCAACCAGTCTCTTGCGATTTGACAAGACGGCATAGATCATATATGCAAGCAGCACGCAGTTGACCGTTAGAAGCACAGCAACAGGAATACCGAAGACAAACAAGGAATGCAGAGGGTCCGCGATCCAACAGCTGCTTCCACCGTACTCAAGCCACACCCGGGACTGATGCGGACCCATCTTAGATACCAAGAAGCAGACAGATACAAAGACAGCGGGGAGACCCCAGGCAACTAGACCGAGCTTCAAGACCTTAGAATTGTTTGATTCATCTCGCCGTCGTGGCACCGTTTTGGACTGGATGTTTAGTGCCAAGTCAGTAGCCAAGACACTCATCCACGAAAAGGTGGCAAGCCAGGAGAAATGCAGACTTGTTGCCCTCAAGACGCACAGCCAGTGTGTGGACATCTTGCCAATCATTAGGGAGACTTGGGCCAGAATTAGCGCCACCATCAGATTCATGATGATTTTTCCAGGCTGATTTCGCACAGCCGGGAACACAACATAAGTGGCAAAGGCTAGGATCAAGCAGACGAGAGAAAGCCCACTACCTGCAAAACTGAAATCTGACAGAGTTGTCATCCAAGCTGGATAATTATCCGGGGTGATTGGAGAGAGAAAGTTACAGACTCGAAGAGAACCATCAGGCAACTGCCAGACGTCATCAGCTTGGAATGTCTGCCCAGAAGCCTTATGAGCAAAGACATCATCATCATCATCAGCCTTTTCAACAAGAAACTCACTTCTGTTGAAAGATAGAACCGGACATTTTTTGTCTACAAATGGGTCACACAGCCTGAGGTACGTTTCCTTACTACTACTGCCATTACCAGATACGAACTCATAGACTGTAACGTGCATGAAGTCTAACCCACTGTACTCATGTCCATCTTTTGTGACGTAGAGATCATTATTGAGGTCGATATCACCGAGTTGGACGCCATGCAGGGTGAAGCCTTGGCAGATAGGAAACTTTGACTTGGTGTTGGCTTGAGATGAGACTACAAGAATCAGTCTGGTTGAATTGCACGGATAAGAAGTCGACACATCATCGGCAAAGCTGTTGAGAGCGTCTTGAACGCGCTTCGCTACAGAAAAATGTTGCCTCACGTAATACTGCTCGCTCATCACACCGCTTTGCTGGGAAACCTTCACAAGTGTTGTAAAGTTATCCCTCGTGTAGTTTGCGATTCCTCCGGAGGAAAGTAATTGTTGGAAACAGTCACCAGTGATACCGTCGGTCCAAGCACTGCGGGGGAGCAAGGCTTCTACACACCGGCCAGATTGAATCGTCATACCGACTGGACAACTAAGGTTTCTGCATCCATCTTGGAATGGATCATATATCTGCCATTGGCTGCAGTCTCCTAAACTCTCCCCCGAAATATCGGAAACAACCCTTCTCTCTGTGAAATCAAACAGAAGAAGAATCGAAAACTGGGGATCCAGACGGTTTTGTCCAAATAATTTGCATTTGAGATTTCTATGGGAAAGGCCGTGACAATGTGAACAGTAGACATTTTTGTAGGCTGGACCCCCTTCGATGTCAAAAACTAAAGAGGTATGATTCTGACAAAAAGTGCTTTGGGATTCTGTAGTGTTCGGCGGGCAAGTATCGACAATGTCTGTATAACAGAGATGCAAATCACTGCTAAGAGATGGTGGAGGATATAATTTAAACTCAAAACACGAGGCCATCGAATATGAATCTTTACAGTCCCACAGCCTGATAGACCACGGTACGAGCTGATATACTGGTATGTGATGGCAAATCGTACAGAACACGTTCTTGAAGACTATCTCGTCTGGACCGGTGACAGGAAATGTCAGTAGTTTCTGAGACATCGCTAGTGTCTCGTCCTCGCAGTTCTGTCGAATGTCATCTTGAGGCCAGTCGGGAGGACATCTTGCAACAGCAAAATAACTCTCTAAGGCTTTTTTAAAGGGCGCCAATAGAGTGATGCATTCAAAGAAAGGGATGTACTCTGATCTCGTCACTGGAGGAGCCGTCTCGTTGACGCAGTGATCCCAGTAGTCGACACAACAGTCGCCATATAGACTGCAGCGTTTATCGCATCTGCAGTTATATCTCCTCGTCGGCGGCTCACGACCTGTGGCAGGTACCCGATCTGAGCAATTCTCCGGTTGACAGTGGGTGGCTTGTTCAGGACACCTCTCTGGTATACGAGAAGGTGATGCTGGTAGAGCAAAGAAAATATATCATAACATACTATCATTCTAACACTTTGGTATAATTTATTTAATGTTTAGTTTTGGGCTGGGCAAAAATCACAGAAACCCAAGAAAAGTTTAATATAGGAAACCGCATGTGATACGATGGTCGCCGTTTCCTCTTTGTAGTCGTTTACCGTCTGGTGCATCGGTTACAATAATTATTAAAAACGAAGCACGTCGCATTTCGTGGCAGTGCGTCGCGTCGAAAGAACCCAAATCCCCCCAAAATATATTCCATATTAAAAAAAATGTAGCACCTAACAAAATAATGACTTGAAAGCCAATTTCATAAGCTATACTTTTAGATGAAAAAATACTGAAATTGCTCAATCCGTTCAAAGAATATAACCATTTATAAACACCATGACCCTAAACCCTTTTTCGTCCAAAAATGTGATTTCAAGATTTGTCTTCAAACATCACCGTCGATAAAACCTCAGTTTGAAAGTTAATACATGAAGTCCTTTGAAGGCCCGTCTTTAAAAAAGTGGATTTTATAAAGCACTCTATTTACTTGTTGACAATGCAACAAGTATTCTGTGTCATTGTCTGTGTTTTTCCAAACGGTCAGAATACACAATAAACTCTCGTTTTTGGACGAAAGAGCTAGGTTTTGAGGGTCATTGTGTTTAAATGGAGATATTCTTTGAACGGATTGAGCAATTCCAGTATTTGTTGTCTACAAGTAGCTGATGAAATTGGCTTTCCAGTCATTATTTTGCACGTTTGGTGCTACATATTTTTTAAATATTAATTTTTGGTTTAGGTTGCGCTTTTTTTTTACTCACCCTGTATCAGGCGCGCCTTTTGATACACATAAACAGAAGCTATAACATAACGCTTTATTTAACTGCAATTGCCCCATTAAGTTTGTGCTGTGATAACAATTGTTTACAATACATTTTGCACGATAGACCGCACAGAACTTCATTAGTTTGCTTTAAATGCTAGCTGTCGCCTGTCGGATTTCGATGTGGTTGAATTCTATCATGTACTTGCAATTGGTGCAATCAAATTAACTCGTCGGAACAGGCAGGATTTGACATAGCTGTGTATGTTTTCTCCTTCGTGTAAGGGCCATCAAATTGCAACTTTTTTGTGTTCAATTTTGAATTTAAAATCGGTCGATTAAATTCGCCATTTGTTGCACGTTTTGAAGGCAGTATTAAAAAAAAGTCGTGAAAATAAGAACGTTTACATTATTTTTTTATAAAATCCAACATTATGTAAAGTTGACAGAACTGTGTTGAAGTGGTCATAAAAGCGGGAAAGCATTTAACAGAAAGAAAGGAAGTTCCGGTATTTTTTTTAATTACCTTGCAATCAAAACTTGACAAATCCGATCAGGTTTCAAAGTTTGTTTGGAATAAATAAAATTAATACCTGAAGCTTGGTTATACGGCATTATAAGAATAAATTGCAGGCGGTACGTCTCCGTTTGATAGCCAATTTTGAAGTAGTAAAAGTAACTCGAACCTGCAAGTGTGACCATCAGAATTAAATGGTTTTCAACAAGTCTAGTTAGTGAAATTTGGTTTAGGCGACTAAATCGATTTCACAAACCCGTCCGGCCACTATTATCCTCCGATTTATAACTATAGACAAATCTAAGCATGTGGTTACTGTACATTCACAAGAGCCCCCCTTCCATGGAGAAACCATTGTCTACACCGCTGTACAAAGCAACAATGCTTTCGCCACTGAAGGGGGCCTCCGTGATAGAATTGATAGCGTGACAGGATTGGCCTGTTTCTAATCCAGTCATTTTCCTACCTGGTTGGTAGAACCAAATTGATAGACAATAGACGAGTAGCAGTATATGCGGTCGAAGCAATGTGATTCGTCTTGCATCAGCCATATCAAAATGATGCCACAACTTCGCCAGTAGATGTAGCTCGAGTCTGCTCACGAGTGCAAATGAGGGCTGTCTCCTTAGATCCTTCTGCTGTACTAATTATTCGGTGAAGATCATCCGATTTTGTGATTGGAGAGGAGCCAGTGCGCCCTCAACTGTACTGCCTTTGAGGCAATGGCAAGAGTGCATGCAGTATTGGAAACAAATCATCGTTGAACACGAATAACGTAACAATATAAACCGAAAACCTTAGGCCAAAGAAAAAGGTCTCCGGTTTCTGGTATGGAGCTTGTCCAAACAGTGGTGTGGCGACGCGGTTTTTTTTTTTACCTGACTTTTTTGCTTCAAATTTCGACTGATGACTGCAAATGGTGCCCGACTAAACTTAGTACAAATATATGAGAGTCCAGAGAGGCCACATAAAGCTTATTCTCGACCATAACCCAATCTAAAAACACGTTAAAATTGTGCAGCAGCAGGATTCCAGTCAAACCAGTGAGTTTTGGCGGTTTTGAGACATCATCTTTTATTGAAAAAAACCCAAACATTTTCATTTTGCCGACGCGCATGGCTACGGCGACGCGCGCGCATACCAGAAACCGGAGACTTTTTTGTTGGCCTTACTGATCGATATATATCCAAACAGATCGATGTATTATATCCAAACCGATGCATGAACACGATGCATGATCAATACAGGATATAGAGTTCAATAATCTATAATAAACAATTCATGACTACTATTTAAATTCACGAGCACGAGTCAAGCCTGTTTTTTTCACGTGTCGGATTATTGTGCTATTAGAGAGGAGATAATTACAAAGGGAGGGGTGGGAGAGGGAGTTAGACAAGTAGAGGAGATGAAAACATTAAATTAATTTAAAAATAATTGGGAAGGGTATTTTGAGACAATGAGTCGTTGACTGTTTGGTGTAAAAAAATTATACGATGCAGATTGCGGTTTGAATTCAATAATGAGCTGCAGATGTTGTTTGCTGATCGGTTTAGGAACTCTTGAGGGAGGTGAATTATCTTGAATTATCTTCGGCCGACGCTGATCACCTACAGCTAATTGGCCGGTTCGTGAGGCTGTTACACGTGAATTTCAGATCCTCATAATAATTGCTTGAATTAATGAGAAACTCTGTGTGACGTAATTAATATGTTGCACGCCGGTCGCACGTCTTTAGGGACCGAGTCTCGTGAGAGTTTGGCTGGTGACTTCAAGTTTCGATTAAAGTTCGAAACTTTTTTGTCAATTCCTTGGGTGAGGGTCGTTCACAAGGCGTAGTGCTTCAGTAACAAGTAAGGGATTACAGCCAAGTAATCAACGATGCTGATTGGAAAATCTTCAAGATGTCCGTGTGTAGAGATGCCAAGATCACGCAAAAGCTGGGCGTGTGACGTCAACAGTGCCGCAAGCGGCAAAGGCCAACTTTCAAAAACACTGAGTCGCGTCCGGAAATTAGGCACAGAATCAACCGAGTGTTCCCGGTCCCCAACGTGGTGCGCTTTAACATATCTCGGAAAATTAATGGGAAAAATTCTGATAAATCTTCATTATATTATCTCAACTCCCGTACACAACTTCAAGTTTGTCAGCAAAATATTTTCATATTTTTGGGCGCATTTCAAAAGGATTCTTTTTTTTTTGCACTTAGAAAAAAAGCAGACGTAGAATTTCTCTCTTGGATACGTAAACTCAAGATTTATGAAAAGGGATGTCAGAGATTGTTGAAGTTTCACTTACCTGTGAAATTTAAGTTGCTTTGCAGCAAGACACTAAAGTTAACCGTTACAAAGACGGCAGAGTTGCAACGAGTCACTGATTTTTGGTACTCGAGTCATGTTAAAGAAGCGACTCGAGTTGAGTCGAGTCGAGTCAATTCGAGTCAAGAATATTGAACACTATGTAACAAATAAGGACAAGAGAGACAGTAATTTGTATCACTAAGTAACAGTTAGCAAGGCTTCTATCTGTTTCTGACCAGTCGAGTCCCGTCATTTGCTCGCAGTGACTCGAGTCAAATCATTTACCCAAGGGGACTCAAGTCATATTGTGTCATATTTGTCATTTTTCTTTTAGGGGTTGCCCCCCCCCCCCAGATCCGCATCAGGTACTAGACGAAGACGGCATGTGGAGTCTATTTGAATAGCGCCCTCTTGCGGGTTCACTCGCTCATTGATTGGTTCCCAGCCTTCTTTAAAAATACTCCCTAATAATACAACGAAATAATGAGGTTCCTAGTCATGGGACCTGATCAATTCAGACACATGGTCCTGCCACAATTCGGCATGTGGGGAGTGAGATAGTTTCTCATTTCCTAACCATTCAACTGCTTAACATTTTGTAAGTATTGTTGTCAGTAGTAAACAGAAGATCGCAGACTTGCAAATAACTTTTTTAATACATTTGTATAAATAGCTGTTTGAAAAGAACGAATTTTATTGCGGTGCCTAGTTTTCGGACACGACGCAAGTCATTAAGCCTAGGGCTATAGCGCTAGCTAGGGAGCCTGATCCCAACATTCAACTAGGGCCCATGCTATCAGCTATAGCCTAGACATACATGGCATATCGCATGTTCAGATGTTGTTACTGAAAACATGTTAGAATTACAAACAGGGTTGTAAGTGGCTCTTTTAAATTGAAACTACCCACGATCACAGCTGCTCTGCTGTCACTAGCCCCATAAATGTGGCCTATTTACTGGACTGCCTCTAGCTGGAGTTACCTAGCCCCATAAATGTGGCCTATTTACTGGACTGCCTCCGTAAACATAGGCCACACATCCACATGTACAAAAATCGTGTCGACGGAGCCAAATTTTGATTTTCACATTTAGGCTTAGTTTGTAGGTTTTTTTTGCTTTAGAAGCATACTCACCCTCTTTACAGGCTAATCAGAAAGTGCTGCCTTTTTCAGATGTATATTTTTTGTGAAATTTCATGTTGAAATTTTGATACGCAAACGTGTAAAAATGAATCTGGAAATTTCACGAAAAATATACATCTGAAAAAGGCAGCACTTTCTGATTAGCCTGTAAAGAGGGTGAGTATGCTTCTAAAGCAAAAAAAACCTACAAACTAAGCCTAAATGTGAAAATCAAAATTTGGCTCCGTCGACACGATTTTTGTACATGTGGATATGTGGCCTATGTTTACGGAGGCAGTCCAGTAAATAGGCCACATTTATGGGGCTATGCTGTCACCATCTATAACCAGTTTCCAGAAAGCCGCCCTTCCACTTTTCCAGCTATCAGAGGAATGAGGCTACCTGTAGGCTCACGTCTCTTCTCTAGTTCATCACAAGGGCACAATTGCAGAATACCCCCCCCCCCCACTCGATCTATCCACCTCGTAGCCGGCTACGAGGTCATTGACGTCAATAAACATTCTCAGCGCTACTTGTATGTACTATGCGTCATGCTCCATTGCACTCCCACTTCGTGACCGCGTAGCCGCCAACAGGGTAGTTGGTTTGGACTTAGAATTTTTTCAGCAACTCCCATTCCTTTTGTGTTGCTTCGTTCTCAAGCATATTCAAGGGGACTCCCACTCCGTAGCCTCGTAGCCGCCAACAGGGTGGTTGGTTTGGACTTAGAATTTTTTTCAGCAACTCCCATTCATTTTGTGTTGCTTCGTTCTCAAATAATGGACCTCCACTCAGTATCCGCGTAGCTGGCAATGGACTTGAATTGTTTCTTTTGCAGTGATTCCAACCTCGTAGCCAGTGATTTTAGGGGTAAATTTCCGAGTGGCGGGGTATTCTGCAATTACTCCATCACAAGAAGTATGTTTTTAATGCACCCTAATTCATTGTTCATCGTTGTCGTCGTCCTGCACTGTTTGGTGGCCACCTATTTACTTCCCTTAATTATGCACTTTGCCTGTGACGTCACTTCTGCACCATCCGAGTAAAGCTGACTAGCTGAATAAGGATTTCACCACTCAAGACTCAAGACTCAAGAAAAACCAAAGAATAAAGAGAGCCCACTAGTTTACAGCCCTGTTTGTTTGTCGTGTTTGGCTAGATTAATAAAGTTTTGGTTGGCAAGTAACGAGTTAAGCCTGGCCCAGCTGGGCCAAAATATTTTTATCACCAACATAATTTAGGGCCTATCAAGTTTTTGAATTAACACTCATTCTTGACTTGGCAGAATTCTTCTTGGCCACTGAAGATGACGTCTTTAGCTCAGCAACTGAAACGTCTTGCTTTGCCACAAGGTCGGGCTGGCACTGTAACTCATGACAAGCACCGTAAATCGCTGCTCTTTGATTCAAAGGAAGCTGCCACATTAGATCGAGAAACCTTCTATGCTTTAGGTAAGATTAACTTATTTTAAATTTCTCTCTAATGACTTTGACGCAGAAATATGCTTCTTATATATTACATCTCAGTGACAAACATTTAAGTACATTTTTAGAGATTAGAAATTGATTTAAAATGGTTTAATGTTGAAGACCGACAATTTGATTAATCTGCCTGTTCCTGTGTCAATTTGCACTTTGAAGATTTGAAGCCTGAGGGCATGGAAATGTGGCAGTCGTTTTTTTATAAAGAGTGATTCATTCGTTTCATTGTTACTTTTCCATTACTTTTCTCTTCTTATGTATCAGGTGTGAATGGTCTCCAAGAATTGGAAAACATTGATCCTACCTTTCAAGAGTTTGAAAATACCCTATTTGACGAAGCCTCAAAGTCGCTTGAGCGTTCCATCCAGACCCAGGAAGTCAATGCCCGGCTTGATCGTAAGATTCGACGGTTCTTGCTGCGACTGTCACCATTCTTCTTGTTAAAGCCGGCGCAGAAAGCCACGGAGTGGCTCATTCACAGGTTAATATACAGAGTTGATCGAGGATTGATTTAGATGACAGTATTACAATCGAGTCCATCAAAATTACATCACAATCTGGTCAAAGGTAATAGTGGATGAACAATAGCAAAAGGAATTCCTTTGTTAACCAGTCAGAATAGCTTCTGACTTAACTTGGGACTGGATGACCTTTGACAAGACTTGTGAATTATTTGATGATTGACCCTTGAACATTCCAATCTTCTGGTTTGTAAACTCAGCAAATTCATTGACAAACTTAAGTTTTCTAAAGTGTTTTTTCTCAGTGGTTCCCTCATGTATTTCTTCCGTAGATTTTCCATTCACGAGTACAACGTTGACGACTTACTGGCATGTGTCATCCCGTACCACGACACCAAGATCTTTGTCCGTGTGGTTCAGCTGCTGAATCTGCAGGAAGATACTAACAAGTGGCACTGGCTTCAACCCATACAGGTATGAGGTCAAAGGTCATGGTTGCATCGTGTAATGACAAAATGTAGTCAGAGAATATAGAAGGGGTCAGAAATTCTCTTTTGTAAACTTCACAAAATTCTATGTCTTCGGACCTTGTAGGTCCCGTTCCTTTTACTCCTTGTACATCTTTTGTAAAAATTGGTTCAATCTGTGGGGTAAACCAAACTAATGCTTGGTTCTGCTTTTAATTTGAAGAAAATCAATTCGACACCTGGGTTTATTACCAACAAGATTAGAACTCAAACAATTCTTACGGAAAGAATGAACTGCATCCTGACGCCACTTTTTTCATCACATGTCATCACAATGAAGGTCAATCATCGCAAAAATGTTGAAAAGACATGAATCTGGGACTGAGAAACATTTCCAATTTTGTTAGGAAATACTTTGAAAATCTACTTGACTCTCCATAAACTTTGTACACAACTGCTGAAGTGGAATTTGGATACTAAATTCTTTCCATTCTTACTTGTTGAAGGGGATAGTCAGAAGTTGATGTTTATTCATAGATACATCAAAATACCTTAATATTTGTTTGCCCACCGTAGACTCCTGGTGTGCCTTTGTCAAGGACAACTGTCATCAACCAGTGCTACAAAGATCCAGGCTTCCTTCGGTTTGTGTGTGAGCTTGTGCTATCAGCCATTAAGGTAAAATCAACTAAAGAAGAAACAAATCCTAACAAGACATCTTCTTGTTTTATTGAAATGACAATTATATTAGTGTTGCAGTTAAGAGAAAAGCTCTATCTAGCAAACTGCAGAGGCTCAGATGCTTGTTGGTCTACAAGGTTAACATAAGTTACCCGTAGGTTTCATAAATGATCCGGTTTTTTTTATAACTTTGTTTTCAGGTTTGCATCTAGTCTGAAAATGTGGGACTCTCAATACTGTGTACGAGACTCCCAAAACTTAAGATAGTAAAAACATGCAAAACCAGAAAATAGACTGGCACATGAAACAACCAGTCCTGCATCAGTCAACTGTCCAAATAAACATCTGGTACCTAGTGTCTATGTCTACACATTCTCCATTGTCATGCCAGCAGACTACCGGAGGGCCAGTCTTCTCAACAAGTTGGACATGATCCAGTCCAGTCTTGAGCTTCAAATTGAAATCACTTTGCATCACTCTCAGGTGCAAAATGTTGAAGAAAAGTCTCATTTAAAATTTGAACGGAGACCTCAAGCTGGGCTAGTGATGCCTCATGACAATTTTAGAGACTTTTGTCAGCCAGAGAGTGAGTAAAGTTGGCTTTGTTTTATTTTGCATGTTTTTTTCTGCGTTCAAGGTCCCAGTCTGGTTTGCATGAATAACAGAATTCGAACATTGTGTGTGTTTTGTTTAGGCTCATAAACGAGTAACCACCCACTCACCTGATTATGATGACCCTTCGTCTACGGATGGTGAAGCGCCCTCTAGCTCAGCTGACTCGTTGCTGCGAGTCGTAACATGTTTCTACTGCTCAGCTGTCGTTGGGGCGATTGAGTTTGCCAAACATGTGAATGAGAAGCTCCTGTCTGGGATCCTTCCTTATGTCTTGAAGGGTCTGAAATCCAAGTAGGTTGAGTGACTCAGTATTGCTGGGACCAGAGACGAACAACTTATTCTACCAATTGCAAGACTCACAAAAGACTAACCAATGTCCTATAAAAGGACAACACAATGACCTTCAAGTCCGAAGGCTTGCAAGAAAACTGAACAAGGCTTACTCGGGAGAGACCTGAGCCTATGACCTTCTGATTACTTGATGGAATTTTCAAGTGACATCTTCCTCAATCTTTCAAAATCCTCTAAAAATCTTTTGATGGCTTTTGAAGGGTGTTGAAGGGTTAAGCTTAACTGAGTTTGTGAAATTTGTTCTTAGGTTTGCAGACTACCAGGCATCTAGCTACATGATCACCTGTCAGCTTGCTATTAAAGTCAAGATGAAGATGGATCTAGTAGATCCTATCATCAGAAGTATATGTAAGGTACGTTGATATCCAGTCTTTGCATTGTTCATACAGGGGGCCACATACAATCAGGAACAATACCGTTGGGCTACATCAGAATTTCTGTAGAAGGGTTATTGTCTAGATCTTCAACAATTACATCTACATGGGCACATTTACACAAGCCTGACATTCACAGCACTGTCAGTTAAAGTTTTTCAAAACGTTGAAATGCAAGTTTCTTGTTTTCCCCCCTTCCTTTTTAGCATCTGACTCCTACCTTGGCCGTGGAAGGATTATCTTGCGTTGCTATCCTCTGCCATACTCAACCTGTCCAAGAATTTCCAGAGAGGTATTTTCATAAACCGTTCTGTAATTTTTACTAAAACAATACTTGACAGTGCTTTCAAGCTCCTTTAGAATTTAAAGATAATTCCAAAGCTACTTTCCGTGTATTTAAGTTTTCCTGTAAAACACGGGTTTCAGGCATTTAAAAAAAATTGCAGATGCACTATGTAGGTGTGAATACTGTTCTTGTATACCTAAAAATGTCTTGCAAAAAATTGAAAACCCACTTTTATACCTGACGTTTGACTGTATGTAACCTATTTTGTTTTAAGACGACTTTTTAAATGTCACAAATCTTTAACCAATTGACCTTTGTGATTTGATCTTTGCAAGTCAAGATTGTGAATGACTTCTTAATTGTTTTCTCAAATGAAAACAGTGCCTTCAAGAAACTGTGTACTTTTACCAGTACACTGAGTGCATTGGAGCTGCTGTCACAGGCAGCAAACTCAACCCCTCTGTTGAAGCTGTTTCTCACTAGGCTCATCAGTGCAACAATGCACAGTGAAGCAGAGGAGCACCAGGATAACATGGGGGAGGAGGAAGGCAATATATACTCAGCCATGCTGGAGGGAATCTTATCCAGAGTTCAGCTTGAGGCCAGCTTGAGAAAGGAAATGGCAAAGTAAGGCCCAAGAAGGTTGATTCAGTTGTAGTTTGTTTGTTGTTTGAGCAAACTGTATAAAGATACTCAACAAACCCTGACATTGCATTCTGCTCTCGAGCAAAATTTCAAGTTGCTATGTTACTAAGTGATTTCATGATGTATTGGTCAATGAACGTCAAGGTGTTTAGGGCTTGATTTTGATACTTAATTATTTCCATCATTTTTTATCTTTGTTTTTTAGTGACATCACAATCTCTTTGCCAAATCGCGTCAAAGAACAGTCAAAAGCTTGCCCGCTGTTAATGATTTTTAAAATGAATAAACTATCATTGTGTGATGCATTATCGCTAGACATTCTTGTGACGTTACTTTCTGTGTGTTCCTTTAAGGATGCTTCTAAAAGAGTATGTGAATGTGAGAAAAGAACTTGGGAAACGGACGTCGTTGGTGATGAGTTTGAAGGAGAGAGTGTCATCTGTTGTTGCAGCTTTGGAAAGAAGGTAGGCTGTCTGTAAACAAGTAGAAAGCTTTGTCTAAGAGATTAGGAGGGGGGGGGGGAGGTGTATGAGCCTTGGCTTTGTCTTGGGTGTACACTCCGAGCTCCTGCCTTCTGAATTTCAGACCCCTGATTAAAAGCCATTTTGTCAAGAAAGAGCATTTTGTTAGACGCTGATTCTTGGATTTTTTTGTTATCACAGGTATCCAGAAGCCATGGATGTAGCCATTGGATCGGTCATGTCTCAAGACATGGACACCAAAGATCAGAAACTCATTCAAGAACTCGTCTCCATGTCTGTCTCTGCATCCAAGCATCAGGTATACATGTCTTTGAATTGTACATGTTCCCTCAATTACACCCATTTCGGACTAGAGTTCCAGATTCATTCCAAACCCAATTTGCAAAAAAAAAAATCCTTAGTTCAAATCATTCAAAATGTCTGTGAGTCCAGTCAGTGGAAAATGAACATGGATGAAGTTCATGTCTGAAGCTAGGAGAAATAGTTAGAGACAAAATATCTTGCCCAAAAAACAGTCACCATGCTTTTACTGGCTGAACTATCAGTAAGAACTAGACTCTGTGGTCCCAGATCACGAAACTACAGCACTCCATTACTGCGGCTAATGTCTTCTGTCATTCTTATCTCAGCCTATATCAGGAACCAAGACGACACTAATCCTGAGTCTGAACCATGCAAATGCTGACATAAGACTTCTAGGAGTTCGGCATCTAAGAGAGAGAATTGAAGCGGGTGAATCGTTGGAGGAGTTCTGTATCGAGTCGTTGCTACAGCGTCTACAAGACGATAAGCTGCATGTGGTGAATGCTGCACTCCAAATTGGCCAAGTAAACAGGACAACTTTGTTTGATTTCTTGTAATGAAAGTCTGATTCCTAAAATGGGCCTATGTAGATGGTGCTTTGCTATCCTTGGAATATTTGTAGAAGTATCAGGAGAATGCAAAACCAGGATTTCTGCTTAACACTTCTGGTGCAATAAACCTAGATCTAAACTCCACTTCTTAAAACATTGTTTATTTGCAGCCATTGTGCAAGCTTCTTCCGCAGGACAAATTGTTTGAAATTCTGACGGGTATTCTACGGAAGGGAAAGATGAAGACAAGTAAAGGGTATGTTCCTTGGATAACTGAACCAAGAAATGTTATGTTCTGATTACGACTTGATTGCAATATTGAATGCTTTGTCGCCGAACAATTTCAGCCAAATTAATTGGCCAGTCGCCCCCCCTCCCTCTTTATTGTTTCTCCTCCCAACCCTGCATGCTTGTGTGTCCCCTACATGTTTGTTTCTTGTTTCTCTGTTATTTGCCTCTGAAAAGGCCTTGCTAAGGACGAAATACATCAGGCCACCCTAATTTGTTTTTAAATTAAATTGTTCTTAAAGTACCAGTTTATGTGTTCTAAGAGTTGTCATTTTATTTTTTTTAAATAAGAAGCTGCTAAGGCACCAAACAATCTTACATGACCCAGCCGTGACCTTAACCTATATTGAGATCTTTGAGCTAGTATTTTGCATGAGCATCAGATTTTTGCCAAATGGCAAAGTTTGCCTTGTGGGATTTGCATTTGTAAAACAGATACTTTATTTGTATTCAACATGTCTTGCAGATTAACTTCCATCAAACTCTCCTTGAAGCTTCTTGGGAATGGACATCTTTGGAATATTAGCAAAGATCAGCAGGTATCTCTTGTGCCCCTTGTCTTACCCTATATGATCTACCGAAGCGAAGAGACTGCTGAGACAGCTAAGGAATTAATTGACATCATTAAGACGTCTACAATGCTGATGGGTCTGAGGATTTTCCATGGCATTGGCAAGGGTGGGTGCCATTCGAGTTGTTTTCAGGATGAGTGAAACTTAAACTTAATCATTACACAGATGAAAATAAAATCATAAAACAAGACATTGATGCCTCTCTTGACATAAATCTTGTCTTTAATTGCACCTTATGTTAGGCAAGAGTATTTGTGTTTCTACAAAATAATAATGTTTATGTCAGTGAAAGATTCAAAGTTTCAGGTTTCAAAGTCATACACAGTTACAATTTGACAGACTAATTTCAACTTCACTATCGCTGCGAAGCTATTCAATTTTTAAAGATCTGCTAAATTTTTGTTGTTGAAATTTTGAGCTTGAAAGTATTCTTACTTTCTATCTATTCCTTTTTTGTTGTTGTAGCTTATCAAGGACAGACTTTTGATACCTCCGCAGTAACCAGCTCCTTGATTGAAATCCTGGCTCTCAACTTGGCAAAGTGTGGCCCTAATGAGCAGAAGAAAATGGTAATATGTAGGCTGTGGTGTTTACATGCAAATTGTTTAGTGGCAAGCAACCTTCAAATAGGCAGACAAGTCTCTGTTGTCATTGTTCTGTCTCAAAGGTAGTTTTAACTGTTTTGTTCTAACCTAATATTTCAGTCATTTTAAAAAGTTGTTTCTTCTTTCTTATTTCAAGATTGCCAGCCTCACGTCTTATGCTGATCAACCTCGTGCCCACCAATCCTTCTACAATGTATTGCTAGACTTCCTCCTTCTCAGGGTCATGCATCATACCAAGGATCAAGTGCAGAAGTTGCGGGTTGCTGACATTTTGCTTCAACTCCTGGAGAAGGATGTGAAGAGGATGTTGGACCCAGGCCTCACCCTCACCCAGGTTTACTATGTTTGAACGTCTTATTTTTATCAGCACAGAAACTTTTTTTTTTTAAAGTGGCATGGTCATTTGGCTTGAAAATTTTTCCACAATTATTGAACACAAAGGCTATTTGGGGTTTTTTAAAGTGCACTAACCTTAAAAAAAAAATTAGGGGCATTTAGACGAGAGGAAAATTTGTATTAACAATTACATATTTAATTGTGTAAGTGAGCACAGATTTCCCAGAACTTCAAAATCTAAATTTCATTATGTATGTTTAGAAGCATTAAAAGTTATTTTTTTTAACCAAATTTAAACAAAAGCCGGGAGAGCCTTTACCAAGACTGAGTGGTAACCATGACAACCTACCTACGGAAGTGCATGCTCATCTCTGCAATCTACTGATACAAAGACAGAAGCAACAACATGGCGGAGTCAATCCCAGAATGCATCAGTCTCAGGTGGAGACGACACTGTGGTGTCTGGAGAGCATTGTAGGAGAAATCAAAATGCCGCAAGGGCTCAAGTCACGTAAGTGTAGTGTGTTTAGGTTGTTGTAAATTTTATTGTAAATTAATATTTTATGCATCCCTTTTTTGGCTCTGTGCTGTTGGATATTGTTCGAAAGAAAGAAATAAATAAGTACAATAAAATCAATAAATAAAAGTCTCTGAGCATATGTTTGCTTCTTTGCTAGACCGTCACGTGTACATACCCAATTAGCTGTGCAATACTACAAAAGCATTTTGATTGTATATCCATGTGTATCTTATTTTCCAAACTATGATATGTTTTTAGTGGTAAAACAAATATAGGTAATTGACTAACACTTACATATATATAACCCAATTTGCAGAAGGCCAATTTCATTTTCTTTCAATCATAACATTTTGTTTCCTTCATGAATTACTTGAAAGACTCTCTTTTTTTGTTTTCTATTCCACAGAGCCAAAGATGTGGGCGTCTGCCAGATGGAAAGATGACCCGATCAATTCCTACCTGACATGGCTCCTGCATCTGGTTGACCTTTTGACCCAAGCTGCTGGGGTCAAAGAGAAAAAGGTTCAACATGCCCCAGAGTTTAAGAATATCTTGACAAAAGTTGTACAGGTAAGTATTCCACAACATTTTTCACTACGTTGAAACTTTTCAATGTCAACTTATATTTGATGTAGCAAGTACATTTCCATTCCTTCTTCTTGACACATCTTGCAGTCCCATTGGTATTGTAGAAAGGATTTACGAAACTGACTGCTAGTTTTAGTGCATGCTGTTAAACAAAGCTTTTGGAAAATTTGCAGGAGAAAACTTGGAGTTGAACTACTAGCCTTCTGAACATGAAGCAACAGTTTTGATGATGAATTGTTGTTTCAAATTCTTTAGGACCACTTGTGCACACCGGATCTCCTCTGGAACTTTCTGTGTCTTGTCTGGACCCTACCTCATCAGTCGCCAAGTACCCAGTTTTACCCCGTGTCCGTCTTCTACCTGGCACGATGTCTTCATATCGGCCTGACCAGTACCAAGGAGTCATCCATGACCTCGGAGGTCGTGACCCGACTGTTGGGTCAAGAGTCAGAAGGTGAAATTCAAGACGTTCCGTTTGTATCCGTCTAACATTAGGTTCTGTCTGAATCTGTTTTCTTGAGCTTTTGGCTAGGTCTTAATCCATTACAAGTACATGGGAAAAGGTTGACAATAGACTAGTCATAGCTCTGGATGCCTGTTTTGGACATGGCTTAGTCTCCAGTATACTGTTAATATAGTTTGTTCAAAAGCAAGATAATTTAGATCAACTCAGCAGGCACTATCGATTTGAACTTTTGGTATTTATGGAAAATTTACTTAAATCAAACCTTTGTTGCTTGACAGTTCTCCCCTCCATGCTTGTGGTGATGTCCACTGACCTGGAGCCAATCAGACAAGCCGCTGTACATTGTCTTCAATCCTTATTGGCCAATTTGAATGACGATGATTCCAAGACGCCCTACATCCAACTATCTCAATTCCTCATCAGTAAGGGGGATGGAATCATTGCAGATGCTGACTACTTGAAACAGGTAGGAAACCTTAACAGCAAGGTTTGCTTAGACTGAAAAATGATTACTTCTTTGCAGTGATCGAATCAAGAAATGACGACATCCGATTGTAAAACGGAAGGGTCGTCCTGGAGTGTATACTCCATAATATATATCACAAGAGTGTTATATTAATTGTTGGAGCCGTTGCTACCGTCACCATTATCTGTCACCAGAATTGTAATGACAGCTGTCATCATTAGCATTGTGACAGTGTCAGAAGCATTAGTTCCATCATCAGTCTCATTGTCATGGCCATTATTGTCATGCATTTCAATATCACAAGATCCCATTTATTGCATAGTTTAGTTGTGGTACCCGCTGCTATATCAGATTCGAACCAGCCAGTTGACCCCAGCAAGCTCAGTGGTGGAGTGGTAAGGTGTCTGCATTAGTAAGCAGGAGGTCTAGGGTTCAAGTCCCACCCGAGTAGTCTGTGATTTGTTTCTCAGTCACTCGGGAAAACACTGAGTGTACAGTGTTTATACGAATACGTCGGTGAAGGGCAAAACGCAATCATGAAGATCCCATTTTGCACTTTTTTTTAAGTTGCATCCTACTTTTTGTTTTACCAGGCCCTGAAATTGTACTTTGCCAATGTCAGCTCAGCTGCAAAGGTAGACCAGCCTCAACCGCCGGCCACACCCAGAAAGAAGAAGAAAGGAAAGGGTGCCGCAGCCGAGAATCTGCATCCTAAGATCCAATGCTTGAATTGGTTGTTGGTGTTTGTCAACAAGGAGAGCACACCGTGGCATTTACAACGTGCTGTCCTGTCAGTGATGTCTGAAGTTCATAACGAGGTAAGACATGCAATGCTAATATTATCCCTAACTTCAAATATTTTCCCAAACCCAATTACTTTCCAGAGCACACTAATGACTTGAGTCTGCTCTTATCCAGATTTTGTTCAAAGTGAAGTTCATTGCAATCAGGCTTTCAAGTATAACTACTTTTCCTATTTTTTCTTATTTTTTTTTTACCTTGCTCCTACTTTTCAATTTTTTTCTTGAAATTTCTACTTTTTCCTACCTTTTCCTACTTTTTTCTACCTTTTCCTACTTTTTTGTCCCATTACTCCAAAAAAATTAGATCTCATTGAAAAGTACTCCTGAAAGCTTGCAAAAGTCACATTTTTATCCTAATTTTGTGTCTGTTTGAAAGCCTGTGAAATTCAAATGTATATTCAGCTTTGAAAACCTAAATCTGCGGCCAAATTTAAGTTGTGTGTCTAGCCATGCCTCAAATCAAGTTTGAATAAAACCTCAAACCAACAAGTTTTACCCTGCGGTGGGGGGGGGGGGGGTAAATTTCAATGTATTTCTGGTTCTCTTTGACATTCAACCACCGCTCTCTCTGGAACTCCAGCTACAAACAAAAACCTCATTCAGCACTTCACATATAAATGAGAGAGATGTTTGTTTTTTACAGCACATTCTGTCTTTGCTACTGGACATGTTCCATGATCTCGTGGATCCAAGTCAGGCCAAATCAGGAATGAACGATGACAAGGCAGTGATTCTAGACAGCATTATCCGACGTTTCATCCCCGAAACGGCAGCTCTCTTGCAACATTGTTTTGATGACATTGTTGTTGGCTTGAAAAGAGAAAAAGATGTGCCTCCATTGGGGAAATCTCCACAAAAGATGATTCTTAAACAGGTATTGATAACATTTATAAATCCAACGAAGTAAGCGGTTATTAAAAACCCCTGTCATTGATAATTTCAGTAAAACCCAAGAACAGAATTTCAGCAAATTTAATATCAAGCAATTTATAAGATTTGGTCGATAATAAAGAAAAGCTCTTTAATTCTGTCTTCATACTTCAGCGTTGGAAATTTTGTCTCGTTTTTTTAAAAGTTATGTTCATGATAACACAGTATAACATAAAAATGTTTTGGAGGAAACACTTCTAGAAGATTTTCCCTGAAACAGACTGTCTCTATGAAAGAAAGTTATAATTTCGACCTCCAACATATAGCATATAAATAGCACTATCTGCAATCATTTCAAAGCTAAGAACTGTGCGAAAGATTTTTTTATTGCCTTTTGGACACGTTCATAGAGATTGTGTTGTTATTTCCAGATAACACCAGCCTTCTTCAGTGCGATACCGACAAGTGTCTTAAAGCAGCAACTCCTATCAAGTTTGATAGATCAGCAGGTAGCTACCCAAAATTCACTGGTGGCTTCTAGCATCGGACGAACCCTCAGAAAGGTACTACCCTAGTCTTATTCATGCTGGGCTAGTTATTCAGGCTTTGTACTTCAACTTTGAAATCAACGTCTGATTTAAAAGGCTCAGAGAAGTTTATTTTGTAAAGATACTAAGCATTATATACTAAAATTATATTTTCTTTTTTTAGTTGCCCCTTGAAGCCGAACAAATTGTAAATGAACTCAACAAATTTCAGGCGGATGGAAAAGTAACAAGTCTGAGAGGTGCCAAGAGAGCAAGGGGGTAAGTCAAGAGGAACTTCAAAAGAAATAGAATAATAGAGTGGAAAGCAGTCAAACAAAAGTGGAAAACAGTGTTTGAAATTGTTTTTTTTTGTTTTTTTGTTAAAGGGGTATGGATTGTATTTTGTCTTTGTGTGTTGTTTCTCTGACAATGGAAAGGTTTTTTGTTTTTGTTTTTAGTACTTCTTAATGTGATAGAATTCTTTACTAAAATAGAGTGTTGGTGATATGTTTATATCTTATTCCCATACCACTTTAAGACTTTGGTTAGTCATTTAATACATTTTTTTCCAGCGGCAAGAGAGATCCAGAAGCAGGCCAGTGGCAACGTGCTACTCATATCTTAGAGTTCCTACAACAAAAGAAACTCAGGAAGATTGGAGGGTTGGTTCAGCTGCTCCCAGCACTGTTTCATCTTCTGTCAAGGTAAGCTAGCCACCCTCGTTTTTTATGCCCCGCGGCGAAGCCGAAGGGGCATACTGTTTCCGCCTTGTCCTTCCGTGGGTGGGTGGGTGGGTGGGTGGGTGGGTGGGTGGGTGGGTGTGTGGGTGTGTGTGTGGGTGGGTGGGTGAGTTTGTCTTACATACGCAGTGTGGACTTCCGAACAAAAGACGTCCACATAATGTAGGTAGCACCGACGTTGTGTGGACTTACCCCACGTCCACACAGTGTTTCCCCATTTCTGGAAAACAGGTTTAGAGGCATTTTTGGGTTAGGTTTATCTGTAGCAGAATGAAGAGAAACACTAAAGGGAATCATAGAAAAAAAATTGGGTTGAAAGAGTTTTCACAGTTTGAGAAAAATGAGTTTTTTCACTGGTTTTTCTTAACTACACGAAAGCAATGGAAAGTCCACACTAGTCATGTGAAACAAGTATGGGTGTGTGGGTGTGTGTGTCCGGACAAATCTTGTCAGCGCGATAACTTGAGAAATACTTAACATATGAACTTCAAATTTGGTTTGTGGATTGTTCTTGGTAATCCTAAGAAGCCTTTCGCATTTGGGGCCAAAAGGCCAAAGGTCAAGTTCACAGTGGCTAAAACAATAGAAATCTTGTCAGCGCGATAACTTGAGAAATATTTTACATGTGAACTTCAAATTTGGTTTGTGGATTGTTTTTGGCAATCCTAAGAAGCCTTTCGCATTTGGGGCCAAAAGGCCAAAGGTCAAGTTCACAGTGGCTAAAACAATAGAAATCTTGTCAGCGCGATAACTTGAGAAATACTTTACATGTGAACTTCAAATTTGGTTTGTGGATTGTTTTTGGCAATCCTAAGAAGCCTTTTGCATTTGGGGCCAAAAGGCCAAAGGTCAAGTTCACAGTGGCTAAAACAATAGAAACCTTGTCAGCGCGATAACTTGAGAAATACTTTACATGTGAACTTCAAATTTGGTTTGTGGATTGTTCTTGGCAATCCTAAGAAGCCTATTGCATTTGGGGTCGAAAGGTCAAGTGTCAAGTTCACAGTGGCTAAAACAATAGAAACCTTGTCAGCGCGATAACTTGAGAAATACTTAACATATGAACTTCAAATTTGGTTTGTGGATTGTTCTTGGTAATCCTAAGAAGCCTATTGAATTTGGGGCAAAAAGGTCAAGGGTCAAGTTCACAGTGGCTAAAACAATAGAAATCTTGTATTTATTCTGAGATTATAGGGATTAGGGATTAATTCATATAAAACCTACAGAAGACACTAATGCTGTCAATGAATGTTCCATGTGACCAAGGTACATGTAAGTTGATGTTAAAAGAGTGGTGTTATGTCATGGGAACAGTCACGGTTGCGGGGCATTTGTGTTTGTAAACACACCTGACTTGTTTTTTATTCAAGCTTGGATTGTACAGACAAGGTGGGTACTATTTTTCATTTTTGTGTCCTCATATACCTTGGTATCCTCCATCATTGCCTTGGGGCCGTCCATCATTTGTTTTGGTGCTCTTCCCAATTCTTTGGTGCTCCTTGGTACGAAAATTAGAGGCGGTGCGGCAATAGATGTAGATACCGCGGAGAATTTGAAGAAAAAAAAGGTTGACGTGCATGATCAAAATCGACGCGCTCGCTGACAAGAAAAAAAAGTATAAAAAGTAGAAATTAAAAAAATTATATAATTTTTTAAGTTTTATTTTCTTGCAGATGTCTTGAGCAGGATTCAGCAGACCAGGAGACTTCTATGGAGTACCTCAAGCAACTCATCCTGACTACAATACTGAACATCTGCAACAGACTATCGCCTGACAACAAGCCCCTACCAGCTGATGTATTGAGCCAGGAACAGTTCAATGTAGAGCTGGTTGTACAGTGTATACGGACGTCTGAAGATCCACAAACCCACCGCCATGCTTTGATGCTACTAGCTGCTGCAGCTGGACTATTCCCCGTGAGTTCTGTTCCATTTTGAAAAGGTCTCTTCAAGTCAAAACACACTAGACCCATGACTTTTCCAATTTACACTTTAATACTGCCTTGGCATGGAATTCCTGCAAATGAAACGTCAATTACATGTACATTTGAGGCAGTAGAATGTTAGGTTTATATCACAATGCCATGATTATTGCAAAAACCTGGAAAGTGACAAAGTACAATACCAATTTTCTAAATATAGTAATTTTTAAATTATGGTCTATACATTGTATTGTATCCATAACAAAAGTAAAAGCGATTTAACAATACAATTGTAGTTTCTCCTGATTTCCTTAGTATCAGAGGAAATCTGTTTTGTTTCAAGTGTGTTAATCATTTTGGCATTAGCATGGAAAGCAAAATATTAATGTTTGTGATTGTATGCACTCAGGATCACGTGTTGCACAACATCATGGCTATTTTTACCTTCATGGGTGCTCACATGTTACATCGAGATGACAGCTATAGTTTTCAGGTCATCATACGAACCATTGAGACTGTCATACCTGCGCTTATCAAGGTCAGTGGAACCTCTACCATAGTAAAGAGATTAAGCCTAACCACCCCAACCCTTTAAAATCCAACTGCATGTTTTGTTGGAATGGGGTCAGGCATACCACCATAATAAGAGTTCAACAGTGTGGGTGCTGAGTTTACCGTGTGTGAGACATTGCAAGAGTGAGGAAGGTTCCTAATAAATCACTGAAGGTGTTGGGATTTAATGTTGTGTGTGTTTATGAGCCCATTTAAATAATTGGGTTGAGACGATCCACATATTTTACAATGTGTAAAGACAGTCGCGCATGTGTTTATTTTAGAATGTGACAATCCCATGTCAGGTGGTTTTTTTTTTAATAAACTTAAAAAAATTGAAACAGCATTGTCTAATTGTTTAGAGCATTGTACCTTTTTTAACCAACTGGTTGGAGTGAAGTATTTCATGGAATATTTTGGCTTGGAAATCTGAGTGTTCAGGCAGCTGTGGGTACCATTGAGGATGAGGGTTGGAACACTGCAAGGGAAATTGGTTCAACTTTCATTCACTTCGCAAGTTAAGTCTTTGTTTTCTTTATCCTACCAGGCGAGCAACCAGCAGTCCCTGCCTTCTAGTCTTGGAGGCGGTGTTGAGGAAGTCGTTGTCATGGTGATGCGGGTCTTTGTTGATGCCTTTCCACACATTCCAGAGCATCGACGATTGCCTCTCCTCAGCCAGGTGATGATGACAGTGGGCCAGGAGACATACTTGTCTAAGATGTTAGCTTTACTCATTGGTGGTTACGTTACCAAGGGAGCAGCAGCAATGCACCCAGGAGATGAGATCGATGTCAAGGTAAAGACTGACAAAAAATGACTAATTTAGAGCTAGTTAAATGAAACTTACCTTATATTTACCTTGTTGGCATTTATTGACATATATCTGTCACATAATTGTCAGTGTTATGTGCATGAAGCACCCTCACTGTTGACTGGTCTTGTTATTTAAATTTATGACAATTCAAAAATACCTAAGACAGTTTACCCATTCCTTTTGGGTCAAGAGCTAGTAAGTGGGTGGTTTTAAATGGTTGATAAAACATCGAGTTGCTGGCTTTAAACACTTTTCCGGTGTCACATGAAATTTAGAGTCCTATGCAATCTGGTCCCTTTTACTCTTTTTATTGGTTGTACGCTCACAAATTCACTTAAGCATGTCTAATACTACAAGAGAGTCCGTATTTCTACAAGTTCTAAATTTGTACTACATCAGCACCGCCGCGTGTTGTGCAGTGTCACGTAGTACGCGTCACGCCCGTTCCACTCTCCATATAAGATTTTTAGTGTTTCTTATGAGAGGCACATACCATAAACATAGCTAGAGGAGTGTTTAAAATAACTGTAAAATTGTTGAACAAAATCGTTGTGATTTTAAAATGTTCATCTTGTTTTGACTTTTTGACCCAAAGGTATTTATGAATGGGAATAAATATGTGCTTGCCTGGTATTACACAAGCATGTTTAAAGCCAGCTTAAGGGCCTAGTCACCGATAATGCTCCAGGCACCTATGCCTGTACTTGCTTAGAACCAACCAAGCACATATTTATTCCCTTCTAGATGTACAAAGCGTCTTCTCATGCCTATCACAGAGGGACAAAAACCTGTCCACAGTCAGGGTGCTTAATGGGGGGGGGGGGGTCTATTCAAAACATGTTATAGTTTACTTTATCTGTCATTTCTCTCTTTTTGTTTTCCAGGGGCCAGGTCGTAGTATTGATTTCTGGTTGGCACTGTGCCAACAGTTCTCCCCGGAAGTTCAGATAACCAGTCTAACCAAGTTATTGGAGTATGTATCAACGCTGACAGAAGACAAGGAAACTGGTATGGAGCATTGTGTTTTTTCCCAAATATTTCGATTTTGCAGGATTTCTTTTACTTTTTGCTTTACTGTGCTAACCATGTCTGTTTTTAGTACTTTGAAGATGTTTAGATTTTCACTTAAACCTACAAAATGGCACGTTTATTCCAGTTTCTCTCATCTATGTGCTAATTTGTCCCACACATTTGTAGTTGTTGACAATTACTACCCCCAAAACCCCTTCAACTTAAACAAAAAAGTAACTTTTTTTTATTAAGTTGTAACTTCATCTAACCAGGTTTAAAAACACTTTCAGCTTTGTTGAAAGTTTTGCTATTATGGGACCAAATTCTCCAAATGTGTTTCCTATTTTATAATATCTTTATTTTTTGATGCAGATAAGAGACGACCCTCCATGGCCACCAGACAGACCGGCACCAGACTACCTCAGCACAAAGCTTCCACCAATCAGGGACCAGTATTTTCTGCTGATCCTCATATCTGTGCTCGTCAGATGAGACAGTTCCGATTCACTGCTGTCTGCTTCATGCCTCACGTCGTCTCAAACACTGACTTTGTGGAAAAGGTAAAGACTTCAATCCAATAACCAAATTAAGAAGTTGTTATCGAGGTGATGTGTACAGCAGTTTCAGTTGTCAATTATTTAATAAAATGAATCAAATGGATATATTCTGTGGTCTCTTTTTCAGGTGGTGAATGCTACTCCAGAGGAGGCAAACAATTTGAAAAAGTTGCTGCAAAGGTAAGATTAGAATAGACAAAAATTCACAAAAGTGTCATTTATTTGCTATCCACTCTGTACATACACAACGAGGGCGCTGTGCTGCTTAGCTGCCAGATTCAAGTTCAATCATTTCATTTTTTTCTGGCCATTAAAAGAATTTATGCCTTCTAAGTCAAACCAGTAGTGATATACTGTACATAAATTCTAAAAAGGTAATATTTGTTGGAAAATTTGACATTAGTAGGGAATCTCTGTTTTGAAAAGATAAGAAAGCAAAATTGTGATGGCCCACAATTTGTAATAAGAACAAGTTTGTGATTGTCCTTGTTTCTGTTGCAGATTGCTGGAAGTCCTGTTAGGTTACATCAGCCAGGTTGCTCAGAGTGTCCATCGCAATGCAGGAAAGGAAACAGCTAAATTCTGGAAGGCTTTATTACATCGATCTTATGATGCACTGGATAAGGTAAGACAGAGAAAGGACACTGAGACAGATGCTGTATATGAACCAAAATTCTGACTTGTGTTTTTTTTTATCATTTATTTGAAGCTGCTTGGAATAAACTGTAATCACTGAACTGTAAAGTAACTTTGAATATTATTAGAAAAGACAAAGAAGGAAACTTGAGTTTACATCATTGGAGGAAACAACCAACATTGCGAGTCTATCGGATCTACGTTTGCATCCAGTTCGCGTTGGATGAAGTGTTAACACGATCTGGCAAGGGTACCATAATAGACTTCACAGAAAAGGGAACTGCTTTTTGGTTTGTGCTCTGTGGGGAAAAGTGAATTGTTTTGATTAAGTTGTTGGATTTGTGTTTTTTTTGCACTCTTATAGGTAAATGCCCTCCTGCCTGCACATATCTTCATTGATGTCATAGTTCATCTCCTAGGTAACAAGCTAGCAACCATCAGACGTAAGGCTATGGACTTACTGAACAACAAGCTTCTTCAGCATCAAGATTACTTTGGCAAGGAACAGGTCGGTATTGTTTGTGGTTTTAGAAGGTAGCTAGTTGAGATGATTTTTCTTGTTTCTTTTAAGATTGCACATATGGTTTCTGCATTGCTGATAGAATTTGGCGTAGCATTCACACATCAGGTTGATAATTTTTTTATTGTAAGGAAATTTAAAGATTTTAGTTGTTGGATGGAGTATTTTTAAGTGCCTGGAGTCGTTGACAATGATCTTGCATCAGCTCTTTCATATATGAACCATAGAGGGCAGTGTTTATCTTTTTTTGAGAGAGTCGAATCATTTGATGTCACTTGATGATACTAATGCTGCTTGGCAATTATCTTCCAACAGAGTAAAGGTTTGTTGGGCTTGATCTCAGGTCTCCTGACAATCGCCATGGCTACCAAGGATGAAGCCACGGTTACGGATGAGGTGGATGTGAATCGTCATACTGCCCTCTATAGTTTGAAACTTCTATGCACACTTCTAGGAGAGAGTCATTTGAAAGAATTTGGACCGGTGTTGGAAGCATCTGTCGGGATTTGTGAAGAGGAGGGCGTTAACACACAGGTTGGTGGAGGAAAAATTCAAGGTCTCATAATTGCATAATATTAATCCTAATTTGTTAAAGGGAAAATGCAACATTTGCAAACATCAAAAAATAAAACTACCAAATCATTTTGAAATACCTTGCTGGACTGTTAGTGAATGACAGTGTAAAGCATCCTGTAAAATCATGGCACCTGGTATACTGTCATTTTCAAGAAAAGTGGTATTTTTGTATCAATTTCCAACGCTGGTCGGCCGATCAGCGTTGGAAAAAAACTGGCTTTTTTTTCAAAAACTGGCCCCAATTGACCATCGCACTTGTTTGCAATCGATTACATACCTATGAACGGGTAAGAGCCAGCTCGACTGGTTCCCTGACCTTACAATTCCCCAATGTATGTAAACTGCTCTGTTTCTTCTTATATGGAGTCAGGAAACCAGACTACAGGAAAATGATAGTTTTTCTTGGTTTTTATAGCATTTTCGAACCCAAAACCTCAAAATAGGCAGTGTAACTATATTTGCTATATATTTCCAACCCCCCAATTCCATCCATTTCTGAAAATTACAGCAAAAGCAAATGATGTATATTCCCTTTAACTTTATAACTTTCATATTTCCTGAACACCCTTTTGATTTCTTATAAACCAAGTTGTTTTTGTTAACATCCACTTTGATGTTAATCAAGAATTTTACTGCTGGTTTGTTCTAGGTGCAGGGGAGTGCAATGCTATGCCTTGCAGAGTGCGTACGTGTCTTGAGGGCGCACTCCATTCGTTACCTCCCCCGTCTTATGCCACGCCTCTTGGACGTTTTGGCAAGCAAAGAGATAATCGTCAGGTATGTGTACATCACACCTTAGTTCTTATATGGGAGAGGTTTTAATGAATGGACTTGTGTCATGAAAATACGTTTTCACTTTTTGTTTGGCTTTTTTGATAATCCTAGCTCTGACTTTCAACTCTTGAGTGCCGTGACTGCCGTTCAGAAGGTGATTGAGACTCTACCTCACTTCCAGAGCCCCTACCTAGTGGATCTGCTCTTGCAAGTAAGTCTTACCTTCTTTAATTGTTGAAATTGTCTAGAATAGCGAAATATTTTCCTTTAGTTATAAGACGAGACTTACCTAGTCCAGTGTGACCTGAAAGTTTGGATGTTATTTATACTCAGTGAGTCCGTCAGTGATTCAGACGGTCAGAAGTTCCAACAAAAATGGTTCTTTTGAAAAGAAGTTTGTTTAGTTCTAGCTTAAAAATGAATTAAACTGCTGCAAACTGCTCACTGACCGGATTGACCTGAAATACATTATTCAGAGGTCATGCTAAGGCTGCAAGATCAGGCCATTTCTTGATTAGTTCTAAAATTGTTTGATGATCAATGTTTTTTTTTCCATGTTGCAGATTTGCCGTCTGTCAAGCGATAGTGAAGATGAAAAGTCCCAGTTGAATCTGAGACTGAAAGCACTGGGCCACAATTTGGCTGGTACGATAGCTGTAAGAGTCCTGCTACCTGTGTTTAGTCAGGTGTATGATAGGATGGTAGACACACACAAGGTAAGATGATGCCCTGATAAGTCTACATAAGAGAAAAATGGTTTGGACACGTAAATTGCCAATTTTGTGATTTAATTGACTTCTGTTTTAGTCTGAAACTTATATCCCTTTTTATTTTTTAAGTAACTGCGACTGTTTTCAGTACATATTGAAATGTCACAACTGTTTTAAATTTTCCACTTAATGTTCTCCCACGTGAACAGGGAAGTATCGGTCCTCTTATGGCAATCTTGTCAGATCATCTCAGTGCTATGGATAAGACTGACATGGCCGGGTACCAGCCGCAGATGGTTGCCTTCTTCCTGGTTGCATTGGACTACAGAGCAAAAAATGCAGATGTAAGTCGTTAGATAAAAGCAGCCAGTTCATTCAACTTGTCACACTTGTACGGATCCAAAATTTGGGTTTTTGCTGTTCACTGGCATAATTTCATGAGCTGTTTTTAATTAAGTTATTTGTTTTTACAGGAAAGTTTAGATGATGTCGATGATGTGGAAGGTCATGTGATCAGTGCCATGATGACGCTGGTAATGAAGATGTCGGAGGCCAGTTTCAGACCAATGTTCATCAAGGTATGAAAGGCATCAATAAGGTTTAACATTTGGTTTTTGTGTGTTGTGTTGCCGAAATTATGAGGAATAAACAACAAATGTTAACTTTGTTTTCATGAAACTTCTGAGAAAGGGGATTAGAGGCATGTGATTTCAATAACCGACTTCCAAGATCATGACTTAAATCAAGAACTGACATGTTTGATCAAGTTGTAGAAATTAAAATCCATTCTTTTCCCACGTTTTGACCACCCAACATTTAAAATTTTAGGTTACCAAGTTTTCCTCGAATCAGCTGATTTCCTTGTTTTTGACTTAACACTTACACCATAAAAAACATTGAAAAACACTGATTTTAAAGCTTAAAATTGTTCTTCTTTTTTTGGTTACTTCTCAGTTGCGTGCCTGAAAGTTTCAGACTCATTCCAAGCCGATTTCCTCATTTCAATGACTGTACAGTGAGGTTTTGTATCTTTTCTCTCTGATTGATTCAGGCGGTTGACTGGGCAACACGTGGCACCGCCCCCAAGGATCGTTTGCTGACCCTGTATCGTCTCTCTGACGCCATCGCTGATAAACTCAAGAGTCTCTTCACGTTATTCGCTGGTCACTTAGTGGCCAAGGCGGCAGATTTATTGGACATCAATAATACTTGCAAAACTGGTGAGTAACCTTGTCATGCTTTTTGAAGCTACAAATATGAGTTTTTAGTTGATAACTGAGGCTTTATGTTCACTCGGGCCAGAATTTTGTTGTAGTAGAGTTTGTATTAACAAGAGTCAACTGTATAACGCTATACATTGTATATTTATGCACAGACAAGCAGTTCTTTGAAGGCGTTGCCCACGGCGATGAGAAGTCATCTTTACTCCTCATCTACATCTTAGACTGCCTCCATAAGTGTTTCATGTATGACAAGGGAGGATTTGTCTCCAAGGAACGCTTCCAACGACTCATGCAACCACTTGTGGATCAGGTAGGCAAGAAAATGAAAAACGTCTTGTCTTCGATTTCAAAGTTGAAATTGCGCCTAAGCCAAGAACACTAACTATCAATACTATAAATCCAGTCCTCTGCAACAAAAATCTTGGGACGTATACGTTCAACTGGGTAGCCCTTTTAGGGAAATCTACTGGTCTCTCATGGGCCCAGGCTTTTGGGTTGAGAGAAGTAAAGGGTTGTTGCTAATAACACGTATGAAGAACTGAAATAAATGTTATACTGGTTGGGAAAATTTTCTGTTGAAGGAAATTTTAAAATTACCTGGAACATAATGAGTTCTTATAGAGAAACTAGATTTCCCTAAAAGTCCACATCTGTCAGCTCGGCAGCAGGGGCTGGCAGCTACAATCATGGCATATTCAATTGTTTGCTACTGGCATGTTGTAGCCGACTGGCAAGCGGATGAGCTCATCTTGGGTCAACGGCTGTTGGTCAACAGGCATAGTTAGTTTGCTACTGCGGGGCAGCCTCCATTCATCCCTGCTGTCACGCTTTGTTGCGTTCCGCTGGATTCGATGAATGTCAGGCCCAGAGGAGAGCATCTGTCCTGGGCAAGCATTCGCTCTCTTTTCCCCTCTGCCTCGGCGCTCGGCGTCTACTAATCATGATGGTTTCCAATAATATTCAGCTACCGGCAATGCGGGAGCCACCCTCTTCGGGGGCTTTCGTTGCTCGGCAAGGTTCGTGTTCCAGGCAGGCGCGACCTGGTCGTCATCCTGCTACTGCCTATATAGCCTTCGCTTGTTGGAATGTTCGTTCTCTCGGTGTTCATACAGACAGCCACTCCTCCTCGCCAAGAAAATCTGCAGTGGTTGACCTCGAGCTTACTCGTCTTGGTATAAGTGTTGCAGCTCTCAGCGAAACCTGGCTAACTGGCTGTGGTTCTTTTCGAGAGGAAAATTTCACCTTCTTTTGGAGCGGTTACGCAGATGATGCGAGGCCTATGCATGGTACAGGCTTCGCAATTCGGAATTCCCTACTCCCTTGCACTCAGCAACCTGCCGCCATCTCTCCTCGCCTCATGTCCTTGCGCATGTGTCTGAGCACTGGTTACGTCACTTTAATCTCTGCTTATGCACCTACCCTGACGTCTACCCCAGAGTCTAAAGACGACTTCTATCTTCAGCTTAGTGAGTTGTTGCACAATATCCCGGCTGGTGATGGCATCATTCTCCTTGGGGACTTCAATGCCCGCATTGGTTCTGACTGCAGTGCGTGGAAGAATGTAATTGGCCCGCATGGTGTTGGGAGAATGAACGACAATGGTCAACGTCTCCTCGAGCTCTGCGCTTCGTACAACCTATGCATTGCCAACACCTTCTTCGCAGGCTCTGTTCGCTCCAAGGTCACCTGGAAACACCCTCGCTCACAGCACTGGCACCAACTGGACCACATCATTGTCAGACAGAGACAACTGCGCGATACCACCCACTGCCGCAGCTTGCATTCTGCTGATTGCAATACAGACCATGCCCTTGTTCGCTGTAAGCTTCGTTTACTACCCAAGAAGTTCCATCGTGCAACGCATAGACCATTGCCTGCTATTGACACTGTCTCAACTCACGACATCAGTCATGTTACTCAGTTTCAAGAGCTCCTTTCTGGTAACTTCAGCTCAGCACCAATCTCTGCCAACCCTGAAGGTGCTTGGTCTAGGTTCCGTTCAGTAGTCTACAACAGTGCTGTGTCTGCCTTTGGTCGCTGCTCACGAAAGCAACCTGACTGGTTCCGGGACAGCGCGGACATACTGCTCCCTGCACTAGAGAACAAACGGTCAGCCAGAAACAAATGCCGCTTGATCAACACACGCTCCTCAAAAGCTGCCCTTCGGGCTGCCAAGAGCACTGTCCAGCGTCTTACTCGAGCAGCTTTGCAACGCTACTGGTCTCACCTAAGTGATCGCATCCAACGTTGTGCCGACTCTGGTGATCTACGCGGCTTGTACCAAGGCATTAAGGAGGCAATTGGTCCTACCCCAAAGAAATCTGCTCCTTTACTGTCGTCCACTGGTGCCATCCTCACAGACCAAACAGCACAGCTTGACCGGTGGGTAGAGCACTATAGCTCACTTTACAACAGCGATGCTGCAGTCAGTACTTCTGCAATATCTACCTTACCTCAGCTTCCCATCCTGAAAGAGCTGGACAATTCCATCACCTTGGAAGAAGTGAAACATGCCATCAACGGCTTAAAGAACAACAAGGCTCCTGGCACTGATAGCATCCCTCCAGAGGTACTTAAGAAGGGTGGTAATATCTTGGCTGCAGAGCTCCACGCTGTTCTCCTGACCTGCTGGAAATCCCAGTTAATACCACAGGATCTAAAGGATGCAAACATCATAACCCTCTACAAAAACAAAGGTAACCGACAAGACTGCAATAACTACAGAGGCATCTCACTGCTGTGCTTAGCTGGGAAGGTTTTTGCTCGAGTGCTGTTACCTCGGCTACAGGTCATTGCCAACAGAATCCTTCCCGAAAGCCAGTGTGGCTTCCGCCCATCCCGCTCCACTGTTGACATGGTGTTTTCCTTGAGACAACTCCAGGAGAAGTGTGTTGAACAGCGGCGACCTCTGTACATGGTCTTCATCGACTTGACTAAGGCCTTTGATAACGTGAGTCGTTCAGGCCTGTTTTCCATCCTAAAGCGCTTGGGCTGCCCAGATAGGCTTTTGTCTATTCTGATGTGTTTTCATGACGACATGCACGCCACAGTCCAGTTCAATGGCTCAAGATCTGCTAAGTTTGAAGTTCGTCGGGGCGTCAAGCAGGGGTGTGTACTTGCTCCTACCCTGTTTGGGATCTTTTTCTCAGCCCTGCTACACCGTGCATTTCCCGAACCATCTGGTATCCTACTTCACACACGCAGCTCCGGGAATTTCTTCGACCTGTCCCGTCTCCGTGCCAGGACGAAGATTCGGCATGTTCTCATCCGGGAACTCCTGTATGCTGACGATGCTGCCATTGTTGCCCACTCAGCAGATGAGCTTCAACATCTCTGCAACTCATTTGCCAGTGCTTGCTCGGAGTTTGGCATGATCATCAGCCTTGGCAAGACAATGGTGTTATCGCAAGGCCCAGGTCCCCCTCCCATGATCACCATCAATGGCACACCTCTGAGCGTGGTCAACAAATTTCAGTATCTGGGTTCTACAGTTACCAGCACCAACTCCCTGGATACCGAACTTGACTCCCGAATAGGTAGGGCTGCAACCACCTTTGGCCGACTCCGTGCTCGTGTTTGGGACAACCGGGCCCTTTCCATCAAGCTGAAGATCCGCATCTACGTATCCTGTGTGCTTAGTGTGCTACTCTACTGCAGTGAGTCATGGCCGACCTACCGCCGTCAGGAACGCCGACTGAACGCGTTCCATTTCCGCTGCCTACGTTCAATTCTTGGAATCTCCTGGCAAGACCGAGTCTCAAACCCTGCCATTCTTGAGCTCACAGGAGTCAACGACATGTTCACATTGCTGTCAGCTCGCCGCCTTCGTTGGTCTGGTCATGTCTGCAGACAAGAGGACGGTCGACTGCCGAAGGACATCTTCTTTGGGGAGCTGGCTCATGCTCCTCGCCCCCGTGGTCGTCCAAAACTCCGTTACAAGGATGTTCTAAAGCGTGATCTGCGAACCTTCCGAATCCCAGTCACCTCCTGGCAGACCGTGGTGCAGGACCGCACTCGTTGGCGATCCGCTGTCCATCTTGGCCGCTCTGCTTCCTCTGCCGCCTATATTGCTGATTGCGAGAATCGTCGTGCAGCTAGACACCGAGCTACATCGTCGTATTCGACGGGATAGGCCACTACAGAGAAACTAACTTGTTGCTTATTTCTCTTTCAATCTTAGGTAAATTGGTCTGAGAAAGTTTGCATGCCCAAACCAAAAACCAAACCTAATCCTTTTAAGTTTTGATAGGGAATTCTCAACGTTGTCCCAGACGAAGTAATGACTTACTCTTGTATGTTATTGTTCTAGATTGAAAACATGCAGGGAACCGACGCAGCTTACCAGGACAGAGTAACCAATCACTTGACTCCGTGCATCGCTCAGCTCCTAGTTGCATCACATGACTCGTCGACATGGCAACCACTGAATTACCAGGTGTTATTGAAGATGAGGCATAGCTCACCAAAGGTTGGTTGACATGGAAATGTGAAATGTCTGAGGTATGAGGAGACTGAGTATGAGCTGCTGTTTGGAGACAATATGTTTTGTGATGTGTCAATATTTAGAAAGAAATGAAGTCAAGTTTGTTTCAGTTAGTTCGTTGGCTAGTTTAGTGTTCTTGTAGGAAGGATTGCAGTGTTGTATTCGTGTCACTGCAAAACACTGCAAGTCCATCACAAGTCTCAAGTCAAGTCACTAGCTATTCAAATGGACTGTTACAAAAACATTCCTTTGTCATTGTTCATCCTGTTACTTATGACTGGCTTTATGAAAGGACTTGTGACTGGACTTGTGACTGGACTTGTGATGGATTTCAATATTACACTGGAAGGCTGGACTATATTTTGCAATATTTTAATGGACTGGATCTTAAAATAATTGCCTGTTACAATTGACTGTCATTTTTTCCAGGTGAGATTTGCAGCTTTGACTGTTCTTCAAGAACTTCATAAGAAACTTGCTGAGGATTACTTGTCTCTGTTACCTGAGACTATTCCATTCCTGGCAGAGCTAATGGAAGGTGAGGGTAATATAATTAATATTGACACGGATAGAGGGCACTAAAAAGTATTAATAATGATGATACTAGTTGCAATGGAAAAGTTATGCCGGCCACAGGGAAATATGTATAATGATGAATATTTGGCTGATTTGGATATTATATTGGCCTGAGGAAATCATTCAAACTTGACCAATAATCTTTTTAATTTCAGATGAGTCAGTGGAGGTGGAGCAGCAGTGTCAACTTGTTGTCAATGAGCTTGAGAAGACTCTGGGTGAGCCGCTGCAGAAGTACTTCTAGGTATTTTTGAGATTCTTGATTTGTACGCACCCAGCTTTCACATAAGATTGGTTTTTAAACACGGTGCTGGGAGCGCATGATTTTTCATGTGCTGTTGCAGCCGTCGAATTAAATACATTCTATATTGTCAAAGCAGTGACATTTTCAAAATAACAAATGTTAGTATTATTATTATTATCGAAAATTGTACTTTAGGGAGATGTTCCCATAGGGCTGTGCACAACATTTTCAAACTTTCATGACCCGCAACCCCCATGTTACCTTATCCTACCCCAACAGATTTTGGTATAATTATTTATGTTTTGGACCACGAGCAATTGATCTAGCCTATTTGCAACAATAAGATTTTGCCTCTAAAAAGCAGTTGTGACAAAATCATGTCTTCTAAAGGGTACCTTTACAGGAATTATGTTAATGACAGTGGCGTTCCAAAAACAGGCTTTGTTTTTAAGATTCATGTATGCATTTGAACACTTTAGGGAACATGCACAGGCATTCTGTAGATTGTCAACGTTTTTATTGACAAGTAATGCAAATTTAAACCTTGCGCACATTGTTTCTTGTAATGTTCTTGGATGAAATCAGCAGGAACAGCAATGTCCCAAGTTAGTCCGGAAATTTTGGGACTCCATAGACAGTGAAAACATGCAATACAAGAAAATAGACTGGCACATGAAACAACCAGTCCAACACCTCTTTAGTTCTCATCAATCAACTGTGTCAATAGAAACATTTGGTACCTATATAGTCTGTATTTCTACACATTCTCTATTTCTACATATAGTAATGCCACCAGACTACTGATGAAGGGTCAATCCTTCCATAAAGTTGGACATGTACCAGTCTAGTCTTAGGCCTCAAATTGAAATCACTTAGCTTCAGTCTCAGGTGCAAAATATTAAAGAAAAGTCGTCTTCAAAAATTGAATTGAAACCTGAAGCTTGGTTGGTGAAATACTGAGGACCTTGTCTTTGCCTAATGAAAGTTTTGGAGAATTTTGCTGGCTAAAGAGTGAGCAAAGTTGGTCACATTTTGTTTTGCCTGGTCCCAAGCGTGAGATCAAAACTGCATTTTTACGTACTTCCACGTTGAAGCCTATCGGCCTGTCCAACCATTGAGCTACAGCAAAATTTTCACGTATTGACTGCACAATTTGATTTTTTTCTCGGCAAATATGGAATAACTTCAGCCAAAAAAAAAAGCAGAAACAAAATGCGATGTTCAGGTCACATTTGGAGGATATTTGACAGACAATGAGAATCGTGTTAATTTGTGTTGATTCTCAGAATATTGTTTTTTATTCAGAAGTAATTTGTGTACACGTTTCGACTGGTGAAACTGAATAAATATACATCAGAGATCGAATAAACAGAAAAGGTTCGTTTTCGGTTGTTACTTTTTGGTTTGGTTAGATGTTTATGGCTCTCCTTTATGTCATATTTTTTTTGAGATAAAAAGGAATAAAATTGTGTGGTGTTACAGGAGAGAGTTCAAATCCAAATACGGTCAGCAATTTGTTGTTTGTAGTTTCCGTATTGCGCATTTGTTTTTGTAGAAAAGGCTAATCTGCGCAAAGATGTCCAACTAGAAATGCAACACCCTTTCCTATTAGCTTTGGCCTGTAAAAAGAGAAGTAGAAATTATATTCTGCCTTGGGCATTGTGTTGGTTTTTTACTTGTGTCACCTTGCTGATCTTTGTTCTGAATAATATAGGTGGCAGTAATGGGGCTAGCTGGGTAGTTTATTCCCACATTATGTCCTTCCAAGCTGGATCTGTTTCCTCAAGAAATCTAATTTCTATGTATCAGTGATCTACGTATAAAAGTGTTATGATGGCGTGCATTGTTTGCAATTTTCTTTCATAGAATCGCTCCGTTAGGGTATTTACCACGGGCCGGGTTCCTGCACATAATACAACGTCGTCCATACTGGTATAGGTATTCACTCTGAATAAATGTCCCGTCCTTAGAAATTGTATAAAAACGAAACGACTAGTATTGTGTTTTTCTTAGTAAACTAATAAAGCACTACCCACAGTGGCCTTCTCCATACTTACTTTAGATTCGACTTGTTAATCATGGTCGCTGCTGACGTAAGTTGTGACGTTACGAATGACACTGAATCGTGTTTTTCAGGTTTAAGACGAAAGGAGCTTGATTGAAATTCGTCGTATTATTTTATTTGACGGCGGTCGGTAAACACATTTTCAAGGAATCGAGGAGCGCTTATTATCTTTCAAGCTTCTTATACAGTACAGTATTTCTTACGAAAACAAACCCCACCGTGTTTCAAATAAAATGTTGACTTCTATGAAATCTGGTCTCTTTTACCTTATATGGACTCTAAGTTAACCCTAGCTCACACGTGACAAGTTACATCACTGTTCTAATTCTGTCCGCTGAATGAGGCGTGCGCATGCAATAATAAGTCAATCTTTCATGCAGCATTTCCCACGTGTCTTTGTAGATTCATGAAACGGCCGTATGGTCAGGAGTTGTTATTACATTTATTGTATGACGATTCTTTATTCAATTATTTTGGCCACCTCGAAGCGAGATCCCCAACTGCCACTCGTTATATTCATAACCGTGATTCTTTGATTTTTTAGAATCATATTTTCGCAAGTTTGCCTTTTGCAATTTCTAGTTTTCGTGATGATAGGCCTATATGCACGCCCAAGAATTGTTGCTCTGTACATTTTGTACCGAGAACGAACGAGGCCTTTTCAATTTTCATCTTGCAATCTTTAGTAGTCGCTTTATCAAGAAAAAAGTGCATGTTGTTATTTTTTAGGGTTTCTCTCAAAATAGTGCATTACATGATTGAAATAGCTTTCAGGTCAAGGCCATGACAACGGTCTCTAAGTGACGCTTGTGACGTAGTTGTTTTGTATGGAACGCAAAGCGTTACAGCTTTTGTGGGAATAATATTAGTGCATGTACACAGCATATCGTCAGTATCATATGATTCTAAATAATCCAAATATCAAACTTGGATCCGGTTTCTTATGTATCTTTAAATAGATCGGATGTTTTATGTGACGTAGGCTACTGACGCAGCAAAAACGAGTGGAATTCTAATTAGAAAGGTTTGCGTACTTCCGGTGTAAAAATCAAAGTTTTACGTTGCAACATGGCAGCTTCACTAAAAAAGAATACACGACTTTTGAGAACACTTTGAAAACCACTTGATTGAAATCACTGCTCCCTTTATAGATCGTTGCTGTAGGAACTGAATACTGGACTCCCTGAACTTACAATTACTCGGTCAATCCGGTTACCTAGGTTACCTGTGAATAGATATCAACTCGTGACAGATTTATCGGTCAAATACGAGCTCAAAAACCTTTGAAATGTACGACTTATTGTCAATAAAAGAATGACGAATTCAGTGTCGGTACAGCGCCCCTTGTCATGTTTTGCAAATTTGACCCGAGTCGGTAATCATATCAACCATTGTTGCTGGAAATAATACAAACACCGAACCAAGAAATTGACGATGTAGTTCACAATGTCAAGGAGTTTTAGCCTGTGTGTATTTTGTGTCCAATTTCGTTGGGCTCGCCTCTGTAATTGCATGTCTAGTTGATGGATGACCCGGCGGGACACGACTAGATTTGTGGGTTTAATGGAGACTCGTGCTCCGTGGCACATTTCAACGTGCAGCAAGAATACCGCTTGTCCTATCATTACTCTGTGTTTCAAGTCACAAGGCATCACCACGGCACAGCAAAGATGTCGTTATTTAAACCTTGATAAGTTAATTGAACATTGTCTGTCTTCGTGGACAAAAGATAATTATGTCATATAGACGAGATTCTGTAGGGGCTGATTGTGGGGCGAGTCGGTGATTAGTGGTGTAATAAACAGTCAGAACTGGATATAGGCTTGTAGGCCTACGTAAAATGATGTGCATATTACGATTGCTAACTCTGTCAATCGAAGCGCGATGTTGTTTGAATTCACACGAATTTTGACCACAAAAGGACATCGTACTATTTATATGTTCAAATGCAGAAACTGACCTGTTATTGAATGAGAGTTAAAAAACGCACCGGATCAGCAGGTGGTAGAAATAACAAACCAGCGCTTGATAATAGGCGTACGTGTTCCGCAGGAAATAGAAATTATTAAATTCGCGATGTACAAACGTAAAACCCGAGCATGAATAAGTTATTTTCTAATTGTGTGATGAATATTTTCCTGTTTTCACTTGTCCTGGGACGTGTACTTTATATTACGTTATCTGTTTGTTGAAATGCTTTTTGGAAGTGTGAGAAATATATCGCCGCCTTTGTTATTGTGGACAGCCAAAATCAATCTATCTTTGTACATGCACAAAGTGTACTTCGAGTAGCCGTAGGTGGTAGGAAACATCGATACATTGTAGGTGATTGGTTCTTATAGCCACAAGTGTCTAATGAATTATGCAGGATGTACGTGAATTATGAAGAAGTCACGGAGGAAGAAGTAAATCATCGTGCCGAGCGTATGCACGCCATTGGGTAAACCGGCTGTATTGTACTCTTACATCAGTAGCAGGGAAAAGCAGCAAGAGGCGAATGTCAACGAAGAAAATTGGGTATGGGGAAATGCTTTCTTTCAAAGAAGGAACATGATCGACCCCCCCCCATCTTGCTGTCAGATTTGGATTACGACTGATCGTGCCCAAGGACACAGCGTCCAAAGAGGATTTTCATCTCTTCAAAGTTACATAGAATTTATAAATCCGATTCCCCGTCTGCATGGAGAATTTGCCCTGACTTGTTCCTGTCGTAACACAAGACCTGAACTGTGGACTTGTTTCCCCTTTCATTTTGTTGCTGACTGGAGATGTGAGGGTATAAACTTTGACCCCTAGACCTGTAAATCAAAATACTTCTGACGTCAGTAGGCAATTCCCTGGAAACAGGTTATTTTTAGTCGCATGTACCACTCTTGAGAATTCCGTTGGCTTTGGAGTGCCGAAAGTATTTTCGATTCAAGATTTTTTTCTATAGTAGTATATATTTCGTTTAGTCTGTAAAAAAAATATTAAAAAGAACTGAATTATGATCTACTCAAAACTCGTTGAATGGGTGCAAATGGCAAGATAAATTCAACTTTTTTTAACACAAGGGGGAAAATGGCATGTCGCTCACCACACAACAATCTTATAACACCATTGATATATGTACATAATATAACGTGTGGGAACAATGATCAATAACGTGTACGTGTCGGTTTATTTAAGACAAAAGCTAACACATGTAATGCCTGCCTGACACTCATTAGCACGCGTTGAGCGTATAACACGTCATAATACAAGATTCGTTTTTGGCATCTTCAATTTGAGTGTAAAAGCAAATGTACAGCTCTATTTTCAAAGGTAGTACCTGAACTGTTGCCATAACAATAATATTTAGTGCACAATGCTTTGCCTAACAATTGATTTATAACCATCGTGTGGGCATTGTGGCACTGGATAATGGTTGAGGTCAGGCTGTGTAAGTCCGTACTGCATAATGGATGTTGCCCTATTAAAGTTATCGCTTTTCGTCGACTATTAATACCTAAGCTATGTAGGCCCCAGCAATTTTAGGGGGAAAAGTCCAACTATCATAGTTCCAAAAGGAAAAAGCGACATAAGACTTTAATTTCAAAACATTCTACTTCTCACTATACAAATATTGTCTGCTGCAGAGCTAATTACTTGTATGTGATTCATAATTATGCATAAGTTTGTTCGGGGAAAAATAAACATGGCATTGCGAAAAACTTCTCAAAAATTGTATACCAACTGTCAGTCGCGAATTAAACACTAACAAGATAAGTGTGAATGTACATGTAAATGTGTTTATAAAGATTTGACATTTTCCATGGTAGCATTTATTTTACAAGTTTTTGTTTAGAAAAAAAAGTTTAGAATTATTCAAATGCAACTTTGTCGGAATTCATTATTCATACGCAACTACGTAAGTGCTCTAGGGTGAGTCAACAAGAAAGTGACCGAATTAGAAACAAATATTAAAAAAAATAACATAGAGATAAAGTACGTGTTATATAGTAACTGTAAAGTTTCACTTAGTTTGCATACTCTATTCTCAAGTTAAAAAGATCACAAGATTCAGCTGTCCACCACTGATTATATCCCGTGATAGGAACTGATGAATAACCCATTAAGTACAATGAAACTTAAACGTTTTCCCACCTCCATGAATGAACGAAAACTTGCAAAGGAAAACAGACAAACAATGGCCATCAGTATTTCAGAAAGAAAGATCGAGTAGACTTGTTCTCATATTCGAAACACAAAATCGAACATAGTAAAAATTAATGTCTCAGTCTTGACTCAAATATTTAAAATCTCATTTATATTTGAATGCCTGTGTGTAATCTGTAATTCTCACTCGGCTCAGTAGCTTCCAATGGCATTCCTAGATCCACGGACAGCTTTAAAAATAGGTTCTTTGAGTAAAACATGCATTACTTCTGCTGGCATGGACAAATTTCAGTAATTTTCTTTTTTTTTCAGAAGAGTGGAAGAACATACTCTAGGGAGATATACTTCATTCGTGTATTAAATTTGATTACTTTTTAAGAAAAAAATCATTAATCAAGGTCACTTTCATTTGACTCACCGTCCCTGCAGATTGATCAGACCAGTAAAGGTATCAAGATACGTAGAGGCACTTATCTTTGGAAATCTTTTAATGGAACAAACCACCCATTTTGTTTGTTTTCGCCACTTTACTTTGTTCCTGGTTTAGTGTCTGCTGTTCTTATTGTTTTACGCTTACACAGAAATGTTTCTTAGTCACTGTCTTCAGAAGGTACACGGAGATATCTGCAGGCTTTGAGTTGCTCAAACTGGTCTTGTAAAGTCGGGGTAGATTTTGCAGGTGGTGAAGGCTGCATAGCATCCGGACTGAGATGACTGAGCCGAACGGGGCTTGTTGCTCGTCTGTGACGGGGTACACTATTAGTGGCACGGGATTGGGATGGATTCAGGAGCACAGGATTGTAAGATGGGTTCTTGAAGATACTGTCTTTATCGAGTCGAGTTAGATCCGCCATATCCACAGTGACACGACGAGTTCGGACCTTTTTATTGATGTTGGTAGTACTCTTAGCTTTCCTTAACGGAAGGAGGGATGATATAGTCTGCGCTCGCGGTCTGGTAACATTTTCTGCGGATGACCCGTCAGCATTCGATAAGCGTTTGGTATTGGGAGGATCTGAGGGCAGGCTCTCAGTTGAGGAGTTTAGACTTCGTGATCTTGGTAGGCAAATACTTCTGCGTCTGTTGGAGTTGTGGACGTCGGTAGCTCCAATATGAGCTGATTTGGGTCGAGGGCGTGCCCGTCCGTCAAGTTCGTTCATGGAGCGGGACCGTCGGATACCGCCAGTGTTTAACGGCGGGGATGGGGTAAAGAGAGTCCCGGTGTCTGCTGATTCTGGTGCCGCCGTCAGCCTTTCCCTTTCAGCCTCTTTACGGAAGGAAAGTGGTGGTAGCGATCCACTGCGCTTCCGGTTCTTAGGCAACTCTTGATTCCCCTCGGATCCTGAGGCAGGTGGATTAGAGCGTAATTGATTGGTGTCGGTTGTACCTTGGGAGGGTTGGATGGATTTCTCGTCTGTTGATTTGTCTTCCCACGCCGAAGTTACCTTAATCTCTGGCAGCAAGGAAGCTTTGAGGTTCAAGATCTCCGCCTGCATCTTGATCTGCTGTTTCTCCAGGTCTCGGAGTTTCTTGTTCAGTTGTTGCTCCTCGATGTTATTAACCGTCTTGGCTCGTGTCATGTCCGTAGTGTACATAGGAGCGGCTACCTTACGCCGCATAGACGGGGTCAGGTGTAGAGGGGGCTCCGACCCATGCTTCGTTTTGACGGAGAGCGTGGACATGTCGACTGGTATAATAATGTTTGCGTGCTCATGCATTGAAATCTGTAAACACGTAAAGCCACAACAGTCGAACACTGGCCCGGATCACAGCATGCCACAGTAGAGCTAGACCAAGATACGAAGACTCCGTGCCAGTTTAGCTTCACTGTAATAGGCGATTTAATTCCCCAATCTTGTCTCCGATGATCTTACTTGTCCGAATGGAGATCTGCCAATGGAAAGTTGTTTATAAATTGCGTCGAGGTATGATGACGTAAAGGTACTCATCCACAACAAAAAGGAAGTATGAATTAGTAATGTTTCCACTTCTTCGAAGCAGTTCTGGTTAAAGACGGACTGGGACAGTCAATAAGCGGGTTTAACAGCTTATGTGGGTTTACGAACACAATTCGCTCCTTGCGAATAGTTATTGACAAACCTTGTTCATGGATGATCTGCTTGTAACAGTCCTCAGCTCGGAATAGAGTGAAAGTTATCCCATTGATCGATTACATTCGCTGAGGCCACCTGTTGTTGATGATAATAATCATACTCTCATTCGGGTCCTACAATTAACTCTCGCTGTTTGTTCCTGACATGATATCGCCATGTAGTGCTCGTTCGCTGTTGGGAGCGTAGCAAGTCCAACCATGGTCCAACTCAATTCACACGCATTGTGTGGCTGGCTCCGAGGGGGAAATATTCCCGACCGCCACGCACGATCACATCCAGTAACAGTTGACCTGCATGGAGAGATGAGTGATCATCATCAGGATCATGTTCACGGTTCGCAGTGGGTACCAAGTCCGCATTACACCTGATCTCCTTTGCTTGCCAGGGTGTTCATCCCGGCTGTATTGAAGCTAGAACATTTTCGATTCTCTCTTGGCGTCGGGGAGTTCTTGGACCAACGTAGTCTCTACCGCCGGGGGAGAGGTAGACAGCACTAAGTGATATCGACGTACTGGCGTGGCCACTGCAACCCATACAAGTTTTCTGAATGGGACTAATGTCCACGGCTCATTGAAACCCCTGGATCGCTGCTCTCAACAACGATAGCGATCCATTTCCTCCAATTCTGCTGGACACGCCGAGTTGCGCAGACTGAATGGGGATCGGTGGGGAAGCTGAATTGACCACGGGTCGATTTATTGGATACAACCTTCCTCAGTCATCCAACACGAGTTGAAGACACAATGAAAACCTGACACATCTACCCACACACCCAGCATGAGCCTATCTCTCCCCCTCCCGATGGGGTTGTTCGCCTCTTTATTGCTCTTGCCAAATGGAGTCGTAGGCGCATGCGTAGTTGCTTACAAAAAGGTCACCAACTGGGGCTTTTTCATCCCATGTGATCAATCTACCATTTGGGGTCATACATTTTACTTTTTCTAAAGTTCATGCTAAAATATTCAAAAGTTTAACCGTCAAGTTTGTAAATTAAACAGAAAAACATTATTGATTGAAATACGCCTTATATTTTTTTTTTAAAGGGAAATAACTTGACTTGTTTTCTTTATGACTTGAATGAATTAAACTGATTGCGACTGAACCTGAAATGAGAATGACATGTCACTTAAATTGGACTAAAAAGCACAACCAACGATGCAAAACCAAACCACTGAACGTGATTTCCATAAAAGAAGCCGTTAATGTCTGACCTTTAGTGACCCCAAAAGAGAGACCCCAAAAGAGAGCACAGCGCGTTAATGTTTTATTGTAATCCGTTGTTGAGGCTAGGACCCTCGAGCTCTCTGAGGACATTTGAGATTATTTTTATAAGTTTGGGCAAATTTTCGACCAGATGTTGCCACGAACGTTATTGCTGGAGGTGGATGAACTACATTGGCGTTCCGCGGGGAACGGTGGGGGACATTATAGTGGAGAACCAAATATGATGGTAGGGATCGGTTTATCAGCGCCTGTGAGGGCGGTAGATTAGAGCGAATGAAGAAGTCACATAATTGTCACACTCATCAGTGGCATTACTTTGGGAGATTGTAGAGCGCCCTCTACTGACTACAAGTAATTAACTCTGGGTGGGCGTTGCCTTAACTGGTTTAATCAATGAAGCTGCAGTTCGATTTCCTAAATAAATCTGTAGAAATAAAGTACCGTATTTTAAGTGACGAGCAGGATACCGTCTCAGTAAGTAACATCAAGCTTAGTTTACTATGACATATGTTTTATCACGTGAGTACGGTGATATATTTTGACGCATGTGTATTTAATAACAGTTCATCGGACACATGTTTTTATCTTACTTCCCAAAGGAACATCTTAATGGAGTTTTCTTTTCAATAAGTGACTAGCAAGGTTTTATCTGTGGAGACGATACATTTTTTCCCGTGAGCAAGAGAGACAATTATGTAATACTGTCAACGGAATAGATGTCCTAAATTATTCATATAGTTGCAGGGGTTCTCCTATTCCTTTCTGCAGGTCATCCGTGAAAAATTAATGAAGTTTTCTCTTACCAGTGGCGTAGCCAGGAATTTTTCAGTGATGGGGGGGGGGGGGGGGGGGGGGGGGGGGGGGGGAAGGCTGGAACATTTCTTGGGGGGGGGGGCGTCATATGTAGATCAATGATAATTTTTTTAGAAACTCAAAATCTCAGTGGGGGCGACTGGGGGGGGGGCGACAAGGTTTCATGGGGGGGGGGGGGCTGTCGCCCCCCACGCCCCCCTGTGGCTACGCCACTGTCTCTTACACAAGGAATTTTTTTCGTTATAAGACTGACAGCCTGGTGTTTTGGTTCGTCGTCATCTTGATCAACTCCCTACAGGGCGCCCTCATCGGTCTGATGCTTCTCTGAGTGTTAACGTGAGGGCGCTGTGGCGGCAGAAGTTGCTGATGTCCTGCCACGGCGCGCATGCGACAGAATTAAGCTACTGACACCAAAACACGGAATGCAGAAACAGATATTGATGCTTAGGCTCCAAATTACTAGAACCCTTCAAGAACCGAGCGTATAACCACGAGTGAAGATGAGTTTCCCCCAGTCCAAGAAAGGAGGGGGTACAATAGCACCCGCTAGCGACAAATGTTGCCCCGTTTCGCTCGTTCCCAACACCCTATCAGAGGACGATGGTGTAACCGTGATACATTTTACAACTACTTTGTGAAGGAAACGCTAGCTGCAGCATCGTGGACATATCATTTTGCTATAACCAATCTAAGTGTTGACCTCGCAGGTTATCCAATGTATCCTTGATGACAGCTCCGTTTAAGGTCACCAACGCCCTTCGGCGTTGGGAACGAGTGAACCCCCCTCCACCCCGATTATCTTATTTGCGACGGCCGGTCGTTCAGTGCTTCACCGTCTTATCCACCCAACCTCAATCCAATCCCCACTCCCTGGACCTGCTATGCACGGTGAAAAGCAAAATGGCGTAGAAAGTGCGTAGTCATAGGAACCAGGTTGAGTACACATACTGTCAGACAGATTTTATGGTTGTTTATGCATGGGACGATTGAAAAACTGAATATACCGCTATTTCAGAAAAAAAATCAAAAACACACGCGTCGTGATGGGTATCATTTCCCTCAATTTCTCTAATTTGAGCGGATGCTTGTATTCATGTTTTATCCGTTCCATCTTTCTCACTGTGGATACGGACAATTTACATTACACTCAAGAAGAATTTTGTAAATTGAAGACATCAGTTTATGTCACTTCTTTTTTCTTCTAATATCTTTTGATTATTTTTACCAGTCATTTTATTCCTTGTATGCAATCACTGTCATTTTCGTAACCTATTTCAAGAGACACCGTATTTCTGTTTAGATTCTATTTAAATTCGCAATTTTACATTTAGTTAAAGAAAAACTATTGTTTTCCATCTTCAGTTAGTGTATTGCATCACACTTAATTTACTTTGCTTTGTGCATTTTGACGACAAAAACTAACATAATATGCCGTGGCGTAGTTGGTTATGTTACACACTTAAGGTAGAGTTCTAGATAGGGTCTACATGCCGATAATCTTGTTTTATGAATGTTCAATCCACTGTCAGTGAGAAGGTCACCTTAAGGTAAGTTACTAACAGGATGTCTCAAGTATCTACAATGCTGGAGTGTTTTAAATTGTTCCTCCAGACTGGCATCAGACCTCGTTCTGTGAAACTCTTCAGTGGATTCTCCCTGATGCTGTTCTCCGTTGCTTTCTTGTGATTTTGTCGTGTCCGATGTATGCTGATCGTTTGAAGAATCACTCAAACACAAGTCACTCAGTCGAAACGCTCTCCGCATGACGCGATGTCGGAGTTCGAAGCCCGTCATTCGCATGTGCATGTTGCTTGGGGTCATTGGGATTTGGTCTGGTGAGATGAGCACAGGGTTTATTTCAGGATCGTTAAAGACCGACTGGAACCCCACCGATGATTTGGCATAAGATGTGACCGGTCGAGTTATGTTGTCTGTTTGGGAATGAGTTCGGCCGAAGCAGTTGACGGTACCACTGTTGGGACGTAGTGTCGCTCTTGCATCTCCTGACGCGCTGTTTGCTCTTGATCCTCGACGTCTTGTCACGATCGGTGAAGGTGGCAGAGACACAGATTTCTTCAAAGGTGACTTGAGGTCAGTCTGGCGAAGTGGGTTGGGACTCGAGAATCTTCGAAGCGTTTGGTTGTCCTTCAGAGATGAACTGAACAAGGCTGAAGTTTCCTTACGAACCTTTAGATGTGGCGTCGATGGCGACTCGGTATCCGGAGAGCTCGGTTGGTTTGGAGACGTGGCATGAGGCCTGCACATAAGCCGATGATCTAATGTGATCCATTTGTCATCTGCCCTAGTTGGTGACTTTGATTTTCTGTCTCGTAGCGCGATAGGACCGCGTTGTTTCTCCTCTGCAAATGCCACTCTTTTGACATGGACCAAGGCGCAGTCAGTAACATTGATATCTGGGAGCTCAAGTGGTACTATCTCTCCCTGTGCTGTGGCTGCCCTGGCCGCTTGTAGTAAACCTTTGTCCATCTCGAATTGAAAGAGTTAGCAGTCTAAATATTCATCAAAATATAATAATGCATTGCCGCTTTAAGCCATCACTGTCTTGATTGGTCGATAGTTCCTTTTTGACGATATGGACGTTTGATTCAACAGCTGCAGTATATCTTCGTGAAGCAAGACCCATGTGGAGAACATATGTGGCTTTGGTACTGTAGGCTCAGCCTAGTCACGAGTGAGTTGGTATCGTTTCATGTGGGGTCGAAGACCGGCGCCCATCCTAGGTATGGTGAACTCAGCGACCGCGGTACTTGCTAACGACTTTTGAAGTGTTTATCAAAACCACTGTGTTGGTCTAACTTGGCATGCCACAGCTCGTTAAGGTGAAAATGTTATCATGGAGATGTACTTAATATAAAGATTGGTACGTTCTATTATCCCATTACCAGATATTCAATATGTGTGAAGTTTGACAAAACAACTTTATATCTCTATATACAGCCATGCGTGATCCAATTGCACTTTAGATATACAGTGTACTTTGTGTCAGAAATTGGTAGTTTGTATTTTCTTTCATTTTGTCCAAAACTTCCCATGATGTTTTCTACCACCCTGCAGACCGAGTTTTGAGCGAACTCGTTAGGGTAACGGAGAACGTCGCAATAACTTTTCACTTGACGCCATGAAATTCGCATCGCTTGAACCTGTCCCAATTATCATCGTAATAATTAAACAAGATGGCGGCATCCTTGGGAAGTTTGGTGAGCTCGACACTTGAGATGATTGCATGAGTATAAGTGTGCACCACTCTCACGCGCGGGCTGTATGTTTGTCTAGTTAAGTCTTGTTCTCTAAAGTTTCAATGTGGGCATATATATGTATGTAAAAGAGTTCTATTTTTAAATTTAAAGGTCGTAAACACAATTCTGGAGTCTGTATATCTTGATGGTATTTTCAGTGCAAAAGTATTTATCAGTGCTAATTCGTGTTCTATTCACATTCTGTCTTTATCAACACGACGGTGCAAGTGCACTTTAGCCCTCTTATCTGTTATTAATCTTTTAATGATCTATATTTCACACAGTATGGTTCTCTGTCATACTAGATAGGAAACGGTCTGATATTACAATCATGATTAGATAATTATGGGGCAAAGATTGATTGCCATTATAGGCCAAAGATTAATGTGTGTAAGATCAATAGTGTGAGCCACACGTCGGAGTGCACAAAGGAGTACCAGCAGCAAGAAAAAAATCACTTAAAGGTACAGGAATTTTAAAAGATGCTGGGGTCAATGGCTACATTTT